CTTCATCGCACCAGTTCAGTTCTTCTCTCCTCAAGCCGTCCAAGTACCAATATGTCGTTGGAAACGAGTGGCCATTAAATATAATTTAATATTCATTTGCACGTCACTTTCTTCAGATATGTGTTCTTGACATGCCTGCTTAACGTGCTTATTGTGAATTCATATGCAAGTTTCTTGCATGCACGGAGCAAATTTTTCCACTCGTTCCCAGGACAAGATCATTCCACTTCATTTTTCCAAAATTAATGATGGTTTTCTTTGCATCTTCACTCAGACATGTAATCAGCCGACCCAGTGTAAACTACGCACTTGGGATATAAAATTTACAGTGCATTAGTGTGCAATTGTGAGTTAGCTATGTGTATTACGAACCCTTATAAGCAATACTCAAATTATGAATCTGTCGCTATTCTTATACATAATTCTAATAATGGTGAATTATTATAATTAGACTGAACAATTTAATGTTTCAAATTATTATAAAACTCTGTATATTAGTTGTTAATCATTCCAAGAAGTAACTGACACACGTTAAAATGATTTGCCGGTTTCTTAACAATTTGGATCGAGGAATAACCCGAAACTTAAGTATTATATAATACACGCATCTAATTCACACTCACTCACTGAAAATATAAATCTTTAGTATATGTACAACATACAAGAATTTATTTACAAACACCATGCAAAAAAATACCTGCCAAAAATATCACCAAAATATGAAGCGTGCATTATGGATGGTGTAACAGCAACGACATTGTTTACCGTGCTTCAAACCAATAGAAACAAATTTATCGGCGTTCATACTGGAAGCAGTTTGATATTGCTTCGCCCGTGTCTCCGTGAACCAACAATTTGCCCAAGCGTTTCAGTTATGTTTCATTTCGAATGCGGCACTCATATCTTGCGTGGAGGAGGCGAAAACATTAAAACATTCTTAAATTGTTTAGAATTGTTCCCCGAAAGCCGTAAAAGTTGCTAAATGAATTGTCTTTCTTGGGTGGTCTGCCACTATTTACTGCTGTGGTATATGTTGCCCATGACCAACCGGTGTGGCTTGGCATACTCAACGGTATGATGCAAGTGCAACTAAATAAGTATCTAAGAGGGTGTCACTTACTGTCTATATTGGAAGATGTATTCGTCGTTACTGGCAGCATGAAATTATAATTGGCTATCTGTTGTAAAACATTAATCAATGACACGAGAATTCAGAGTCAAACAGAACCACCTCCAGTTGTCCACGGAGCACGGCCACCCTCCAATATCCTTCTAAATGTCTGCCGAAAAATAACAAGATTATTCATAAACATTGCGCAGGTTGCAGTTGGGGGTGGTTCACAACTGCTGGTAATTTTTCACGACAAGCCCTATAACGTTTTTACCAAAGTTTGCACGCACATAAATATGTAGTGCTTTATATGCACACTGATTTAACAAAATTTTAAATATCAATACACTAAAAAAAATCGACCTGGGTAACTGCGTAATAATTCATTATATTTATCTCCAATAAATTCTTGAACAATCTGGTTGGAATTTGAATATGAAAATAATCAATCTTGTACATAAAGCAAAATTTTTACCACTGGCCCATGCATACTAATTTGCAGGCTTGCTTGTTACCACGAATCTTTTGTGCACAGTTTTGACCACGAGTAATTTACACATTCTTCATCTTCGAGCAAACGGCAATTATGAAGTAATTATCAGTTGGACTTGAATATGCGTTGGAAAGCAAGACGATTCTATAGTAAATTTCCAAGCAGGGACACCGTCTCTTGTACTTGAACCTACCATCTTGTCATAAATTGTGGTCTGCAACATTCTGCTTGTCATGTTTGTTGTATTACCAGCAGAGTTTGTTCTCTGTTTTAACTGCAGATTTTATTTATTGACCAAGTTGAATCAAGATTTACGAATCGCGACGACCTGTCTATTATTTAATCTAGGCAAGAAGCTACATGAGATGAGATGACAAATGTCGCGATTCCTCATGGGAGCTGGGATGCCAATTATTTCACATAACTTGAATCAGGTTTGTTTTAATTACTGGTGAGCATGTTTGGCTAGCTTGATCCTCTGGCATCTCACTCACCATCAACTCAACAATTTTTTCCTCAACAAAACAACATATTAATAACAAAATGGACAACAGTTGTTTCTCAACTAAACAACATTTTGTCCTGGTTTGGCTTTGATATCATAGCCGCCAGTGTCTCCGGATCGATACAATAAACTCGTGTATCCAGCGAGCATCAATATTTATGTGTGCCCTGCAAGACCTGCAACGTGAGTGAACCACTTTGCTCCTCCGAACTGGGAAGAATAATTGAACTTGAACCTTGAATAGGAAATAAATGATGCATTTTATTCAATGACACAACCTTATATGGAGAAAATAACGCGGAGACGAGATCTGTAAATCAGGCAGGCAGGGCAAGAAAGAGGCTTGAGAACAGGAGAAAAAGACGAGAGTGAAACTCTACCTGCAAAACCAAGGATGGAATGCAGTTGGAATGAAACTGGTTTTTCAGCGTGGTTTAACCCTACCCGATGATTTGTACACATTCTAAAAAAATGATTGGACTCATCTGCTCTAGATATTGAATCCTCATGAATATGATGTTCAGCTTGAAGAAATGCAAATAATATTCATTGGCCAAAGCTTGTAATGAAAGTCGTCAATGCTGCATGAGATTCCATTTGAAAAAGTGAAATATATACTTTGATTAACATAGATGTACACACACCAGATTGTTAAATAATCGAATCATTACTCGCTGATTTCAATTTGGAATTCTCAATGAATCTCGTTTTATAACAGGGAGTCAATTCAGCAAGAGTAATTAAGTCTGAATTCTGGGTAGTCAGTGGTTAACATATTTGTTTCAAACTAGTTACTCCATAAACTGAATGAAGTCTCGAATTATAGAATACATTTGTTTGTGCATGATATTTTGATTTGCATATTCCTACCGCATTCCTTTCTCTTGATTGAACGAATTTTAAATACTTCTCAAAGTTGTAAATTTTGCTTTTTAGTAAGATCTCAAAGGTTAACATGCTACACATTTGATTCATGCCACGCTTTGTAATAAATAAGATCAGGAAATGGTCAATTACCCGAATTCTTGACTGATTATATTTGCAAGCTGGGAAATCTATCAAAGTAATACATGGATATGTAGATCAGCAACATAATGGTACACATGTAATATTTTCTGATTGACAGCGGGTTTTCTATTCGCCTTATTCAAAACAGATTTGTGTGTAATTTGTCTGCTGTGAGTGGTCAGATTTTTATAATTTGAGGTTTCAGGACTAATCATAAATTGAATATTTGAATTCCTGCTTCCCTCAATTACAATTTCCCACAGACATCTACATATTTATTTACCAGTGCTGACTACCACCCATGATTTCATCCGCCCCGGCAGTCAAATTCATTTAAACCAAACTTAAAATTTCAATTATTTGTTCCAAGCAGAACCAATAATTTGGTAAATACCTGATGTACAAAGAACAAAAGTTGTTCCCAAAATCAATTTATTCCTCTGCGTTAATTGAAGAGACAAAAGAACTGAGTCACACGTCATGATACTTTTTAAAAGTATATCATCTCGGGTAAAAACAGGCTATCTTATTGTTCTCCCAAGAATCTTACTTGGAAGAAGATACTTGGAAGAAGATACTTGGAAGAAGCCGAAAAAAAGTACCCAGGGTTGAAGACATGCAGGGTTTGCATGATGTTCTCTTTAGTGATGGAAAGAGAGGAAAAAGTGGTACTGAGGCTAAGCCTTTCTACCCATGCACGTATACCTTTCAGTGCACTTGGGCATCTATCTACACGGGACTTGCACCACCTTCATTATATTTTTATCCAGGAAGATGATTGCCTTTTCTTTCCCATCTCGGGCGTATGCATGTATGCATCTAGTAGCAAGTACGTATTGCCACGACTTGGTTGTTTTTGTACTCGCCTTAAAAACTGAAAGTGGTTGAGATGAGATGAGACTCATTTCCCAGATGGAATATGTATATGATTATTATTATTGCCACGAAGAATGCATTCACCAACAGTTATCACCACCACAAAACGGACGGATAGTTACTTCCACTACGACGACCACAATTCTTCATATAATGGTCCTTCTTGGAGGAGAGGAGGAGGAAGAAGAAGAGACTTGAGGAATGCAATCTCTGCCGCAGCCTTGCTCTCGTATTCTTTTTTATCAAGAGTTCTGGCTGGTTGGTTGGTGGACTAGGGCCGAGCTACCCATTCGTTTTTTTTTATTTTAAGATGTGCCCAGCTTATTACGTGCATTAGAATTTGGAGGAGCTGTTCGTTTAAAAGAAACTAAAAAGGAGGGTTTGATGAGCACTGTCATTAATTAACATGCCAGAACGTAGCCATTGTGTTATGATGGTGCCGTGCATGTGCTTATATTCTTTTCTTCCTCCATTATTTTTCTCTAGCGTCCTCGTCTCATCCTTTGTGATAAAGTATGTCCCCCCGTGATTAAAACCTACGGGATAATGAAATGGAGTGACATAAAAGTCTTTGCACGGGAGAATATCTCTGAATCGCCTCTGCATTCTTATAAAACATGCACACATGAATATGCATTTTCGTCGTTTACATTTTTCTACACACAAAATAAACGAAACGAGTAAACGAATGTCATAAACACTTGTATAATACACTATTAATGAATTTGGGTTCATAATCTTGATCAGTATTATATGCTTGTTGCATAATGTTTATGTCATTATTCTCTCGCTTGTGCATACCATGGGTCAGGTTTAAATCAGCTTAAAATATTTTTCATAGTTGAATAAACTTTAAATCTTCACATTTGCAACCAAGACCAGCTACGTGAAATTTATTGCGATTGTATTGTTCTCCGTTGCTTATGCTTTATGGTTATAATTTGAACTATTAGCAGAAAAGTTTAATCATCCTGGCATTCCATCTAACAAAATTACTTTCTTTACAGTTTGCATTGGGACTCAAGGTCGCATGTCCGTCCCTTCCAACCGGTCACATCATTATCGAAACTTGAAGGATCGATACACAAATTGTACGTACGTTGAAGGAAATTTGGAACTCACGTGGATTCAAGGTTTGTAACTTTTTATTTATCAGGCAATTGAAAATATTTGCAAAATCCAATAAATATGACATTACATATTTCATTATTTGTCGTCAATTCAATTACCCCGCATAATTTACTATATTTTGCATTGTGTAGATAAAGACATGGACCTAAGCTTTCTCCAACACATTCGTGAGGTTACTGGTTATGTCCTAATTTCTCACGTCGACGTCCAAAGGATACTTCTTCCAAGCTTGCAGGTCATAAGGGGCCGCACTCTGTTTAGACTGAACGTGCATGACGACGAATTTGTAAGTTGGGTTTGCATCATTTTTTAAATTGAATTTAGTATAAATTTAGTAGCATTTTATAATAACTGTTTGAAGACAATGTTCCCATTATACAGTGGGAATTTTAACATTTTTCTTAGATGATGCTATTCTCTAATGACAAACAATATTGATAAATGCTATTAAACATTATTTTATTTGCAGGCGTTGATGGTCACATTATCTCGCATGAACAACTTGGAATTACCTGCTCTACGAGGTATTTACATACATTTCCTTTCTGCATACAAAGTGCGAGGTGAAGGAATTAATACATGAAGTACATAAAACGCCATGTACACATACAGATCTCTGGCTATAATGCATACCTCCTTGCGCAAGGATTCATTAGATCATCATTATACCATCTTCTTGAAAGGTTGTGTGTGTGAGAGAGGAATAATTCTGGCCGAGTGCTTGTCAATTTCTACTTCTTCTTGCTGCAGACTAAATAGTAATGTCTTTATCCCATTGTTGGATTTGAGTTCTGCAAGGAAATAAAATATGTTGTAGCATTGTTTGTAGGCAAGTATGCAGAAATATGTATGTTGGGTGTGTGATATGTAAAATACATACACACAGACACACACCATTTCACTCACAGCAGGGACAACCAAGTTTGTACCCTTTGAAGAATGAAAAGGCGGATTTCACTAAGAACGAAGAAGAACGGTTCTCAAATAGTCTGTACGACTGCTTGTTATTCTTGCGTGAAAACTATGAAAAATACCAAAATTCTTCATTTCAATGTTACCAGAGATTAGGCATGTAGTTATGAATGAAAATTATTCAAGAAGTTCACATTATTCTCCGTCATCTGCGTACTATCTTGATTGTAAGAAAAACAAGAATCTCACACTACGTTTGTGCATAATGTGAGATTCACAACAGTGCGGTGCCTAACACACCGTGTGTTTGACTTATAATAGTACTGATTAATCTAGCAGTTAAACAATTAGCTTGGAGTAATTGTATGGCTTTCCAAATTCCTGAATATTCGCTTTCTTCTGCAGATGTGTTGGCCGGAAACGTGGGAATTTTCAACAATTACAACTTGTGCCATGTGAAAACAATCAATTGGGATGAGATAATCAGTGGAATCAATTCCAAGGTTAATTTCATTAAAATGATGATTCAGATTCAGATCCATTTATAAATGCATGCCATAACTGTCCATGTTATCGTTTTAAAGTACGTCTATGTGTACAACTATACTCAACCTGAACGAGAATGCCCACCGTGTCACTCTTCTTGTGAAGCTGGCTGTTGGGGCGAAGGACTGCACAACTGTCAAAAGTTTTCAAAAATCAACTGCAGCCCCCAGTGTCACGAAGGACGGTAAGTCAGCTATAAAACTGAATATACACTAAATTAAATGCTAAGATCTGTACTTGTCTCACCAAAAAATCTATTCATGCCCCGTTTCATTCCTGTTTTTTTAGATGTTACGGACATGAACCTCGTCAATGCTGTCATCTCTCATGTGCTGGTGGGTGCACGGGTCCGAAAAAGAGTGATTGCCTGGTAAGTCCGACAACTCCGACAAACAACTGTTAAAAATCTACGTGCTGTATGTCACATTTTTAGCACACCTTTCTAATATGCATATGCTCATAATGTTGGATGCAGAGATAGATAAGACTGCACGATACTTAACACGACACTAAAGAAAAATTAGTACCTATGTTGTTGGCTTACCAAAAAATTTTACACCTGCTCGCATGCATATCACCAGCAGTTCATTATACTAAAAAAGTTTAGCTTCTTGGATGGAATTGAAGAATGTAATGTGCATCACATGTGTATGTGCATGGTAGGATCCTGAGTATAAAAAACAGAGTTTGCCCAAGTGTTTATCATTTTAACAAGACTTTACTAACAATGAAAATTAACAGAAATATTCCCTGGTAAAGTGGCATTCCACCTGATTTACATGGTTTTACACGATCAGTGATACATTCGGAATTTCAAAGATCCACAATAAACATTTCCGAAGAAATATCTCTACCCCTACTTTGTAGTAAATGTTTATGACAGTTAGGAAATAAAAGTGTAAAAACAGCAGAGTTATCAGGCGACGATGACTTGTCATTGACCCTATGGATTTGCGTCTTAAAATAGCCCAGCAAACAACCAAGTTAAAAACAATCTATAAATTTTATGGGTTTATCGCTGTAAATTTTAATGTCGACGGACGTACATATATGCATTGGTATACTATTGTACATACATATCGTCTGCTATATGGTCGCTATACATCAAAGTGAGATTGTATAATATGTATATTTGGGATTAGTAGTATTCATCGGCAATCTCGTTTGAGACACCAATTGAATTACGACTTGGCTATGACACATTTTAAATTTCTGAATTTTATTTTATAGGCATGCAAAAAGTTTTACGACGATGGCGAATGCAAAGATGAATGGTAAGAGTTTTTTTTTCATTCTCTAAACTGACATGTTATCATGAATTTTGTTCACTTACAAACATGTAGTCCGTCTTTGGTCGTCTACAACCCAAACTCATACCTGAGCGAGAGGAACCCCAACGGGAAGTACGCCTATGGGGTAAGAATTGATTTTTTAGTAATCAGGTCAAGGTTATGATAAATTCATTTTGTCTTCCACTTTCAAACTTGAGATTGAAGTGTACAAAAGTTGCGATTTAAAACAGCTCGGCCATGTTTCCCATTACAAATCTCAGAAAACTAGTCCATTTCGAATAAATCCCAGCAAAAATACTTTACATATATGTACATGTTGTATGCATCACAGGCCACTTGTGTCAAGACCTGTCCGGATCACTTATTGCGTGACGCCGGGGCTGGGGCGTGTGTTCGGTCGTGCCCTCCTGACAAAGAGGTAAAGTATGTTATGAAACGAATGATAGGATGCTTGATTTTTTAGGTTCAGTGAAATATATTTTTATGCAAGTTTTCAGTTCTACCGATAACTTTTACCTTGCATTAAAGAGCATAAAATGGCATAAAAAATGTCGGAATGCTTAAACATTGACAGGTAGTTTTTTTATTAGCAGATATTGCAATTTATTACGAGTCTATGAACAGAAACAAAATATTTTTGCAATTTTATTAGTCTTAACCCAACCATGTAAGGGAACTTGAACACATTCTTAGATATGTGGACAATAATAATAAAATAATATAGGAAAAAATGTGTTTCAATATGTAGGGCAGTACTCATTATACAAAGTATTTACTAATAATTATATTTATGCGACAATTTTAGGCTGTGGACGGAGAATGCGTCTCTTGCAATGGACCTTGTCGGAAGAAATGTCAAGGCCCACCAGTCAACGGGATAATTCATTCGGGCAATATCGACAATTTCAGAAATTGTACCATTATCGAGGGATCAATTGCAATACTCGAAACATCATTTAACGGGTTTCAAGATGTAATTAATCAAATTTAACCCACCAATGATTTATTTTTATACATAAATATGCACATATATAATATATGATATATTCCATTTACAACTGTGTCTGTAAACACAGGTACATCCCAACTATACTTTTGGGGCTCGGTTTGCACCTATGGCACCAAGCAAACTTGAAATTTTCAGCACTCTGAAAGAGATTACAGGTAAGATAATACTATTATTTGAGTTTTGCGTGATATAATTAATGTATTTATTTCAGAGTGCATCTTGGGTGTATGAATATGCATAATTAAATCAATTTTTTCACTTTTCAGGCTTTCTGAATGTCCAAGCAACACACCCTAATTTCACCAGTCTGTCATATTTTAGGTAATTTGCATATAACAAGCATTACAAAGTATACGCAAATGTCTTGATGTGGTGAAGCACGCAATTAATTATAAACTATGTGTGTATTTACCTTGCCTTTATTATTATGCTTTGTCACCTCAGGTTTAATTTACAATCCTTCAGTGATTGACGCCATGTTTCTTTCTGACAGATTGTTTAACTCCCTGCGCAAACAAACTATCTTCACCCGCTTCATTCATCACTATTACTAATATTAGACGTAAATTTGGTTCGCTTTAGTTTTTCACAGCCCATGCAACCTGCGATTGGGCAAACTACGTCAGAATTCTTAATTGCTTATTCATCAAACAATGACAAAATGATGGTCGACTATTTACGCAGCCATCATGACCATATTTTTTTTACTGCTGAGAATATAACTAGTATAATAATTTACTTAAGTAAGTTCAAAGTCTGAGCAAAGTATTTTCCACCCTGCAAGCCATCATGATTTTAGTAAGTCGGAATAATTTAAAATTTTATTGACTGCGAAATGGAATGATAAGATGGTTATTACTGATGAGATCCAACAGAAGATTACGTAATATTGCCCCAGGGCTCATCAGAACACTTTATTATCAACCAGCATTAAATACTATTCTTTCTTTAGCCCTACGTTTTTTTCACTGCCTGTCTGTCATTGTTACATAAATACCTGCATTTAATATTCAAACTACAAGATTTTTTTTGCCCATGCCTCCAAACTAAGTATTTAAAATGTGTGATGGATTCTTCCATAGGAATTTGGAAATAATTGGAGGGAGAGAAAAGGCCGACTTTTTCTCGTCGTTGTACATTGTGAAGACCAGTTTGAAGGAGCTGAAATTGAAGTCCTTAAACAGTATTCGGTCTGGATCAGTGACTATATTGGAAAATAATGACCTATGCTTCGCACAAAGTATCAACTGGCAAAAAATCATGCAAAAACCCATGCAGGAACAAGTATCTAACAATAACCCGCAAGAAACATGTCGAAAGACGGGTGAGGTCTGCAGCAGTCAATGCTCCACAGACGGCTGTTGGGGAGCGGAACCCAGCGATTGCATTTCATGTGCAAAATTCAGACTGGCAGATCAATGCGTTCCGAGTTGTAATGCAACCGTGGGGTAAGTAATTACTTATTTATCAATTTAATTGATGTGCTTATTATAACATTGCGTTTATTCCCATGCTGTAGAATTTATGAAGATTCCCCTGGAATTTGTAAGCAGTGCAGTGAACAATGTGAAAAGACGTGTCATGGCCCTGGACCCGGAAATTGTGCCAAGTGCAAGAATGTCAGTGATGGCCCATTTTGCGTGGGTATGTACACATACGTATAATTTTATTTCGAGTCAGTAAAATATGACATAAATATGTGCATTTGTATCTGTACAGATGTCTGTCCACCTATGAAATATAATGTTTCTGGTGAATGCAAGTCCTGCCACACGAGTTGTACGGATGGATGTACAGGACCCAAGAGCACAATCGGATTTTCTGGGTGTAACTCTTGTCAACAGGTTAATATACATAAAATCCACTTATAAAAATACAGCGTCATGCATAGTGCAAATTCCTAAGAACTGACAGCAAATTAATTTGGTTAATTTATTATAATAATTTTTATCAATAGGCAATTGTTGATGAAAATGACAGTATCGTAAGTTTATTTTATTTATTTATGTAATCACACCTGCTATTTTATCATCAAAACGGAAAAGTAATGGGAATTTATTTATGCTCGATTATAGGAACAATGTTTGGGAAGAGACGAAACTTGTCCACGTGGTTATTAGTAAGTAACGTACAATTTTTATGTATACATATCCATATTTTTATGAAGGATATTAATTCAGTTGATACTTGTTCAAACAGCTATGAATCCGTAAGCCCAAAGGAGTCTGGACCATTGAAGGCGTTGGCTGGAAAAATTGTCTGTCGTAAATGTCACCAGCGCTGTAAACTGTGTACTGCATATGGATTTCATACACAAGTAAGTTGCATGCGATGCTTATGAAGTAACTCAATATGCACAATATTGAATGTTTAATACATAATTTACTTAATTTTAGGTGTGTCAAGAGTGTGCAAAATATAAGAAAGGAGAACAATGTGAAGACGAATGTCCTACGGATTTTTATGCGGACGAGGATCTTCGTGAATGTATTCCATGTGCTGACGAGTGCAGGGGGTGCAGCGGCCCTGGAGCAGATAACTGCATCGCATGTCGCAATTACAGAATTTATCCGGTATTTAAATTACTCAACCAAAGACTTAAATATGCACAAGGACAAAACAAAAAGAACAAAACCTTGTACTTATTGCATTACTTGGTAATTTTCAGGATGATGATGCTGCTAATGAAGTCAACTCAAGTTTCATATGCACGATTCAATGTCCTACTGAACACCCCCACCGAATTGTAACTGATGATAAAGAGCCGTATTGTTCGCATCATACACAAACTCCAATCTAGTAAGTGCCAAACATTTAGCAAATGTCTCATGAAATTTGCATTCATACATCGTGATGGTGGAATACGCAACACGTTTTATTAATCCTATTTATTTTTACCATCAACAGTGAAGAAAATCAAAGACCAGCAATCGTTGTGGGAGCAATTACATTCGTGGTCATTCTTTTGGTGTTTGTTATAATAATCGGATTTTCATGTATTCGTTACAAGAACAAGGAGGATACAATTAAAATGGCAATGGTAATTGTTACTACTAAATTCCTTGCAATCCATATAGAGCACTGATATTTTTAGAGTTATCAATTTATAAATTACTTGTTTATTATCACCAGCAAATGACTGGATATGATGACAATGAACCGTTGAGGCCGAGCAATGTAAAACCAAATCTTAGCAAATTCAGAACCGTCAAAGAAGAGGAATTACGAAAAGGAGGCGTTCTTGGCTGTGGTGCATTTGGCACTGTTTTTAAAGGTACATTTAGAGCTACTTAAACTAAACAAATGTAATAAAAGCGACTCGCAGATCAAGTTTTTGAAAAAAAAATTGTCAGACTTCATTATAACGGTTTTTGTATGTTGGTTTATTACAGGAGTATGGATTCCCGAAGCTCAAAATGTTAAAATTCCTGTGGCTATAAAAGTTCTTCGAGAGGGAACTGGGGCAAATACCTCGAAAGAATTTCTTGATGAGGCGTACATCATGGCAAGCGTCGAACATCCACATCTTCTTAAACTCCTTGCCGTTTGCCTCACCTCTCAACTCATGCTGGTTACACAACTCATGCCTCGTAAGCACTTTGTTCAACAGTACAACTCGTTAAATACTTACTTCTGGATAGTGATTATTTTCAACTTGTTCTAAAAACTTGCAGTGGGATGTCTTCGCGACTATGTTCACAACAATAGAGATAAAGTTGGATCTAAGGCCCTTCTCAACTGGTGCACACAAATAGCTAGAGGTACTTGACCCTGGTTTATGATAATCATCATGTCATTCACAACGCGTGTCAGTCATTAGTCTCTTGCACCAATTATAAAAACATTAATCATTTGAATGATTCTGTGTTGTCAGGCATGGAATATTTGGAAACTCGACGACTCGTTCATCGTGACCTAGCAGCTCGTAATGTGCTAGTGCAAACCCCAACATTTGTCAAGGTCAGTAGTCTTTTTTTTATTATGCGAATTTTATTGAGAGATGTACAGCAAGTAAAGAAAATAGCAACCAGCTACATGTATGTGATATTAATGTTGGGAAATCTATGTTTTCAGATAACTGACTTTGGTTTGGCCAAACTTCTCGACTTGGACGAAGACGAGTACAAAGCGGAAGGAGGCAAGATGCCAATCAAGTGGTACCACTCAATTATACTTTATGTTTTATTTTCAAGTGACTACTTATGACTAGAATTAGTTAAAGAACACAAAGGAACACGCTTATCCGGCACCATACTTTTAACCAACTTACGGAACTTCGCCAATTCTAAGTTCAACTTTGACCTCTCCTTCCCCCACTTATTCTTATTTGATTCTATCGTCTCTTGGAGGTTGTTGTTCTCTCCTCTGAGGTTGTCGTTCTCTCCTCTGAGGTTGTTGTTCTCTCCTCTGAGGTTGTTGTTCTCTCCTCTGAGGTTATCGTTCTCTCCTCTGAGGTTATCGTTCTTTTGTCGCAGATCGTTGATTTGATGCACGATGTCGCCAGTAGGGATGACAGAGCTGGAGTGTGAATAGACAAGTGAGTGGGGCGGGTTTGATGTTTTCGGAGGAATGACATCAGAAGCAGTTGACAAATTTAGTTGGCGTTTATTGGGAACACCGGTGAATTTCATTTTTCGGTCAGGTTGAGTTGAGGGTGAGACAATGGTCGCGGTGGGTACGGCACGTATAAATTTACTACGAGCAAAACAATATGCTTTATCAAAATATCGTTATAATTTATAGTTTATCAAGTTAATCTTAAAAAGACATTACTCACGGTTTGTGTTGTGTTTTCGCTGATGACGTTAACGGCAATGAACCAGATCCATGTTTAGCGGTGTTATGTTTTGCTAAACTGCTTGGGAATTTAAAAGACGCCGGACACAACTCACATTTGAAGTTCCTCGCATCGTCATGAACAGCGGAATGTCTAGTTTGTGCAAAAAATTAAAGAAAACTTTCATCATCTCAGTTTCTAATTACATGTTTACTTTCATTAAGCTTACATTTTCAACTCGGATGGTGTTGTACAACTCACTTCGCAACCCTCCTTGTTACATTTGAATTTTTTGGGGTGCGAAGATGAGGATTTAAACTTTGGTACAACTTTAACGATTATTTCTTCTTCGTCGTCGTCATCGTCTACGGGTTGTTTGTAATGCGAAATTATAGAACTATATGAGATAAACAAGTCACACAGTTGAAGGACCACTTGGAGGAAATTAATTCACAAAACATTAACTTGTACTTACTCAATCAAAGCATCTATTTTTCCTGAAATATTCCTTAGAATGTATGAAGATTCCTCACTTTTATTACTCCCTGGCAAATTATCCCGGTTCTTTCGATGTTGTTTTAGTTGGACACCATCGTTGTAGTTGCATCCAAAAACGGGAAAGATTACAACGTCTTCTCGAACAGCTGTCAGCCGAGGATCCATGTGCTCCCTATCGCAATTTCGACAATATTTGTAGCATGTTACGGTATAATTAACATTTAATGAGTATTAACATGTACACTTACAGTATCGAACATGAATTCAAGGCGTACGCATTTTTGATAGCACCAGCCGCAGCACGGGTTGCATCACGATAACACGAAAACCCTAAAGTGATGTCACGAACTCTTCCTTGAAAATCTTTCCAGAGTATTGCGAAAATGGAGTAGATCTTCGCCTTGCAATCTTTGAGAACCAAATAATAAATTTAATATATATTTCTAATATAGCACCGAAACGTTTCACCTTTTATAACATCCGCTTTTGTAACTTTGACACCAATTTCCTCACCGGTCTGACCATTTTTTCTCACTGTAAATAAGTAGTCTCCATCTTTTACGTCGTTCAAGTTTAGATCTCCCGTTGAAGTAAGCTAATAAATATTTACAAGATAAGTCTACGACATAATGGGCATAATACATGTTTTTGATAAGTGATCCTTACCGGAAAGTATTCTTTTTTCATTGGTCGTAACTTTCCACCGCGAATTAACACCATCTTCTCTACCTCCATCACATGAACGACTTTATTTTGGGCTGAAAATAATAATAAAACTTTAATCGACTGACGAAAACAATTATCTCCTACCTACCGTTCTTTGCTCCCCCCACATTATCCACTAACCCCAGAGCCTGTTGCTGGTTTTTGTTTAATTCAACCCACTCCCCCTTGCCCCTGTCAAATCTATACATTTTTTAAAAATTACGAAGTTGATAACAACAACTGCAATACAGTGACGTATAGTTTGGTTTTGCCGGTGTAACAGTGGGTAATCCGTGACGAATATGACAAAAGTTTAATGAAAATGATTATTGATTTATTTTTGCCTTTAGGTTAGCTTTGGAGTGCATCACAGACCGAGTTTTCACTCACAAATCGGATGTCTGGGCATTCGGTGAGAGGCATACTTAATATAATCAGAGTTAGATTTCTATTTGCGAGAACTTAGCGAGAATCATGAACAAATGATCAAACTTCTTGAATGACGTGAAATGTTAAACCAAGTTTACTTTTTAACCAAGTTTTGTAACCATTGTCGTTATTTTATAATTAGGTGTCACCGTCTGGGAGTTACTTACGTATGGTGGTCGCCCTTATGAAAATATTAGTGCTCGAGATGTTCCGGATCTATTGATGAAAGGCGAAAGGCTTCAACAACCACCATTCTGTACGCTGGAGCTTTACTTGATCATGCTTAAAACGTGGGTGCTGGAACCTGATGCTCGTCTCAGCTTTCGTGAATTAGTGGAAGAGTTTGCTAAGATGGCTCGGGATCCAGGTCGATATTTGGCTATTCCAGGAGATAAACTGATGCGCCTACCATCTTACACGCCACAGGTATCCAGAATTGCATATGCATTAAAGTTATTTTTTAGCCCTCAAGAACCCGCTCAAAGAGCGTTTTTACTAATTTGGAGAACAAATACGTAGGTTTAGCAATATATATAACAAGGTGAATTTTGGGACGTCTGAACATTCATTGAAGTTTGAATTTAGCTACTGCAATGTTCTTTTGTATGATATAATACAAGGAAATGCTAATGAACCCGGAAGTACGAACCCACTTCTTTCTCCCCATTTGTAACAAGTTCATTCTTCCAAATCCACTTAAATATGTACTTGTATCACCATTTGTAAACTTTCTTATGCACACAAACTTACAAGTACAAGCTGACATTTGCCGTGTTAAGATCTAATTAACTTTGATAACTTTATTTCCAATCCTTTTATTTGATTCAACGTTTCCTTTCTCAATTTTCAGGATGAAAGAGAGCTGATTCGAAACTTATCGTCTGCCATGGACGGTCCTGATATTATAATTAATGCCGAAGAGTATCTCCAACCAGGTTTAACTAACGGAGGTGCCGGTACTATAACCTCATCTGGTTCCACAAACGGTACAATCAAGCATAATGGGTATCCCCCTGCTTCGGAAGTTTCGTGGCCAGATTCTCCTCAGAATCTCCACCATAGGATGCAAGCAAGGCATCGCTATGGCGTTGGAAGAGGTCAGTCCACGGTCGACTCCCGCTACTGCAGTGACCCACTGAACATGTTGGGCAAGGACTCGAGTGACGGTTGTTACTCTGAAGGCTCGACAAAAAGCAGACAGGCCCAGGTCGGGGACGGAATAAACTTCAAGTATGCACAAATATCACGATTTTCAATAAATATGTAAATGTCAACTAAATCATACCGTCAACCAATAAAATCATTCATTCCGTTACTCAAATTTAGACTGCAACTTGATCTCCCAGTGGATGATGATGACTATTTAATGCCGTCGCCACAATACAATCAAAACGCCACAGCTTATCTCGACGTTGTTAGTGACCCTAGTGCCAAAGGTTTACAAGGTGTGTAGTTTGCACTATATTTTGCAGATTGAGATTTATTATAAAAGTCAATTAATTTGAATTTAATTAATATTGAACTAATATTTATTTATTTAGGTGAAGCAAAAGCTGGTTCTTATGCAGCCCTCGCAGCTCAAAGGCGAAATCACTACCCAACTCTAGTGGACAATCCCGAATATCTCAATAACCCCGAACTAATGTCCATCAGAGAATACGCCAATGTTCCCATGTCACATGCCAGCTATGCTCCCATAGGTCTCCCAAACCCACGATCCCAGCAACTCTACCCCCAACCTCCGAACCATTTTTACCCTCAAGCTGTTAATGGCAAACCCTCACACGCGGCCGTGGCGAACAATCCCCCGCTGAACAATAATGCTCAACAACAACAACCCCCATTCGTCATCTCTGGGAACAGGCCAGGCTCCGTTGGACGTCAAGGCTCTCGGTCAGAGGAAGAGTCAGACCACGAGTATTACAACGAATTAGACAAACTGCAGCGTGAAATGCAACCCCTTCAATCAAATGCTCGCAAAAACGAAACGACTGTTTAGCTTTTTAGTAATAGGAATATAATGTCATGAGACCAAATCTAGTTTGTAAGATAAGTAGGATAAGATAAATGGTATCGATCGATATGGCAGCTTTTTCGTACGTTGTGTTCAACTGAAATGTAGAAACATTTTTATTTATTTTGTACAAAAAACAAGTGACACTCGACATATTACACGTGTTCACAATTTCTCAATCGAGAAGAATTTCCAAGTAATTCCATAAGCAATAACATAAAGACATGATATCAATCAAATTTTGCAATGTATACTATACAATCAGTACATGGTGGATTATTATAAATCATATCCGACTTTCCAAGTAGAAATGGTAAGGCAAAAAAATATTATACAGACTTTGAACTAATCCTAATAAGGCTATAATATATTTATAAATCATCCAAGTAATGATAATCTTTTAACGATGAACTTATTTAGCAACAATGTACAAAGCTTTCAGAGTGTGTTTGAATATTACGCAACGAAAGATTGATTTTTATTAATAGTATGCTAGTTAGCGTAGGTATAAGTCCCGGTTATTTAGTAATTATATGACTTTTTACAATGAAAACTACGGTGAAGTTAAAATCACTAAAGCAGGTACAATGTACATCGAATATAAAAATTATACAGTGGCCTTTTAATGCCTTTTTAGCTCGAGTTTCGATATAATGTTGAAAATATTTAAGTGCTACTAATAGTCAAGAGTAAGCCAAGTGTACAGAAACATTTTTCGAAAAAAACTCCCAACAAAACTTTTTACGTGTGTAGTTTGCAATAGTTTGCATACAATAAGAGTTGCTGCACAGTTGCACGTTATAATATTACACGTTACAATAAATAAGAACATGTAGGGAACATACGCTCAAACTTAATTCTTTTATGTACACTTCCATGATAAATATTATTGGCGCACCGAACATTTTGTATTTTTTCTACCAGCGTTTCTGTTACGTTTCAGTGAACATGTCCAATAATTGATATATTCTGCCTTGTTAGCTTTTATTAACTGAAATTCTAAACTCACTTAATAATTTTAAGGTTATGTAATATGTATACATATGTCATTAATTGTTTTATATAGAAGCTGTCAGCATTGGCAGTTATTTTAATGTTTGACATTGTCTATCTGTGATAATAAAGCATATAAAGTTTTCTATAAAAGTAAATAACCAACTTGACTGAGCTCTAGCCTAAATCCATATATTCAATTGATTAGTTCGTGATAATTCCGAGTGTTGAGTTGGGAAATCCATGGGTGGCACAATTTTAAGCATTACAAAATGAGACATTACACGCGACGCCTGGATTTCTTAATATGCTGTAAATTTTCGGTTTGGTACGACAATTAACCACTACAGCCTCCATCAGACGTTTACTATGAATCGATTTTGCTCATCTTTTCGAACTTGACTTTAGCCCTATTATTTAACTATTGACAAATGTAAGTCGATTGGTTGAGTTTAAACTGAGTTATCAACATGTTTTGGACAGAAACTCTACCTGGGCTTGACAATATTTAGTACATATATATAGATAGGTAATGCATGTGTATAATCATGCATTGCTTTATCCAAAAAACACGTTCATTTTAATTGTTATACGACCTCAGGAAAATGTTTAAACAATTGTGTAGGTAGGTTTGTAAAAGAAGAGTGTTATTACGTACAACAAGCTAAAAAGTGAACCTGGTTTTCTCTCAAGTCCATTCATCAGCAAAGTCTGCAAAATTACCCATGTTCCCCAAACGAGGTTGGAAAATGAGAATCAAGCAGAACTCGTCTTTGTTGCAAATAATGGCTAATAAAATATAAGTTGGAGAGATCAAGCTGTTGTCCTTCCATCTAATGAAATAATCTTCTTCTTGCAGTGATTTTCTAAATGGGGTATCACTTTCATCAGATCTTTGCATTTACATTAAACAAAAGTAAAACTTTACGCACGCCGAGTCTTATTCGCGTATATTTTGTAAATCCAGTCAAACTCGCGCAACATAATAAAACATGAGCTGGGATCAGTATCAGCAGCGGAAGGTGAAATGTCAAAAATCTATACGCGGAGAGTAACCTGCACAAAGTTTTACATTTCTTTATCTTCTGCAGTTAAACACACATAGCTGAATGAAATGCATTCAGAATGTATAAATACATATGTACTTGATACAAAGTTGCGAGGCAAATGGGAATTAAACTGCTGAATCTTCACGTTCTTGAGCATAAAAGAGGATCAGCAGAGTTGGCGTTTTATAATCGTTGTTGTCATTTAACAAGCTGCATATGTACAGTCAATGGAAAAAGTATTGGCAACCCCCACGTCAGCTAAATAAAATTGGCTATAACCATGGAATGCATCATACAATTGGTATGGAAATTTGTACCCATTTAGCAAATATAATGTAGTTTTCGATTATAATCATGATTTATTAATTAAAATTAGATAAACACAGTTTTTAAATAATTTGTTGGAAAATTTGCAAAATTTACCCGCAAAAAGTATTGGCAACCCTTAACTTAAAAAATCATAAATCAAAGAAACGCCAATTTTATTATTACAAACTGCTTCTAGTATTACGTAGCACCTCCCCTCGACGCAATACAAGCAAAAATACGTCGTGGAATTGATTCAACAAGTTTCGTTATAACGCTTTTCTATATGGCTGCCCACACTTCCTTTGAACTTTTGACAAGCTCGTTTTTCGAAGAGTGGTTTCCCACCAGTCCCTCTTTTCTGAATCCGGACAATCAGAATCACATCGGGAGACTGTGCAATCAACGAAAGAAGCTTAACCTTTTCGATCTCCAAAACCTTGCATCGTTAAATTGGCTACATGTTTGGGGTCACTGAATTTTCGGAATATAAAATTCCTTCATAGGTCAGATTTTTATCAAATAATTTCAAATTATCGTTTAGAATGATTATTTGGACCTCATTGGTCATGATTCCATCGATAATGACCAGCTACCTACCCCACGACCTAGTCATTTAACCCCAAACCATAATCGCTCCTCTTCTGTGTTTAGCTGTCATACGAACATATTCGTTTTTGTGAGCCTATTATGGCATCCGCCAGACTTGAACCATTCAATTTGCTCCGAATAAGTAAAATATGCTTATGTCAGACCAGCAGAACCTTCTTCATTCATTGGAAGTCTATTCAGGGTGGTGTTTAGTCCATTCCAATTTATTGAGTTGGTTCGTTTTGGGGACCCTCGCGTCAGTCGGGCTTCTGGACCCTGAAACCCCATGGCATGATTTTTGATTGATCACAATATTGCATGATATGTTGACGCCACAGTTGGTTCTCAAATTCAACATGGTTTTTGGGGTTAAAATCTTCCGATCTCGAGTGATAATTTGCTTGATTCATCAGTGGCTCGTGGGCGTAGGTGACTTTTTTCTTCCGCACCATGGAAAAGTAGAAACTGAGATTGTCATTTTATATTTCTTGGCTACCTATTCAATAGTAAATATGGAAAAGTATGTTTTCTCTTTGATTTTTCGATAGTAAAGCTTTTTTGTGAAAGATACATGATTATTTCTCGCCGCGCCAAATACAGCTCGTTTGATGTCGCCATTTTGGCTCCAGACAACACAACTGTAGACTTAAAATGTAGCTAACGTCATATTTGGTCACCTAATTAACTTACCGTAATGAAATGTGGTAGCTGATTAAGAAAATTGTTTCGCGTAATTAATTTGGCCACATGTTGCCAATACTTTTTGCGGGTAAATTTTGCAAATTTTCCAACAAATTATTTAAAAACTGTGTTTATCTAATTTGAATCAATAAAACATGACTATAATCGAAAACTACATAATATTTGCTAAAGGCCTACAAATTTTCATGCCAATTGTATAATGCATTCTAACGTTACAGCAAATTTTATTTAGCTGGCGTGGGGGTTGCCAATACTTTTTCCATTGACTGTACATACATGCCCACATACAAGTATTATTGCAATTCCAATTGACTGGCTGCTGGACAACTTGATTCGTAGAGTTGAAGTTGTTTTATGTCATCAAAAGGGTGGACATAAGTACATATGCATTCATTATTAGATGTGATTGTATGAATACGTATGTACATGGACTACGAAAGAAGGCGATAAGTTTAACGACATTTATTAGCGATGAGGTTAAAATGTCAACCAAATCTTGTTTAGGTAATTTCCTTTCCCTTGAATGCAAATTAATGCTAACACATTTATGATACTCTGACAAACAACCTCAAATTGGTTTTCTACAATGAGGTAATCTTCTAAATTCCTTTTCTCTTGTAAATAAAAGTTTTATAGTTTCAAGAAATTCGCTAAGAAGTAAGTAGTTCATTTTAGACGGGCTTATGAAACCGTCATGTCCGTTTGTCTGTCTCTCTCTGACGAACGACTGAACCGATTTTGACCAACCAGTCTTAAATGGGTACATCGACAAGATTTGGATAAGTTCATATTTCAGCCATCAACCGACAAAGCTGGTTGGAATTTTGCATGGCATACAGACACAGGAAAATAGATGCACAATAACGATCCCACTTTGTGAGATATTGGTCAGGGGGTCTTGAAAAGGGTAAGCCACACTGGGTTTCAAAATTCAATAAGTGACGAGAAAAACGACTAGCTTGGGCTATATTAAGTCTGCACTCTAGGTTTTTATTTCAAGAAACATGCACAACAAAAATAACCTTGAGTTGCATATAAGCTCTTACATTTGGTTCTCATCCGACAGGTTGTCTTCTCTTCCAACCAAGAGAGAGAGACTGGGGGGCCGAGACCATAACACGAGAATAACATTTATGCTAAAATATGCAAGTTTTGAAATGCCTTTGCAGAATGACACCTCAGTACTTTTTCTTTCCCATGACCATGAAACTCGGATGAAGGAGCTGACATATTGATGCTGATGATGATGGTTCGACGTACGTATGTACATGATCGAGTTGGAATTTGCAACTGCTTCAAAATCTAATCCAGTGACACATACGAATTTTGCACATATCGGAAATATTATTTCCTTACAGACCACCCTCGAACAAAAAACTCAAATGTCAAAAATAGCAAGATTGGATGATTACGTTATATGCTAGATAATATGTCGCATCGTGATTTTACCCGTGTTGCCAATTACTTATGTGAAAGGTTGCTAAATTGAAAGAGATTTTATGGAAAACAAAATGATTAAGAAATCATGAACATGTCTGGGTTTGATGGTTCTTCAGTCATTATAATAATTATCGCTTTGATGACTTTGAAGTTTGAATCCGTTTGATTAGCGTGCTCAAATAAGTCTCAATTTCTTAACTTTATACATTTTAAGATCACAAAGCCCATGCACAAAGTAATCAATCCCAATTCAGTCTCCTAATTTTATTCACATAGAAAAATCACTGTTTCCAATTTGCATAATTGAAATATTGCTACTCACAGTAAGTATAATAAATTTTTGATTTGATAATCAGCCATAATTATCCCACCACTGTATTTATTGGGTTCCTAATGATGATGATAACGTCATCACTTCTAAAAACTTAATAAATTCGTATCTAAAAATCCAGTCTAGGAATTATAGGTGGTGAATTCATGGCTTCGAGCTGTGAATACACAGCTCTGAGAAGCTGCAAATTCACGGCTTTCAGTAGGAAAAGCTGATTACACAGCTCGGGAAAAATTAATTTCCAGGGCCGAAAATTTCAATTCTGAACAACCAGTTAGCACGGTTAACGGTTAAGCCTGACTGTCACTGCATACGGTGCTGTATACACATATATTATTTTAGATTTTAGATTTCGAAAATCTTCATGATTTGAAGTTAAGACCATTTCGAGTGGGGGGTCGAATGCACAAATTCAATTGTAGCGTAATTTTCTCGTAATTTTGAGGTCAAGCCACTCCCCGTTACCTTTCATAAAGATGACCGAATTCGTCTCAATTCGCAGCGTAATAAGCCAATTTTCTTTCCATATTTTATCAACTGATTCTGATCAATTCTCATTTTACCCCATCTGCGGGGTGTGGTCAAGTAGGTTAACCCCCTCAACTTTTGCTTAGAAAATGAAGGGGGTGTTCGTCCCTAAATTCCAGGACATGGCCCTCACAGCTCTAGAAATTATTTTTTTCCGAGCTGTGAAATCACAATCTCACAATCACAATGTGAAATTTTCATATCCTGAAAGCTATGAATCTGCAACTTTTAGAACTGGGAAATCGCTATTCCTAGTCAGAGGCAATTTTACACCTACACGTTGATTAGAATGATTTGGTACGCTGACTAAAAAAATAACTTCTCATCATTCCTCCATCTACAGATAGACCAAAAAAGAAAGTCTCACTTTCACCTTGTCCATGGATAAATATGCCAAGAGTTTTTCGATCGGGTCATTTGAGACAAAAATCTAAATATTCACCCAGATATGTCTCACCTCGTTTCGTGAAAGGCTTGCACACAATTTTCACTTCCATATTTTTGCCATATGACAACGCAATTGACCAAAATTCGTATCTTATGTTTGTCGATAGGGGAAGAAGTACCTATCTGCTTTTTGCACATTATGCAAAAGTGAGCGGTGCGGGGCGAGATGGAGATGGAAAGAAATTTGCGAGGTGATCAACCAATGAGCGAGAAGTGGTGGTGGAGTAGTCTTGCATTGCTTTCTCTCACCTCCATCTCAACCTCTCCACTAGGAGCTCGCCTTCTCGCCCCGCAACACAAATCAACTACCAACTCGTGAAATATTAAATTTGCAGACTTATTAAGTACCCTTATCAAAGAGGGAGAAAGTCACAATTAAAAGTGTTATCCGTCACACCCTTCTCCTCATCCCTAAGGTCACACTGGTGGTGAAAGTGCTCTGCAGCGTTGGTTTTAAGTGCCAAAAATCTCCCAGACATGGGCCAGACATAGCAACTTTATATATAGACGAGTGTCTTGTTATTGTTTATTAGCAAGCGGACGGACCCTTCTTCTCATACCCTGCAAGTAAGTATCACACCTTAATATTTATTCTTTGGGGATTTTGGCATGAGGTTTTTTTTGTTGATGTATTTATATATTGTTCACGGTTTTCCCCAACTTCCTTCCGTTGTGGTTGATTGAATAATAGAGAAAAAAAGTATTATTTTTATGGTATTTGTTGTTCTTGGGGGTTTGTTGGTGTCAGACCAATGTCATCCAGGAAGGATTGTGGATTGTCGTGTGCGAGGTTTGTTTAAGGAAATTCCTAATGTTTAGGCTGGCAACTTTGTTCAATAACAAAATATATTTCCTGGTCTGTTATTGTCGCAGTTGGGGGAGAATAATTGATTGACCGCTAATTGGGTTTATATACGTACGAACGACCTGTGATTGTTATATTTAAAAAATTAAATAAAACTTGAAATGCGTATCTATTTGGTTTGCATTGTTTACCATTTGCAAAACTTGTTTTCTTTCGTATTGTTCTATTCTTTCTACGACACGCTTTTCCTGTAAGGTTGTTCTAGAGAGAACATTTAGCGAGCTATTTTAAAATTGTGCGTCGTATATACGTTTGTCAATACGATAATTATTACTAATTTTAGTGTAAAATGTAGAAGGTACAGGGTAGACCATGTAACTTGTCTTATATCTTCATTTCTTCAAAGTACACACATGAAAGTTATTTGCTAATGACTTTTGGTTGGTTCAAAATTGTTTCAGATATCCATCACATCGCACTCAAAGACTTGGAACCTTCTGAACTAGACGTTATATAATCGCCAGCCACGACGTCATTAATGTCAACGCCGACATCTTTGTCACATCAAAAGTTGAGAGCCGAGCTAAAACAACGCTAGCATAATCCACACCAACTACCGCACTCTTCAATATTTCAAGCTGTAAAGAACAAGTCATGTAAACGAGTAAACTTAAAACCACATTGCTGGATGAAAATCAAAATGCCCAGCCATCAAAGCAATGGGTGATCGGGGTACTTCTTGTATCATCGTAAATATCAGCAATCAAAAAAGGATCAATCAAACCTCTTTCGACCGAAACTCCAATTAACGTACCAAAACGCCTCTCACTCAGGCCTTGAATATTTAACCCCCACACTCCTGCGGCCGTCTGTGTAAATAGGTTTAAAATAATAATCGGGTCTGATTTTCATGCTCTGGGTACGTACTTATCTATCATTCGATATATCACATCACTTTATTTATTCTAACCAAATTATTAATTGCACCTTTGAATTGTTTTGCCAGATTTCATCAAGTAACTCTCACTGCAACAAAGAGACTGACACAGAAAGGAATTTATTTAGTGAATAAAGTAACAAGATTATCAACTGAACGTCCAGCACCAAATAACAAATTTAAGATGACGCGTCTATGGATTGCCGTTGTCTGTGTGTTACCATTCTTCGTTTTCAATGAGTTTCTTCTAGTCAATGGTGAGAGTTTATTTCAATGCATGAAAAATATTTATGGGCATGCACATTTTCTGAATTAACACCGAGTAATGAGTCGACAATACTTTCAGGTCTGAAATGCCGATGTGACATTTGCCACTCTGACAACTATACCTGTGAAACGGATGGCTTTTGTTTTGCCTCCACTTCGTTGGATAAGGAAGGAAAGCCAGAGTATTCTTATAGGTATGATTGTATCCAATTTATGACCTTGATTAACCACGATTCTTCAATCACTCGAAATGAATCTAGTGCCATTTTATAGTACTCGTCGTTCGTGAAGAACATGATCCATATATATTTATGTATCATCGGTTTTGAGCCCACAATTTGTTTCGTTAGTTTACAAGATGAAAATAAGGTTTTAAAAGCAAGTCAAATATTGAGGACATCCAAGAATGCGCATAACACATGTATGTATACTCGCAATGGAATTAACTCCTCACTCGATTTACACAAAAAATAGGGTAACTTCTGATCAAAGGACTTAAAAACACCCTCGCACGCACAATATAAGTATGCATATATGTATATCCATTTTTTGCTAGGACTCATAAAGTCTCGCTGTTTGTGGACTTATTGATGTCAATGATGGAGAAGCTAACGAAAGGATCCGACTTCGCAGAAACGTGTATCATTCAATGACTTCTCCAAAACCCCTCGTTCCCGTCAGTTTATTTTATTACTGAAAGAGGAGATTTTTATGGTTAGTCGTAACTTGCGGAGCGAAAATCATTATTGCAAAACAGAAGAGTATTGTAGAATAGGGTCGACTGTAGTGTACCAACCAAGTGCAAAACAAAAATTTATTAGAAGTCCTATACTAGCTCTGAGAAAATGAGGACCAAAATTTTTGCAAACAACAGGAAATACATATAACAGTCAAACCAAGCCAGGTTTTTAAGTAATGTGTACGTGCATATATGTCATGAATGGATTCGAGAAACGTCAATTAACCTTTGGGTCAGCTCTTGAAATAACAATTCTTTACTGCTTCGCAGCAGGAGTCAGGTTTCCTATTTGGCGTTCCAATACTTTTATTTTACAATGGCAGCAATCCGACGCCACAAAATGGTCTCAATAGGTTTCTCAAGCGAAAGTTTATTATCCGAATTCATAAACTTTCAACCAATGGATCTGTTATCCATTCCATTGGTTAAAAAATTATCAACAATGAACGCAAGCAACAACAACATTTCTAATGTACTGCGTTGCATAGTTTTGCATATGTATGTGACATAAAATTTGCTACATAATACATAAATCAATCAGATCAATGATTTCCCATTTGCTGGCTCTTGCTTTAGTTCCAGTAGATTTAAATAATATGTGATATGATACATATCGATACAGGATGCGATTTATTGTAGTCCAAAAATCACTTTTACCCGTATGCAACTATTTGTCAATTCTTATGAAAAAAACTATCGATCAACGCAGATTTGTACAACAATGAATCAGTTTATATCATCCAGAGACAATTATGTATTGTAGTTATTAAATATTTGCGAAATTATTAAGGTGTATGTCTCGGGAGTACAGTTTCCCTCCTGGAAATCCAGTGTGGTGTCGGAAAAACGAATCTCATTTAATTCGATGGTGTTGTCAAGATAAGGATTTTTGCAATGGTGTCGTAAAGCTAGAACCAGATCAGATAATAAACTATTTCAGCAAAACTCAAGGTAAGCAAATAGGGCACTTGAGTTTAGAGATTTTCTTGCAACATTTCTAAATTATTGCAATAATATAGAGTGGCGTAGAGTTTTTTTTATATATATTTATATTAATTTCGAGTTTCACTATACGAGTTTAGCCCTGTGTTGTAGCCCTTCAATTGTGATACACACTCATTACTACCAAGAAAATAATATTGACACTATTTAATAATGTGTCGATTTTGGCTTTACCATTTCACAATTGTGCCAATATACTTAGCAGCATAGTAAGTATGCGCATTTCATTTTTGGTGACAACTAACAACATCTCTGGTTTCGTTGGTCTTAAATATCAAACAAATGTGTTTACAAGTGTGGAAGTGTTATCAACAGCATTGTTTTGTCAGGATGAAAATAAACTATTTTGTGTGACGTTTGAACTTTAGAAGTCAATAACCAGTAAATTGGAGCTGGTGAATCTGATTGAACAAATACGCATTAGCAGTTATAATACATGAATATGCACAGAGTTATGCATAATAATGCCATGACATGCATGCTGCTGCTAAGAGGATGTTATTTCAATTCATGGGACTTGAAATAATAACTGATAAATGAACGAGACTTATTATTTATTGCCGGTGCTATCTATGTATGTAGTAGTTGACTTGGATTATAAACTTACTTGTAGGCGATAGTGGCCGACCATCATTAATTTTGAAACTTGATCGTTGTTTTAATTATTATACAATTTTATCCAGTTGCACCGGACATTAGACTTGTTGTTCAGTTTGTAATAGGAAGCCAAACTAACTGCTGTTGGAAGTAATTAAACTTCAACTAAAGCAAAGGAGTCCGTCAAGACTCGAGAATGGATATAATGGTAGTTGATAGTATACTTTAAATCATGCCTACAACTCAATGGCAATCACATCCATTGAACAAGATTATACGGATATTCAGGTCCCCAAAGCGAGATGTTGTAAGAACATTGTTAATCATTTGTTTTCGGTACTACTGACAATGGGAGCGCAAACCATGATAGAATATTATTGTGTGCCACGCAGTTCGCCAACTCTTCATTAACAAAATTTGGATCAGCACTTTCGCAGATGCATACAATTCAAGGCGACTTTTGGGCGCTGCAAGTTCGCGAAAACGTTTGGCTTCTCAGACAGAAGCTGTGTCATTACTCCCACGCCAAGACCTGCGTTCTAAAGACTTTCAAACAAACATTCGTGTCTGTAACTCCCATTTTGGTTAAGCAGATCCATATTTTCGTTCTTTTCATAATGCGCGAATTTGAGAGTTCGGTGGAATTCTTAAAATATTTTGTAGTCGGAACCTTTTTGTTTTAATCCCGTAACTTGTTGAAACTTTTTGAAAAATTGGATAAGAGTTGGTTTCATACCGACGTCTGTGAATTCACAAGTCGCTGAATTTTCGCGCATTGGCTCTCCGCACTAAATATTGCTTATGAAGCTTTGGTCTATCAAACTGCGTGGCTCACAAAAATATCTGGTGTTACATGGTTTGCGCTCCAATTGTAAGTTGCAATGTATGCATATTTCAAATAATTTTGTCAGGATACGGCAGAAACAGAACCGAACCTTGAGAAAGAAGTGTTTAATAAAATCGAGAAATATTTTAAAGCGTTACTAAAATTGAAATATCCTACTTTACCACACCGACAGGATTAAGTTCATGCAATATTTTTATTGCAATTTAATGCCTGGTATTACCAAGAGGGAGATTGTATTCGTCGATGACACATTGTTATAACATGTGACATGCACTACGTTTTAATGAGTGCATATTATATAATAGATGGTAGCACATTTACGGAAAAATGAAATTTGACACTATAGAATTATCGAGTGGAGTACATTTGTTCTATCCGTCACCGATTACAAGCATACAAATTATCCTTATTCTCGATTCACGTGAGACCATCTGTCCATCAACTAGTACATATATTTATTGCCAAATCTGATCACGCTGACTTCAGCTCAGGTTGAAAGTTTAATTTCATACCACTCATGCAAATATCAGGGTAATTAATTGACCCTTGCCAGGATACCTACGCAATGATTTTATTCATCGACAGAGAATTTCAACCAGTGTCCAGTTCTTGTAGAGAACTATTTAGAACCTTTATCTCCTTTGCAGTACGTACAAGATGCCAGACAAGTCCTTGGCAGACTAATCATACATAGCCCTTCTGGAACACTGAAATTCGCTTTTACATTACACCCCGACACCATAAAAATATATGAAGGGAATTTTTTCAATTTAATAATTTGATGTATTAATTGTTTATTCAAGCTGTCTTTACATGAAGAACCTTATTCCACCTGAAAAACCACTACAGTGTGAATATTCAAAAAAAGACAATGATTCGTTTGTCATCCAGGTTGGTAATCACCGTTTGTGTTGATAATGTCAAGATTCACTTATTTCAATTCGTACTAGAGTTGTCCCGTCCGTTTATCGTAGGGATCCTACTATTTTTATTATTTTTCCTTGTGAAAATTGATCTGTTTTGATTTTGAAACTGGAACAAATTCGAGAAACCAATCGACAGCCCTAGTTCATGGAAACCTTTCTAGTAGCAATTAAGATATGTGGTGGACATGACTTGACTCCCATTTGGAAGATTGAAACAAATGGAAGTCAACTATCAGTTTGCGTTAAAAGTATTTCCAATTTTCTAGTGCTGTAAAAACGACGACATGTGTAATAGCGAATTGAAGCCAACCCTGCATGTTCGTCGTGTACCTCCAGGTATGTCCCTCCATATTGGGAACTCTATTCCGTAGAAAAAAAAATGAAATCACGACTAGCGTTGTTTTTCATGAACTGTGATGATTACTTAAAGTTGTCTTTCTAATGTCATAAATCTTCGCAGACGTTTTTGTAACGTACATATATTTTTGTTGCCTTTTATTTATTTAATTCAATTTTAAATGCTGTACAATTGCCTCGCACTCGATGATGGTGATGGTGATAAACCTGTTGTCCATAATATACATATGAAATTTATCGTCGTCCCTGTCGTCGTCAGCAAAAATGCCCTCAAAATATGCATTACTATTTATATGCATTTTACTCATAATAATCTTCGTATACATAAGCTAGGCAGTAATATACATACATACACATATTTCCAGCAGAAAAGGTATACACTTGAACTATTTATATACTATACTGCATACATAGCAATCTATTATCTGTGTACATGCGTACATATGTACGTACAATATCGATTGCCCAACATTGTTGTGTCTGCGTCTTTCTTTCTGGTGAAAGTAATGACATGATCATCGCCACCCAGCTTATTGTTTGTCGTAGACACCATAAACTTACTTGCTTCATCTTTTCACATAGTACAGTAACAAAGTTATTAGTGAAAGTTGAAAAGATTGTTGTACGGCTGCATTTCTCGTTACTGGCTAATTAATGAACCATTCTCATGACTCCGGGGCGACTAACTTAAACATAATTTGTTTTGTCTTCCCTTGTGTAATTGAATCTAAAGAGAGTGTGCATGGGTATATGGTATGGTGTGATACGAATTGTTCTGGAAGGCCATCCAGCAATCTCAATTCGAAACATTGGCTCCGTTATTGCGATGAAAATATGGAATGAAAGTGATGTACATATGTACTTGTAGTTGACTATTTTTTGACCTTTCCGTTTTTATTGCAGCTGTGTTCACCGTGAAGCGTTACTTCCTGGGTCTGTATTTATTTGTAGAGAATTTGCAAAGGGTTATATTCTGCCTAAAACGTGTGGTGGTGTGGACTGTTGCAAGGATAGTGACTATTGTAATGCAAAATTGCGCCCACTTTGTGAAAACGAGACTTACAAATACCCGAAACGTGTCCCCCTGCCACAGGGATTTGATGGTCGTAAAATGGAACGAGGTGAGGGAATTATGTCGTCACGTTGGAGGCTCGAGTGCAATTGATCCTCCTCCTTCTTAAACAAAATATCCTAAAATACTTGAAAATTGTCCACCACTAGTTATTCTATTCGTAGAAAAGTCAATTCAATTTTGAAGCAGTTTAAATTTTTTTTGATAGAAAAATTCGTAGCAGTCATTTATTTGTATTTATTACTTCTGTGGTTGCTTTAAATTATTTTCTTAATCGAGATAGGGTTTTTCTAGCTTTCTCCGTTAATCAAGGGCATAATGAAACTTTATAAACTGCTGTAGACAGTATATAATTTTGTGATAACTGTTATCTCTTGCTCGTGGAGCTTTGCCTGTGAAAATATGCTAAAGCATCGCAAAAATATATCAAAAGTAAATCGGGGCTCGCAACGTGTATTGCAATTATTTTCATGTGTGCAAATAGGCAATGTATGATCTACGGGAGCTGAAAAACTTGACCACATACATATGTAAGGTGTTTGGCAAAAGTAATGTATTTTTCACATGTGGTTCGGTTTTGTGCACACATGACTAAACTGTACCAAGTATGTAAGTGGTACTTGGAAGTTGTGTGTGTCGTGGCGTGCGTGGTTCTCCGCAAATTATATGGTGGCACCGAATGTTCATGTGCATAAGATAGTTGTAAAAGTTGTATGGTTTCTCTGTGGCAGCCTCCTTAGGAATTTAAGAAGATGGAACAGTTTAGAAGTTGTTGGTATATTCTGTCCTTCTCGAAGATGATGGATTTTAGGGAAATTTATTTAGGGCGCCCGTTCATCCAAAAGCATGATTGCATATTACGTTTGTCATGGCCACCCCACATCATGCATTTTAATATACTCATATATGTATATGTACAATGTGGTACTTCTGCTGACGATGACCGATACAGACACGCAGCTTTTGACTGAACAAAGGACTTGACTTTATGTGTAATTTGTTAAATTAAATGTTTGCTTTTGATGCTTCTTTAACAAAAAATCACTAAATAAAGAATTCTTTAGAATACGTCGCGCGTTATTATACTGCTTCTCATATGCTGCTTGCAGCTGCTACAACTTGCGAAATGCAATCCTGCTAAAGCTTCCAGAGAATGCTTGCGTATATTGCAAAACTGGCAAATAATGACGCATTTGAAAGCTTTGTGCTTGCTTCAGCTTCCATTTACTTGTTTACTAACAATATCGGAGAACTTTTATAAGTCATCCAGCATATTATGCTAAGCGCTTTTGTGCTGCACATCTTCCCGTAGCTTTGTTAAATGCAGATTGCCGCATCGCATTGCGCATTAAATAAAAAAAATTGCTATATGATATTTTGCAACGACTAATTATAACCAATACCAATATCGTATGCCAGCTTCTTGCTCTGTAAAATTAAAACTCTTATTAAATGCTACGAATTAAAAAAAAATAGAATTGTACTACTTAATTATTTTCTTAAAAATCAGCTCTTAATGATCATCACAGGTCTTTGTGGGTATTAAATTGGAATAATAAATGCAATAAACTGATCCCGTATTGGGCTAAGCAGGTCACCCGGAATCATGGGCAGAGTTGGGAGTTTTGGAAATCGCTATGCTAATAGCAGGTCCAATATTTCTCATCTGCCTTATCGTCCTCATAATTGTGTTCTATTCTTGGCAAAAGAACAACAGCATCAAACAATTCTCACATCAAAGAAAGGTAAGTTATTAACATAGAAAGTAATAGCTCATAAATTAAAAGTAAAGAGTTATAATTGTAAAATAATTATGTATGTAACTTTATCAAGATGATTAAGTTAATTTGTTTCATCTTTTTACAGCCATTGATTGAAAAATACTTGTTGAGCAATCCTGTGGATTCGAGCGGACCTTGTTTGAAGGATATGATTGACATGACCACTAGTGGCTCGGGATCAGGTAAATAAATCCTATTGCCATTATGTACATGTTTCTTAGTATTTAGTTATATCTTATTAGTTTAATTGAGTTATTGATTAGGGCTTACGCGGGCATTAAAAATAATGTTCTCTTCCATTTTATAAACGACGTGCCAAGTAATTATTATTAATTTGCCAGTACCATTTACTAAAGCTATTTATCTAGACAGGTGAAACTCGACCATTCATTTATTATGGATTTAATGACTCTTTCTACAGGTGGTCCTATTTGGTCCTATATTATCTAAGGATTAGTAGAGACAATTTTGAGTATTATGTAGCTTCTTGAACCGTGGAAATGGCCACAATGAACCCTTTTGCATTTAGCTTCTTAGCTAGAAATATAATAGCGCAAACTCAAGCCCAGTTAAAATAACAAGCGGAATACAGGTCGTAAAATTGTACTCACAAGAGAATTTTGTTTATTGCTGGACTGAATGAGTTCAATATCCTGTTGAACATGTAATTATTTTTTAGATGTGAAATAAGTACTTATACTTGGGTTGTGTTTTTGTCATCGGTAAACGCCACAAAGCTAGTCACTCAAGTGGCATACGTGTTAGTGATGATTAGAGTCGTTATCTTTATAAAAAGGGTGGTGTAAGTGTATTGCACATCTGTAGCTCTGCGACCATTGCATAAGTGTTAGGATGCATGTATAGACCGTAAACTCGGGGTGATTGCAAAATTCTTCAGATATATGACATTGCTGTTTTTCTTTAAATCTAGGTCTGCCATTGCTCGTTCAACGTAGCATTGCAAGGCAGGTGCAGCTACTGGAAGAGGTTGGAAAGGGCCGATACGGGGAAGTTTGGCGCGGCCGTTGGAGAGGCGAGAATGTTGCTGTAAAAATATTTTCGTCAAGAGAAGAAAGGTCATGGTTTCGGGAGGCCGAAATTTACCAGTGAGTTCTTATTATATACATTAAGTAGAATCAAGGAAAAATTCAACAACTGGAGGCAAAATACACGGTTGTATAATTAAATGTGTAATATCACTTTTTAAAATTGAATGCCTTTTTTGTTTGTTCCAAGGACTGTGATGCTTCGACACGAAAATATTCTAGGCTTTATCGCAGCCGATAACAAAGGTAAGAAATTGCGTGAGAATTAAAGTATACGTTTTTCTATCCAGAGATATCTTACCAGTAGTCCGATAATGTCTACTCGCACAATTTATATTATGTTAGCGAAAAAGCCAGAGAGATCGTGAATCTCACGCGTCCAATCAGTGTTTGCAGATGTGATGTACTACCTTTTTTTGTCAAATTTTCTAACGTGTTTAGTAGGTTTGAAAAATTGGATTGATGTGATAATTAGGGTTCTACTTCTTAGTTTTATTGCATGAACAAAGAAGGAGAATTTGGTGGCATGGTTAAAAATTAACAATATTTAGATGAAAACCATCTGCCAGTAGTACAACTGTACAAGGCCTCTCTAGGTAGGCTAGTGCGTATAGTATATATCGAAGTCCATGAATACAACTACCTTCTGAATTTATTTAAAGTTATTTGCATGAAAGAAAAACCACTTTTTCGAGTCCAGCCAGCTGTATGCATAATTAAGTAGTACTATAAGTACACGATGAAGGATGAATTTTGAAAATCGTACGATGTAATTGATATGTAGTAATAATATGCAGTATATCTAGATCATTCTTGTGAAGCATATGGTAGGCTGACAGCACGAGGTACGATATTTACGTACGTACATGTATGCCTTGTTTTTCCTAATCGACCAAATCAAATCTATAAAAATTATGTTGCAACCTTAGCATTTTTCATCATGGTAAACGTTGTATTGGTTCATTGGCTTGGGCTGGACAAAGAATAGAAAACAATGGCATAAAAAATCTAATGATTCTCTTGTTCCAAATTTAATATAAAATTGGATAATTTTATGGTTGACTGATTGCAAATATGTGTATTATACATATGCATTAGCATTATTCTATTGATGACCTCGTCCTCTGATCCTACAGATAATGGTACTTGGACACAACTCTGGCTGGTAACCGACTACCATGAAAAAGGATCTCTATTCGATTACTTGGGAAGAACAACTTTGGATCACGTCACAATGTTAAGAATGGCATTTTCTATTGCAACAGGTAAATAAACGGAAGTATTTCATATCATACATGATTTTTTAAACACAGCGTTAATTAAACGATATACAGTAATTAAAGAAAACCTTACACTAAAATCTCTAATCTTAAATCTCTGAACCTGGTTGAAATAAATCTATCTATCAATCTAAAAGTTTTAGACTAAAACTTAAATTTGAAGTTGCTGGATCAGGTCAATGCATTTTTCTGCCGAAAGCTTAGCTTCCAAAGAAAGACAAATATTAAATTAAATTTGAAATGACGATAAACGCAATGTACAAATGAACAATTACACAATGGGTAATATTTAATATATTTATTTTTTTATTGTAAAGGTATTTCGCATCTGCACATGGAAATTGTTGGGACTCAAGGAAAGCCAGCAATTGCTCACCGGGATCTAAAGTCTAAAAATATTCTGGTAAAAACTAATGGGACATGTTGCATTGGAGGTAAGACATTTCATAAAGTTAGAAAGTTTAACAACTTGTACAGACAAATGTGTAGGAGTTTGTTTCGTGGGGCTTAGGTCTTTGTCAACTTTGAATCCCAATTTCTTTTATTGAAGAATATTTATAGATCTGCAAATTCATTTAAATCGTTATAATTTTCTTGTTTTCCCCGTATTTACTGTTAAACAATTCAAGTCCACGCAAATGATGGGAACACTTGTTAAGAAAATATAGATTTCCCAAATCTGTTTACTGAAATGTATGTCACCAATTTTGTATTAATTTTCTGCAGACCTTGGGCTTGCGGTACGGTACGACACTGCATCAAATGAGGTGGACATCCCCTTGAACAACAGAGTTGGTACTAAACGTTACATGGCTCCCGAAGCTCTGGAAGAAGCAATGAACTTGAGTCATTTTGACTCTTTCAAACGGGCGGATGTTTATGCAATGGGATTGGTATTCTGGGAATTAGCTAGACGGTGCAATGTTGGAGGTATTATTACTATTATTTAATTAAGTCAATGATTGTGCGATTAAATAAAGTTATTCTTTCAATGTCTAGGAATTTACGACGATTACCAGCTCCCGTTTCATGACATGGTTCCGTCGGACCCCACAATTGAAGGTAAGTAATCCAAGGCTACAACTGTTTTTTTAAACTTGATTTTAGAACAAATAGATCATCATGAACATTTATTTTTTTTAGAAATGCGCAAGGTCGTATGCATTGATCAGCAGCGTCCATCTATCCCAAATAGATGGTCTTCCGTTGAGGTAAGCATCAATTGGAGCTACATTATGTCGTTTTTATTGGTACAACGGAACATACATATATCAGCTACTACTCTTTACAATGGCATCTATCTATTTGTATGTAGGATTATCAGTAAAACTAAGTTCATTTATCCGTGTTCATCATCCTCAAGACTTTATATAATAACTTAGCTATCTAACTACTTGCATATATTTCTACGTAAACCGGTAACTTCTGAGAAACAAATACCTTTTAAAAATAGCTATAACAAGGTATAGAAATTATAAAAAAATTGATGGCTGAATGTGATTTTATCAGTTCATTCCAGCTTCTGAAATTAAGCAGTGCAATGAGGTTAATAAGAAATATAGTAAGGAATACTTGACTGGTTACTTTATAATGTCGGTATATTAATTAATTAAAATTGGCTGCATTTACGGATGGTAAATATTGAAGGACAGGAATACATGTGAGATGTAGACATTAATTTTAGATCTGGAAATGTGAACTGGACAAGTAATTGCGACATGCATATGATAGAAAACTGTAAGTTTAATCACTGGAATTTCCAATGATCGATAGAATGTAAATGAAGATGTTGATAATATCCATATAGATATTGAGAGCGGCAAAAATGTATTCTTCCGGACTGATTGAGCATTTATGTTTGCCTCCGATCATGAGTTGTGTGTCATAGACCAAGTACACGGAGAAGAGCAGAGCACCGATGCATGCATACACCATATTGAGAATAGGGAAGGTGCCCCTCAGAAATATTGCCAGGAATCCAAAGATCATGAAGACGATTGTCACCACAAAGAGTCCAGCTCCCATTCTAATTGCAACATGTTTAGAATTTTAAATGTTCCGCATCAAGAAAAGTTTCTACTGAAAGTGGAATTCACTTTTTTATTTGAATAAATAACTCACCCAGTAAAATCCCACTTTGTCTGAAACGAGAACGCAGTCAGAGAAAGGACAATTACAGTTGTGATTCCGACGGCAAGCAGTACAGCATCAGCTCTGTAAAATAACATGGAATTAATACATTTTCATCCTTGCACTTGATAAGAGCAAGTAAACCTACTTGAAGGTGCTGGCTGCTGTTCCAAGAACAAATCCTTCTGCTACAGTGAATACGGCCAGACAGATGAAGTTTCCTGGAAACTTCTTTCGCACTCCCTCACAACATGCCATAGCGATCATGGTCACAAAGGTGACTCCTAAGGCACCATAGAACACTCCTGGGTTCTGCCGGGTCCATAATTTGAGAGGTTCATGCCAGACGAATAGAGCGACAAATCCGAACGTAATGAGTAGTTGAACCATCAAAATACTGTACACTTTTCTGGAATTCAAAAAAATACAAGGTAGGTGCATGCCTGCAATTCCACGCTCTAATTATTAGGACTTCAATATAATGAAGGGTTGACGTATACCGAATGAAAGCCATTCGTATGGTTCTGTCGCTGAATTCAAACCCTTCGAAACCTTCCCCGGGTTTGTTCATCTCTGGATCAGTAGGCATTCGAAATCCGGCTGTTGGTGGCATGGGGTAGGGACCTTGACCAGGGTACCCCCCTCCTGGAAATCCTTGTTGAGGGTACCCTTGTTGTGGATATCCTTGCTGAGGGAAACCTTGTTGTTGTGGATATCCTTGCTGGGGAAACCCTTGTTGTTGAGGGTATCCACCATGGGGAGGGTTTGGATAACCTCCTTGTCCTATGTAAAGATATATCATAGTGGTGCTGAATTTTCAGAGATAACAAGCCATGATTGTATTGTGCTGTGAGAGTGCAATATTATTATCTTACCAAACGCACCATATGCATTCTGCTGATTGTTATATGCCATTGCACTGTTTATTTCTGGGCTTGCAAATCGGTTTATTCAGTCTCAGTCACTTCCTTCCACTTCACGTTGGGAGAGAATCTGCAACCAGTTTAATGATACTGATTATGGATATGTGCTACAAGTCAATAATCTGCTTGCAACGACCAAATAGAGCCAGAATATTACTATCAATATAATATGGAACCAGCCAAATGGAAATCGTGGGGTAGACTGGTGACGCTAGTCTAGTATATCTAATGAATTAGTAGCTTGTGTTTTTCAAAAACTCTGTTTCCTATTTTTCCTGAGGTTTGATTTTCCCAATTTCTCCTTGTCAACAACACGAAAAACTTTCATTTCTACTTAGCTATGACTCCTGAGTCAGCAAGACTCTGCGACGCACATAGCAGCACCGACTGACTCCATTTCACTGATGCTTGGTCTAGAAATATCTAAAGTTCTGGAGCACGTATTGATCGTCGCACTAGCGAATATACCCGGGAGTCGGTGAGTGGTCATTCGCGAACGTAAAACTCCTCTCAAACCCCTTCAGTGCATTCCCAGTATTGGCACCACAACATGCTTAATAAGGGAGTAGAGGAGAATCTCCACAAGTCATGAGAGAAATTTAGAACGTTGAAACAATTATAACGGTCCATCCCCTTTAATAAAACTTGCCTATGAAATAAATGACTATCCCTTGTACGTAACATCGCAGTTAGATATGTATACATTTCTCTATGTCAAGCTGGCTATGCTTATTTCGCAAAGTTTTAAATTTTCAACAAGTGTCCAGCAAACCCTAGCGTAGCAATACAACGAAAAGTTGTCGGCAACTTTGGTATACTCGTAACTATTGATTGATCTTATTTAATATGTATTATTGATCTGAAAATGCGGTTTCATGAATTTCAATACGGGCAAAATTAGGATAGGATACTATCCTTTTTGTTTTTAGACTTACCACAACCTGAATACTTTATAGCATCAGCAAAACAATGGGTTTCTCTCGTTTGGAGTTGTGTAAAGTTGAGTTAAAATATTACTAGCCGTGTTTTGCTTGTCAATAATTTTACAATTTTTGCACAATTTGAGAAAGAAAACTTTTGCAAAGAATATCAGTGTTTTTGAAGTCTGAATATATATTTTGAAAGCAATATTATATATTTTATTAAACTTTCCTCACTCGAACTTCTGGAACTAATGGAACAGGTGATGAGAAAGTATATTTTTAACAGTGCAGTTGCTGGCTTATTACGTGTAACACATAACGTGTTGCTGGATGTGGGTGCGTGTTGTCAGCCACATACATGTTATGTTTAGTATGCTATAGCTCTATGATTCTGGCATAGCCAACGTTACACTTACTGCCGTCTGAGGATTATGATTAGTACAGAAAATTCATTCATACACGTTTACTTGTGAAACAACCAGCACCAGCCAACCCAGATTAGTGACTCATCAACAAAACAATCCAATTTGATAGCTTCAGACTTGTTCAATATACTTTGGCAAACTTGCACATGCCCAGTCATATGTCATGTTTAACCTGTATACACAGCTAATATTATATGTAAGCAATATGATATTGATATATATCCCAACTCGCTTCACAAATATTAAGAACTGCAAATTTCTACACGAGATAGAGACAAACAACAATAATCGATAATAACAATTCATTTTGTGGGGATGAGACAGGAAATGAATTACAAGATTTGTATGCTGGCCATCAATTGACATGAAGTGACTCATACTCACATGAAAATAATACGTTGCAACTACTTCATGACGTCACTATAAAAAATCATGGCTTCATAAGTATGTATCTATTCTACATGCGTCATCCAAGTTCTCTCAATTCTATCTTGAAAAAGATCATTTATGCATTAATTGTTCACAATATTGTAATAACTTTATTTTTGTTTATTATTTTTAGGTGCTCGTTTTCATGTCAAAGCTGATGAAGGAATGCTGGTAAGCATATGCACAACTATATAAAATTAAAGAATCCACTCTCAGAAAATGTACAGTCCGTGTACTTAATCGATGAATGCATTCTGAATTCCAGGTATCAAAATGCTTCTGCGAGACTGACTGCTCTCCGAGTGAAGAAAACTCTTGCAAATTTTCTAAACCCAATGGATCACAAATATGATAAAATTGAAGTTTAAAAAAAAACTGTTGTTCAGTATACTCTGCTACTACTACTCGAAAATACGAGTCACTATTGTTTTTATATAGTAAAATTAACTTTTGTTTTTGGGGATTTCAAATCCCGGATTTGAAAAATACGAATGTCGTTATATAGTTCTTATATATAGTAAATTGTAAATATCTCTCTAATTATAATGAATCAGTCTAAGGTGTGCATTATTTATAATTATATTCGAAAAGAAATACACTTTTCAAATATTAATGACCTCACTTGGCAAAATTTTGTATATAATAATCAGTGTGATATCACATATTAATAGTGATCAAGTTGTATAACATATATTCACTAACTAATTGGACGGCAATTCATAAATGCTTCAAAAATGTTTTCTCGTTCATGAGCATATAAAAAAATATTTACAAAAACATAGGTTTATTGTATCATACAATTTGTATGGGTATCTCTCTGCTGATGAAATGTACCGCAAGAGGCTGACGGAGTTAATTTTTTCGTTTCGCAATTTCGCAAGTCGTACAGACGAAGAAACTGACGAGATGAAGATTGTCTATGAAAATCAGGTTGACTAAAACTATTAACATAAATTCTTAATTGTTTTCTATAGTTTGTGTTCAGTTTTGTATATAACAGCTTAATCCTTCAAAAAACTTAACTATGTTCAATTTGCGAACTTTTGTATTTCACGCTCTGTATTTGTGCATTTATAATGTTTAACGATTCAGTTTTTATGTAAACGTCTTGAACTAAAAAAACACCCTTCAAAGGATCCCGATGAAAACCATAAAGTAACACGCTAACTAAGCCCAGAATTTGTTGGTGAAATTTCTCGAGGTTGGCTTAGTTTACCTACTAATTTAAGTAGTTGCAAAGCTTTAAATTTATTTTATATTTTTTACTTGTTACTAATTATTATTATATAAACAAGGAATAAATATGAAATAGCTAAAAATTTATCAGACGTCAAGAATAAATGTATAGCTTACAAAAGATTGTGGACTGTATGCACAATAAAATTGAACAAGAATAATTTATTAACAACCTTCATAAATAATTGTCAAGACTTACGTTAACTATATATGTCAATTGGCGCAAGTATTTTGTCAAATCATTGAACCGTATGCATAGGACTTGTAAATTTATTCCTAGTTTCCAACAAAGATTTGCCGACAGACAAAAGGACATCAAGATAGTTAAGCCACACACACAAGGTGAGAAGCTGAGGGTTAAAATCATAATAGAAATAAGAAATATGACAAATTAAAATGTTTAGGGCTTTATAAGTAAAAGCTGTCCTGACTACTTAATTTGCATAATGACTACATAAAAGTTACTTTAAAATCAATACAGTATTAATTATGTTCCAGCGAGCTGTAGGGAATGAGTACGCTCAAAGCAATGGTAAACTTGCAAATATAACCTATGCTCATCACTCAATTGGCGTATGCATAATTCTTTTGATCTTGATTAAAATGAGCTTCTTATAAATGTTCCTTGACACTATGAGCATAAAGAAAACACTGTTAATTATACAACCTTCATTATCATCATTTGGTATTGCAAACCTCTGCTGCAACAAATATTGTGCCATTCGAATCTGTCCTTGAGATCCGGAAATTGTGATGATCTGGCAAAGAATAGAGTGTATCAGACTAGTTATTCTAAACTTTAGACTCATATTAGTAAATAATATTATCCTATCAGCAAGAAGTTTCTCGTGTCAAGTTCAAATACACAAAATGTATTCATTGACTTACTCGCTCATTTTGTCCAGGAGCAGATTCCGCCAAAGTGATTCCAGCTCCTGATTCTGCTCGTATTCTCCTAATTCGCATACCGCCCTTCCCTATGATGGCTCCGGCATACTTTATCAAACACACGAGACAAAAATCATTTTGAAACAAAAATGCAAACATAGGAACTTAATAAATGAACATAGTTTTTACCTCATTCGGAATTGTTACTTGAGATGATGAAGCTTGGTCACCGTCTCCACCACCAACACCACCTGCGGGTCCAACACCCATTGTTCCACCTGGAAACGGAGGACGTGGTCCAAACCCATTTCCTGAAAACACTGTACCCAGCAAACATAATATCAATTATTTCACCGATTTTTTAAAATCACGGTAGTAAATAGCACATACTTCCTCCACCTCCACCTCGACCTCCGCCACGACCCATTCCGTCCCCCCTACCGCCATTACCTCTAGGACGAAATCCTCTATGTGGACCTCTTGGAGGTGGCGGTCCTACAACAAATCATTAAAACATTACCTAAAGTTCGATAACACTTGTTGTACACAGTTCATATAGCACAATACCTCTAAAGAAGTCTCCTCCGCCTCCCCCTCGGGGTTCACCAAATCCTCCGTATTCCATGGCATGAAATTCGTCAAAATTGTGTGGGTCATATCTTTCTATAGGTCCCTTGGGTGGATTCTAATGCGAATAAGAAATACATTTAAATTAGTTATGTTTAGTTTAGTTTTAGAAGGTAACTCAAATGTTGTCTCCTCTCCTCCTTCACATACTTACCTCACTTACTAAAGCCAAACATTTATTTAGCGTTTCAATACAAACATCGATAGGCCCGTTGATGGCAACAGCTCGATCGGTACTTCGTGGACACACATTTCCATAAACTTTTATTTGGGCATTGGTAGCCTGAATCAAAATAGTTTGGTCAACTTATATACTTAAAAGTATATCAACAAATTGTACGTACATTATAGCATTTTAAATTATGAGTGCATATAAGCTAAACTAAAAATGTTACACACCTCTCGGAGCTCCTTAATTTTTGAACCGCCCTTGCCAATGATACTGCCCACTGAAATGGTAGTTAAGATTTACACTTTCATTCGGTTTATTTTTATATTGAAACTAACCTTGGGAATGATGAAACAAAGCCCTTACTTCCATACTGGAAGTGTCTAAATCTTCATTTTTACCGAGGTCCTATTAATCATCGATGTAGTATTAAAATTACATAGAAATTATCAATTCATGAATATAAATGTTTCAATTACGTCCTGTATGAGCTGGAGAACTTGGGCAAGAACATTCAGCACTGTATCTTGGTCGTCAGCTCCAACTGTAATTATTCTGAAACACCAAAAGGATCAGTATTAAATTCATTAAAAAGGAATAATTAAAATCACCCTAGTACGTATACTACATTATTATTATTTGAATGTAACAAAATCCGTTAGACCGAGTCCAATTAAATTGCGGAACAAAAGTAAGAAAGCGTCCTATCAGGTTAATTTTGTTCTTGTATACGTCGCTACTACCTGGACAAATCATTACACGATATTTTTTAAATATATATACATCGAAAAAGGCAATCAATAGCAATGAGCCGAGAACGAAGTTAATAACATGTTTGATTATTAACTCGAATCTGTTGACATTATATGAAGATAGTAAAATTAAGGGAAATTATACAACTAGGTATGTATAAAGAGCACATAATTATTAAGTACAATTCGTATTTAAAGTATATAATGACTGTGTATATGTGGTCTTATAGGATAACTACCTTTCGGGGCCCGAGCAGTCTGGGACATTAACAGTGGCTCTGTTCTACAATTGAGATATGGATGGGCATTGGAAGGTTGGACAGCCGCAAGAGAGGGACCAAGAAAAAACAAAATGGGACCATTGATCAGCAATTATTCATAAATTCAATATTGACAACGCAGGCAGGTTTATTGTTCATGTCACAAGAGGGGATTGAAACGCGCGTCGAAATTGCATTTTCATTTGAATGCATTCAATTGTTGCTAAGCTTGTATTGAAGATCCCCGGCTCTACATTCCACGCGATTAAGATACTCACCTCCGTTCTCAATCTTGAAATATTAGCTCCTCCTTTGCCAATGACTGAACCAGCCATCTGTAAAGTGAGGCAAAGAGCCAAACATTATTATTTTTGTTTTTAGCCAAGCATTATTAGTAAAATTCCGACATGAATATATTTTAGCTCATACACGAGATGGAATAAGTACTCGGATTTCATGCGCAGCACGATGTCTTTTCTGCGGGGATGCCATTTCTCGATCAGCTCCGCGTTTCATTCCTGCACACAAAATATTTAATTACTCAGTATTTTTGCATTAGTATCACAAAGAAAATGAAGCTTGTTAGTGTAAAGAACACGGTTTAGCCAATTAAGCGAACCATAAGAATGGTTATAAAACTACAATTTTAAATTCCTTTGCCTAATCTATAACGAATAATGATCATGACGAACAATGCAGAGTGGATATAAATACAAGAAAAGTAGTAGAGAAAACACGTAGCGTAAATGTCACTGCAGACCTGATTATTCAATAGACAAAAGAAATCAGCAGCTAACTGACACATACAGTCTGAACCTAGAGCTCCGACAAGTAAGCGAATTGGTCATCATAAACAATTTTGTGTCAACTGAAAGAATCAGTGTTGACATGTTGGTAAATTTTCTAACGTCTTTTCGTGTGTGATGATGATATAAAGCGCTTTAAGCCGCCATGCATTGTTAGGAACGACTTACTCACCTAACCATTACATACACTATTTAGTAAACGATGAGGATTAATCTCCTGAAGTGAATTCTTGGCTGAAGTTACAGCATACACAAAAAGCAAGAAGATACAACAGTCCGTCAGTGTTCGAAAAGTCTTCTTGGCTTTCAATTTGTCGTAATTCTGGGCACGAGAGATGCCACCTATAACATTAAACGTAAATATTATAAATATTACGTTATTTGTCCACTTCAGAGTTTATGCTAAAAAGAAGTGTAAAAAGTTTACCTTAAAAATTATATTTTATTTAATTTTACCGAGTTAGTCACAATGAAAAGAATCGTTAGAATAATTAAAATGGGTTGTTGTTGTTTTGCTGCTTCGGCGGAATTAATTAATTGGTTAACTAGTAAATAAGGTGGACTAATTCTTAATTAATTAGTTAGTTCAACTAATTTAGTTGCGGAAATGGGCAGAAATCCTTGATAATGCATTGGCGCTTGTGTCCGAGTTCTCCAGCCAACCTTCAGATGGCGCCCGAAGCCCAAAACTCTCTCCGCGTCTCCTATGAAAACCTCTGCATTATTTTGATAAGCCACAAGATTTTGTTCTTAACACTGCCAAATAATGCCCTCTAATTGGTCTTGTATCTACATAAATATGTATATAAAATTTTATTATAAGTCTTCGTGGGGGAAACACTATCTTCTCGACTTCCTCCGGGTTTAATACAAAAAAACGTTTTGATTGCAGTTATTTACTCGGCCAATTTAAATTCCTTGCTAATTAATGCGTATAAAATAAAACTTGACATCTGAAATTAGAGAAACGTACATCCAAGCTGTAACCTTCCTTGCATTGGTGAATTTGTCTGGGAATGAAGTGGTCTCTTTTTTAAAGAAGGAATGGCTAATCACCGCAGTTTGTACATACATATGTACATACATACATTCTGTATGCAATTATCAACATCTGGTTCCATTCGGGAAATTCTTTTAAATAAAAGAACAATGATCTCCTCATTTCTTCTTGGTTCACTTTAGTACTTGCCTTGTTTACAGAATTAAGCTCAGGTTAAGATTACGATAATCTGTTTTTTACATTGAAAGTTTCAACTTGAAACGCAATGGATACCAACTGCCACAGCCCGTGGTCGACCCCAGCAGAACGAAGATTAAACATAGGTGCAGCTCTACTTAATTTATGGATATATATATATACTGAAATATAAGGAACAATCGATATACTTGATAATTTATTCATAAATAAGTAAAGTCATCAAACTCAATAAACAACAGCCAGAGTCTACATGCATGGGTAAAATATCAATTTGGCAATCAACCCGAACCAGGGTCCATTCTGTATTTCGACAATTCAGCAGTGTGTGTGTAACCAATTTTATGTAATTGAGTAGATTGACAGTATGACGATTCGATCGAGTTTAAGAAGGGCATAGGACGGGATGACCGATGGTGAGAGGGCGGAGGACAACTTCTACTATAAAACTTAAAAGGGGCAAAATAAGCTTCAATTGGGTTTTGCGATTCCTAAAAACTTTCACTGAACGTAGGTCTTACCAAATTAAAAGAAAAAAACCCTTACATAGTACTAAATGTGGTTATGCATTCATCTGAAATTTGGCATGGTGGCAAAGTGATTTTCATTAAAAGTAAGGTTCATTAAAAGAAGCTTGAAATTTACACATTTTTACCTAATGCAAACCCCAGTAGACACTCGTAGCAAAAAGTAGCAAACCCGTGATTCAGAAGCTGCAGAAGTTTTTAAGAACAGATAATTTATTCTTATTTATTTGTTGCGTGTGGTGTATGTTAAGATTCTTGTGTAAATAAATCCACTACAGTGTATAATGCATACATATTTGCATGATTTTAGTGGGACCTTTTTGACAGTATATAATTTTTAAAGTTTTTGAAACATACCCTTTTTAGGGGTGTGTGTATGTATGTACATATACAAAACTGTGGTTGTTGACCTACTTCCCATCTGGATATTTATTTTGTAATTTTAAACAATACAATAATAATTATTCGCAAAAATGGGAAGAAAGCCAATCATCGTATTGTTCACTACCCGGAAATGGTGGTCGGTTCGGGTAAAGTGTGGTGGAAGTGTGATCCATTAGCCATATCACTGACACTTACATAAGTATTTCTTCTCTTGTCTCTGTACAACCTAGGATTTGGCATTGTATGCAAGAATTCTCATTAAATGATTTCCATTAAAAAATATGTTCATTTTTGTGGCTTGTGTTAAGTATGGTCGACGAGTGCACCAAATTTTCTTTCAACACTGTGCAAATAATAGTTGTCCGTTGTGGTCTTATTCAGTTTTGGCAAAATTTCACTGTTCACATTTGTCACATTATATATATAAGTATATGTATATATACATACATTATTTTAGCTTATTTTTTAAATAACCAAAAATATTATGATTATTATGGCATGATATCCTTGGGTTTTCTTATATTAACGTCCCGGTTGGCCGCTGAAAAAAATAAATTTGCTATTAGTTATTTTCACTCCTGCGGCTGATAATAAAAAATTACAAAGCATGGCCGCCTATACTTTCCCGAATTTCTTTAAATCTGTACATTAATCACTAATCTGGTAAGTATTTAATTTGAAACCGATGCCCTCTTAAATAAGTCTAGCATGATATGTACATATCTATATAATATCTCATTTTGTATCGCGCAGCTTATGGCTGAAAATTGGAATGATGAACCTTAATCCATCTCGCTTTGAGATATTTACTATGGTCAAGATCTAACAATAAAAGCAATCTACATAAAGTCTGGGGAAAAGTTCGCTGGGACACACCAGGACAATGGTCATAGTTCAATTTAATTTTAAGCTCATAGCCTGTTTCGTATCTTAGGTGGAAACCTTTGAATCAAATGCTTAGTACTAAACTCCTCTGTTGATCCTGATGGGGTGAATATTGAAGGGTTAAAATTTGACATTCTTTGTAATTACTAAGAGGCCATTCAAATGTCGTGATTTTTGACAAAATGAATTTTTAAGCTGATGAAAACAATTTTGTACGTACCCTCTCTCATTGCTGCATAGTGAGCTCTTATGCTAATGTTATTCCGAACATCCGAAGCATCCTGAGTAATTCTCTCCCTCGGCGTCCTGAGTGACGACGATCTTCCAATTCCAATTGACCTCGAGGGTTCCTTCAACATTGCTTTCCGATTTATTTCTGACTGAACGGAACCTCTTGGCGTCTTAATTCCTGAATAATCCGGATGTGAAAAATCATAGCTTTTGGGCGTCTTGTATGAAACGGGCTCATCAAGGTCTGCATACACGGATCGAATTCTGTCTTTGGTGAGACTCATGGAACTGACGCCACACGGTCTTAAACTAGACGGATAAGAAGAATTGAGTCCTCTGGATCGCCAAGAGGAAGTGCAGGGTTCATCATCCTCCTCCAAATATGGCGACGACCTTGGCAAATGTCGTTCGGGTAGTGGGGACGGGTAGCGTTGGACAAGCGGTCGTGTGTCGTAGTCGTAACTCTTGAAGAAATCTGTGGCGCGGCTGGTGGGCTTCGTAGTGTTGAGTCGTTGTAGAACTGCATCTGCATTTCGGCGAATTTCTCTTGTCTGTGCAGAAAATTCATCCATTTCTGGAGAATCCATTATTTCGCTTATAACATCCTGGCTTCTCTTCTTTGGCCGGATTGGGACATAGTCGTCGACATCTTCATCATCATCCACGACCGAGTAAGTGGTACGAATTCCAGGTTGGCACATCATTAGTCGTTGTTGTGGAACGACCGTAGTGTTGGGCACCAGAGTGTAGCCATAAGGTATAGACCCACCTGCAACTTTTGCAATCATAATTCGTAAGTTTTCTATTTTAGTTCTTGCCAGTTTTTACGTAGTCTCTTTGTTAGCCAACCACAACGATTAGAAATTATTCATTCTGATGAACAGTAATTTATTAATGTGAACTCACCTTGATATGGCAGCATGTTGACGGGTGTGATTGGCAGTCCTGGCCGAATAAAAGATGTTGGTCGTTCTCCGTAGAATCCTTGTCTGATGAGACGTACGTCAGGAACTGAATAAACTCCGGATGGAAACACCGAATAGTTCATGAGGCTGGGCTGGGTTGCTCGATGCGCGGTGCAATGCAATTTATTGTCGGATGGGGGTTCGCAGTGTCCAACTTCTTATTATCTTTTATCACAATGAGAGGCCAGCTACCCCCAGCCTGCCAACCTCGCTAGAGAGTGGGGACCGTGGCGAAGTTAGTGGTGGCTAAATTCAAGCAATATGCAAGTCTTACACTAAAGTTATAATCTAATCTACACGGGAAGCGGGTATTCTATACTCCACGCCACACGCTACTACAATTCTATGCACCACTACTGAACAGAATGGGGCCTAGGTGTTGTCTGTCACGTTGAAATCGTCACTTATTTGACTATATGCATAAGTAACTTATCCCTCATACCCATCCATCCACTACTCACTTCCGATCCGACGACACCAAAATGCTTAAAATGTGTGGCGATATGACGAAGTCTGGGTCTAACTCTGTCTGTCTGTGGGTTACCGAAACGATGAGCCTGGTGTGGGAAAGCCATGCATGCACCGATGTAGTTTGGTAAAGCTTTTTCCACTCTTCGGTATATGAGATTATATGCAACATTTTTATTTTTAATCTTGGCACCCGCTCAACATTTCTTTTATTTTCAGTTTTTAGAGCTAAGAGTTGTAAAGCATATGAAAAACATGTGTATCGAAGAAAAGTTTCATTAAAAAATGATGCTACGTACGTATTGCTTTAGGTTCGGACCTTTCCACGTGAAAAGCAAACAATGAATGAGATAATCATCATAACCTATAATTATGTAGCTGTTTAGCAGTTCTGAAAAATATATATCAGAAGAATGTTGATCACTCCAAAGGAAGAAAATCGTGCCAATAAGAATATTCGTCAGCACCCGGCCTTCGCGACTTTGACATTTTTTCTATTTGAATGGAAACCTCGAAACCCTGCATACATTGGCATAAGCATACATATGCAACACCAAATAACTGTCCAATTAATTAATAGTTATCGTGTGGTCTTGACATTATTTAATTATTAGCGGCCATATACAAATGCATATGAATAGGGTCGGAATTTCTTTGCTTGTCGTCTCCTGCCCTTTCACTCTTTTCTCATGTTGTGCCCTATTTTACCCACACGTTTTTAGTTTGTTATTTCTTTGCATACAAACAACAGCTAATCAGCAACAATTTTTTATCCCATTGCTCGACCTTCTTCTTACTTTGAGCAGAAAAACAGGAAAACAGAACACTAATACAGATCTAAAATTAGCCTCTTCTTCAAGAAGAAGAAAAAGAGACGAGAAGGCTAGCAGTAAAGTTATGAGATTTTCAGCAATTCTAAAAATTTAACATCCATATTTCCCATACTAAAATACTTACAGTCGGATTATTAAGTAGCGTCAGCTACTTATTGCGATCGTTTTGTCCGTCCGTCTGTCCGTCTGTAAGCAGGATATTTCCAGAACGAGTCGAGATAATCAAATGTCGTTTTCGACATTGTGTTTCTAATTTTTAGTTCTCGGTCGAGTTCGAAAATGGGGTCAATCGGACCACACCCCACAGCGCCAGGGGGTGTGGTCCAAATTAAATTTAACATTAATTTTCATATGGGGTGTCATTTTAAAGGAAATTTCACCACAAATTCAATGGCGTTAAAATTTTTGACTTCGTGACCTTAAGGACGAGGTCAAAGGTCAAAAAATACATAACTGTCATATGGGGTATCATTTTGAAGGAAATTCGACTGCGATTTCAACCCAAGCAACCTCAATGCGAATTTACTGCGAATCCCAGTGCAAGTTTGTGCAATTTTTGTGCATAAAAAGTTGTAATCATTAATTTGTACAAGATTCGTGCAAAATGTGTATCAATTTTTGTGCTGCTAATAAATTAGCACAAGAAATCCACTAAACTATCACAACTTAATTAGTAGCAAATTATTACAAAGGAACAAGTGAAGATTTAGTGCGTATTTGTTAGCACTAAATTTTCATGAGATTTCTTGCACCAAATTCATGCATGATTCGTACGTAGGAAATTGTACAAACTCAAAATGCAGTAAACAGGTGCCAGTATATTTACACAAAATTCGTACCAATTATTCTGTAATCATTTACTACTAAATTAGTAACATTTCTCTATTCGCGATTAAATAAACCCACCCCAAGTCAGTTATTCTTTTTGCCATGCCATGACATCAACTCCATCATTTTTTCTCCATTTTTAATTTCCAACGAAAAAATTTATTTAGATAGATAGTTAGGGTCGATCTTATGTCGGACAAAAGTTCGTATTCATCGAGTTTGAAGTCGAAAAAGGGCGAAGATTGTGCCGTCTACGTGGATTTCAAAAGGTTGGACGACTAATAGCGTGTTATATGCCGGAAAATACGGTAATTACATATATACATATTGTTGTCAGCTACTTTTGCATTAATATATATATTCGGGTTATTTATGTAAATATACGTTTTGCTTAATTTATAGATTCATACGTTGAGAACATATACAAGGAATACATAAACCTATCGACTCATGTGATAACGGCAAACGGCATCGCCCTAAATTATCAGCAAAAGAGCCTGAGGTGAATAATGAGGCATTTCTCAGGAATTCATTTTAATTTAGTCTTTCTCTATACGCCGTAACTACGTATTCTACCGATTAATTGCGATAAATATTTGTGTATCCCAATTTGCAATGATCTATTAATTAGTTAAGTATTTGGAGATACCTAACATTATTGTAGAAATATGTACAGCAGATGAATTTGTAATAAATGAATAATAATTGAAATGTGAGTAATACGTGTAAATGAATTTGTATTAATTTCATGCGTACCATTAGCAGACAATTAGTAATAGATTCGCGCTAAATTCGCACTAAATTCTCACCTCATTAATGCATGTCAATCATCACCAAATTTACACAAAATTCGTACACATTTGTTTGTGTTAATTTTGTGCATATTTGGTACAAGTAAACTTGCAGTGATAAATTATTGGTATGAATTTTGTACATGCGACTTATACAAAATAAGCACAAGTCGGCTTCACATTTTCACGGTCAATATGCATTAATCCAGTTGTACAAATTTAGTACATTAGTTGCAGATTTTGGTTGCTTGGGAAGGATGTTAATGTTTTTGACCTTATGACCTTGAGGAAAAGGTCAAGGGTCAAAATATTCATAATTGTCATATGGGGAGTCATTTTAAAGGAAATTAGACTGCGATTTCAAGGACCTTAATATTTTTGACCTCATGACCGTTGGGACGAGGTCATATACGGAAACTTTAAAGGAAACTTGAATCGGTCTGACGCTACTTATTTACATTCGTTTGGAGGGTTTATTTTTTATTTTGCTCATAATTTACCTCAGGCTTTCATCTTTTGAGTACAAATTCCGTAATGCGAAACAGGAAGTGAAAAGTAAGATCGAGTCTGCATAACTTATCACGTACGTTCATACAGCACATTGTGTTGCGTTCCACAAAGTAATGCTAACCCCAGGCGTCTTTCTATGCATATGAGAACATGTTACGTACTTTTATGTACGTTACTCTTTTAAACCAAAAAACTATACGTACTACTGCTAATTGTGTTTGTTATGCAATGTTTTTATTTTGTTCTGTAATCTCATCAACGATGCACCCGTCTCAAACGCTCGATCAATCAGGCCTCCAGACGAGACAAGTTTTTTACCCTTCATACTGGAATTATCTTTTGTGTTCAATTCCCTTTCTGTTGAGTACTTTAGAACCAACAAAGTTGGCACACAAAGGATTCTGCGATAGTAATTCTATTGTCATCCTCCAGAAATATCCTCAACGACTGAAGAGAGGAGGAAGACACGCGATTACTTTTCTTTTAATACTTATTGTGATGCATTGTATGCATGGATGCTGTGATTAAAATCGGAGATCTCCTTCGTGTGATATCACCTACGATTTGTAATGTATTCCTCAAAAAAGTCGTTCAGTCATAAATTACTCGACTGTCTCTGTTTGAGTGAAATACAATTTCGAACACGGGCCCAATCTGAAAAAATTACGTGTAGTCCTATAAAAACTAACTTTTCTATTTGCTTTCACGCCTGAAAGATCATCTTTGGCTGCATTGCACATACATATTCAGAGATTATTGGTTTGAGATATTTTCTTATAAGCTACGTAAGCTTGAGGTTGTTGGTACAGATTGGATGCTTGTCTCAGATGATTTTCAAAGAACAATAAATAATCAGCATGATTGACATTTCGTGTTAAATGATCCTTTCCTGGTCTGCTAATAATATGAAGCGTGAGGTTGTTGAAGCTTTGAACTTGGCATCTGCTAAGACATTCAATACAATATATTTCTTGTGACACTCGATTATATACTTGCATGCAATAGCGAAAACGCCTTTTAAAAATATATGTACATACATACACACGTTTTTGGATTCGGTATATATATTGATTCATATATGTTATCAGTATCGTAATTTTGTTGGAATGAAATGTTTGAAATGAAGTTAATGAAATGAACTTTTTATAGGTTTCCCAATTATTGAATGTATGTAGCAGAATTTGTTTTTTGTTTGTAGAATTTAGCAAATAGAAGTTAATTAGATGCATTATATAGTTGCAAAAGTAAGAGTAATATAAATACTAGGAAATTGTAAATATGATCAAATATACTCATACTTGTATATACATATATCCAATATTTGCTGATTGTGTAAACTGATGTCATTAAATACAAATGTCAACGTTGAACCTAAAATTAAATAAATGAAAAAACGTTTCGTTATTATACATACAACTTGAGAACATCTCGCTGGTCCTTCTGTTGGCTTATTGAGATTACCAAATGCATGTATAATGTCAGTATTCTGGAAGGTTGGAGCTCAGATAGTCGAATTACTGCAGGGGATGCATAACTACATTGTACATCTCATATATCCAAATTGGCAGCAGCAAAAATATGATGGTGATTTGGAAATTGAACAAGTATGCATACATCACTATCACTGCAATATGATAATAGGTTATTATAATGCAATACAAGAGTACAAGAGTTCACCTCATGTGCAGAAACCAATGGCAGTGAAAGCAACATGATTCGTTTTCTCGGACTGACTGACCAAGACGATTGTAGTCATGGCTGTCGCTCCTCTTAATTTTAGCCATGACTGACCACCACCTTGTGAGACACAGTCCTCCGCATCACCAGAGAAACTTTTCAAGTTTTCTATTTTTCTTCCCGGCCAGTCAGTCGGTATAAATTCTCCAAAAATTTATCTCTACTGGAATTCGCTATTTATTTGGAAGTAGTATTTACATAACTTCTAGAAAAGTAGGAATGGCAGTATCCACCACCCCCACAAGCAACCCAAGTGTCACACCTGTGATTGCATTTTTAGACGTCGACGCCTTTGAATGCCAGATTTGGCAGCGAGATAATCCGTCCACCAGAGGCCGACCCTGCGTCGTAGCTAATGCTACAGGTAAATTCTTTTAGATAAGTTGAGAAGGATTATCTACAGGACTATTATTTGCAGGGAGGATTGTTGCGGTTACACATGAAGCAAAGGAAATTGGAGTGTCCCGAAGCGAAACACCCTCTCTCCGAGCAGCCCTCAAAAAATGCCCCAATCTCACAGTATTTCGAAAACCGAACAAGTGGGGGAAACAGGATCAAGAAAAATGCAAGAAGGCAACTTGGGAAATCGTGTCACATATCCAGACTTTTTTGAAAACGTATACGGGGGGTGACGTCGTTCTGGAGGTTGCCTCCTCTGACGAGTTTTACCTCGACATTTCCGGTGAAGTTTCGCGTGGCATAGAACGAAGAGCTGAAAAGATAAGTGGCGACTCCAAAACACCGTGTCCCCCCCTCCCCATTCCGAAAACCGTCGTATGGGAAAGGGCTAAGCAAAGGAAGAAGGGGCCTTTTTTCTACAGGCTTCCATACGAGGTACTAAATAAATATATACATACACTAGCATGACGAGCAGTGAATGAGGCTTCTCGATGACGATCTTCTCTGAGTATTACTATTGCAAGCTTGATGTGTTATTAATTAATAAACCAACAGGTCACAAAAAATGACTTGGGAATGTTCAAGAACGTAAAGATATATTCCTACAAGAACGAAGAGAGGTTAATGTTCGGGGCTCTACTGGTGGAAACTCTTTGTACTTACCTCAAAGAAAAAACACAGCTTGAGCTGTCTGGGGGAGTGGCAAAAAATAAACTCCTGGCAAAAGTAGGCTGCACTTTGAACAAGCCTCGAAAAATCACTGTTTTTTCAGGCCCTTCATCGGGTGTCCCAAATCGTTAAAATATCCTCCATTCCAGGACTTGGAGTAACTACAAACAATTTTTTTTAAACGATTTCCATTATGCATGAATGCAAAATAGATTAATTTGTTTCATAGGGCACCCAAGGAGAGTCGCTTCAGAAAATTTTTGGCATTGCGAGATCTCTTAAGAGTCGACTATACAAAACTGGAGGATGTTCTTGGGAAAGCTAAAGCCCAACAGATAGCATCCTGTGGGTTAGGCCACTGCGTTGAACCAGTCGTTTCTAAAATATGTAAAGACCAGATAAAATGCAATAAGCCTGCTGGTGGCAAGTGGAACAAATTGATTAATTTATGACACTTACTTAAATATGGTCCTCCTGATTTGCACAACTAACTTACGTGTTGTATTGACTTACAGATATAAGAAATTTCCATAGGTTCAAAAAGGTACTAAGGGATTTAGTATCTGAAGTCGAGCTTGTTATGCAAGAACAGGCAAAGTGGCATGGTCGACAAGCGAAACTGGTTCGGGTTGAGTACAAACTCGGGAAAACTGTAGAAGAACATTCTGAGGAAAAGCAAGGACAAGGACAGCAGTTCGATATTGAAGACTCAGCTTCGATATTGAATCTTTACGACAACATGTTAAAGTTTTTCGTCGAGTTGCCTAAGTTTTCCACTGACTCTGTTCACTTTACTGAATTAGCTATCGCGCTGAAGAAGTTTGTACCCATCATGTTAGTTTTTTGTTGTTATCGTCATACATATAGCTGCACCTTACACTGCTCTACAGTTTAGTTGATATCATTTAAATCAACTTTCAGGTCTGGGGACAAGCTCTGCATGTCCATGGAAAATCTTGTACTCGCAGAAAAATCAATCACACAACCCACACTTCGGTTGTACTGCCAACCAAACGGCAAAACTCTAGCGTTCGAACATACCCTTCTTGGAGCGATTAGAATCACTTCAGATTTGAAGTACGAAAATCACACGACCTGTGATGCTCAGATACCAAAACTGGTCGAGGAATCAGAATTGCAATCATACGTTGGATTCCACTTACTGCAAGAGTTTTACACAGATACATCTTGTAAACGGCTTATCGTTGACTATACCTCTTACGATATCAAGAAACACCACTTCTTTAGCAAGTGGCTAAAAGAGGAGAAGCCCCAGATTGAGGGACTCGACGATGTCCAATTTGTGACTTTTCAAGGTAGACTGTTAAGATCCTTGAAAACCACATTAAATCAAACTTTTGGAGAATGGGAAACGTATGCCATTAATATTGATAACATCATCTATCTCTGGGATGAAAAAAGCGTCAGGACAAAATCAAGTTTCCTTCCGGAAACTGCTTACATGGGCGAGCTCTTTGAGCAGATTGTTTCAGGCAGAGCACCTAAAAATGGAGGTTGCATTGATGGACTAGAAAAGGTACACCTTAACGTATATATATATGTATATACCGTATATACATACATACAGGTTGCATTGCACTCATAGCAAATATATCTAATTATTCTTTTTGCTCTACACTTTGATGCTTCATTCAAGGTATTTCCGGTACAGAAGGTGTCGTTCGGATCTCATAAAGTTCTTATGATGAGTAACGTTGATGCCCAAGATTCTGAGGGGAGATTTCTACAAGTCCAAATTCAAACCGACTCCAACTGTTACAAAAGGAAAAATGCATCATTGATTTTAGAAAAGAATTTGAAATTGTGGAGTCAAGCAGTAGTGTCTGGCTGTAATTGGATGGTGGTAGGGTACAAAACTTTTGACAACCATATAACAAAAATTGACACTGTTGGAGTGGACGAGTTTTCACCCAATGCTGAAGATAAGGAACAATGTTACGACTTCTTGAATCGTTTACTAGACTGGATAAAAGCTCATTTACCTGCAAGTTTTCACTTAATTAATAATTATGAAAGATTTGAATGCATCCTAAACATGGGGTGTCGATTTAGGTTCCAGATGAAAAGTTAGTCAAGAAATTTTCTTGGATTCCTGGAAAACAGCAAGTTATGTGTCATACCATTCAGGAAAAAGAAATAGAAAAATTGTTGGTTCCGAAAATCTATTTTCCGAAAGACTGAAACGTTTTTTTCAAATGCGCTCAAATATTGTGATCATTCTTGTTCTTGAAATGTATTTGTGATGTCGCTAGATTATGAATCAGATTATTTTAATCCTCAGGAGTCTTTTTGCGTACTTCTGTACAAGAATTGTTTTATAAAATTTTGGACTTTTTGTTGTATAAAAAGTTAATACATAACAGTTAAAACAATGTGTAATTACATTACAATCAATGTTAAATACATTCAATAAAAACAATTCATAACATACGTAGTAAGTTAATGATTGGAATGTCAGCAGTTAAATAATTGATTTCTTAATCTTTCTGTAAACGGTTTCCAGGATTTTTCGCTCCCCACGTCATCATCGTTTCATCATGCCATTACTAGAGATTAAAAATGTTATAATTTATATTAAAATTAAACTTGGACGATGGTCGGTACTTAGAATTTGAAACAATTGGTAAATGAACTTGCATATCAAATCTTTGCAAGGTAATAATTATATGCAAATGACAGTTTATGAATAAGCTATGTATTTAAAATGTTGACGTTGTTGTAGATGCCCAACCTCTCAATAAAGGACTGCGAGAAACTCGCTTTCCAATTGTCTCGACATGAAACCCGATTTTCACCAACGCTTCGTGGTCACATATTTTACGACCGTCAAAAAGGAACGCTGGTTTCAACATAGAATCGTAAATTTTTTGGTAGTCCAGCGTCTAAAAAAGTTATTAAAAAAATGTTTCTATTCCATCTCTTTCAGTTAACTGTGAATCAATTTATTTATCTAATCTCACCGTGAACTCATCCCACTCTGTGCAAATAACGATTGCATGAGCATCTTTTGCAGCGCTGTATGCATCGGAGTGAACTTTAACGAGTTCTTTTACCCCCTCGGGATCTTCTGTCGGCATCATAGTCACCAAATCGAAGAATATTTGCTTCTCTTCGACCTAAATATAAATGGTCATTACTATTTAAAAGAATTGCATGAGATGTATTTATAGGATATCAAGCGATAGGCTCATACTTTAGGATCGTAAATATGAAGCTTGGCCCCTTCTTCCAACAAATACTTTGATACATAAATTGCCGGAGATTCTCTACAAGTATTAACAACATGTTACATTTCACAATGCCATGATTAATTAGCACCCGTAATTTGGTAATACCTAGTGTCGCCAGTATTCTTCTTGAAAGCAAATCCAAACATGGCAATTCTTTTATCAGTGATTGTGTTGAACAATCTCTAGATAAATGTAGGAATAAATAAATTTAGGATAAAATGTAGGAATAAATTTTTTAATCTCTGTTAAACAACAAGACAAGAGGGTTGCATCGCAGCATTGCAATTATTTTGAAAGAAAGTAAAGAAGAAGTAACTATGCTCAATTATGGAAATCCTGGAACTAACTGGAAGTCTTTGTTTGCAACGACTGGAAAATTCTGGTATCACATAATTAGGTTCATGGAGTAATAATCGGCATTTCAATGGTATCCATTACGTATGACGGAGAAGAAAGTTTTCACATCAACAAAAGTAATTGATTGGCGAAAGAGGGACTCAAACTTTTGCCCAGAACTTAGAATAAATATCCAATAATAGTAAATTTGTTATTGGATACGTTAGAGTGAACTTTTCCCTAGCTGAATGGAGAGTCTCATCTTTACTCTGGGGAAATATGGAAACACGTTTTGTGAAACAGTTAGGCTGATTAAGCTCGAATTTGTCATAGAAGGGCCCGGGCAGCAGGAAGATCACAAACGTTGGGAAGAGAGTAATTAATGGAAAACTTGAGTTTTAGTTGTAAAAATACTCGACATAGTTAAGGAATGGCTAACGAAAGATTAACATTAGCTCATGTACAAGACGGATATGTGTTTTGGTTGGAAGAGGATGGAGATTTCATATCAACAAGAACGATTGACGAAATCGAAGGTATGAGTAATACAAATATTATTATTCTGTAGGCGTTTAAACTGGTCTGGTGTGCAAAATTTGGGAAAGTAAATACTCATTTTAAATATTGTAGGAGGAGTGTACAGCATAAATCGACTGGTTTGTCAGTTTTGGAGTGATCGTTTAGGCCACATTAGAGGATTCTCATGTGGATTTACATGTTTGGTGGAACCAAAGTTGATCAACGAGTATATTAAGGCAAGAAGTGTGAAAAGGAAGTCACTTGCACCCGTTGGAAAATCCAATGGTTGTTCGTACGGGTAGGTTTTTTATATAATCCGGTACATGTGTTGCTAAATTCTGAATTTGGCATGTAACATTACTCGCGTCCATTGAAAAGACTTTACCAAAACATACGCAACAACTACTCCTTTATGAAATGGGAGAGCAGTATAAATAAGACGACTCAATGGACGAGAAACAAAATTTACACGGCCTGTAAATATAGATTTATGGATGTATAGATTTATATACATTATGGATTATCCAATTGGAAATATTAATCGGTATTTGATTTTACAACCAATATATTCAGCCAATTTCGACTAGCACTTTACATTATTTTTTTAACAGTTGCCATTTTTAGTAGCTATCGTATCGTGGAGCACATTACTGACAAATAGAAAAAATAGACTGGTAAAAAAATCTCAAAATTCGTATATGATCGCAAGGCAATTGTAGTTATGCAACTTCACCTCATATTCCAAATTATTACATCATTACGAATTGAATAATGTTCGCATCGCAACATAAGTTGTTCGAAATTGCGAATTTCAGAAATAGACGTGGAGATCAATACACGAAGTGAAAGCAGGATGAGGTGAAACTGGTCAGTGAAGCTTTCACACTGAAAGTTATGCTTTCTCACTCTGTGCATACGTAGATTTTCACTGTAACGACTCCACCGCAAGTCTCAAAACCGGGGTTTGTGTAACAAATTTGCAAATGTTGAATTTATTATCATGCGTTTATCCACACGTTGTAGGAATTCGCACATTTGTACACAACTTTCTTCATGGGAGATGGAATCTGACTGAAATCTGCTGGGGTAAAAATGTATTTTGGAAAGAAAGAAGGGATTGAGGAGAGATGAAAGATGGTGAGGAAGAAGTACATGAGTTGATGTAGCTTTGCATGGTTATGACACTTTTCAATCTTAACGACTCTTAAACCTTTAAAAAGTCTAGGCTTCTTCCTCTTCTCTTGCATACATATCGGGTCTATTATTGACTTGTGGTTGACATTCATTGACTGATTAAAAAAAGTTAAAAATGTAGATCTGAAATTCCAAAATTAAAATACGCATAAATACAGTTTTGTGAGTGTTTTTTTTTGCGGGTTAAGTGACCTGAGATGAGTCTTTTAGAATGAGTCTTGCATCGTATGTATATATTTACATAAATATGAAACGAGCAGAAATCTAAACCAACTTGTGATATGTAAAATCTTTAACGTCATATTGTTTAATGTCATATTTAACAGGGATGACCTGCCACCAGGTTGCACCGCAAAGCTGGAAAACTTAGTGGAGGTTCCTATATTTTCTGGTTCGGCATACACTGCACTACAAATACGCCATCGAGCACGACGGTTAAATGGGAAAGATGACGTTGGCTCCATCAAGCCAGAAAATGGAGAAAGATTTTTACAAGAAAACGGAACAAGAGGAAGATTGGATACCTTGTTAACGTAATAATGTTGTTACCATTATTATTTCTAGTCTCAATGTGAAACAAGAAGGGTAACAATGTTAGGTTGATTGATATGTTGCAGTGCACTTATTACTCAAGCTCGAGATAGAGTAGTTTCGGTGGAACAAGTACCCCTGCCAGCACCCATAGAAAAACTGAGTCTTCCACCTTACGTTGTTAAAAGTGGTCGTCGACCTATCTACTGCAAATGGACAGGATGCAAATACGTCTGTATACATGACGCACATCTGAAATAGTAATAACAACTGAATGATATGCATAGCTGAAGTAGCATTAACAATACTTTTCTCATCGCTATCACATTTCTAGCCATGTTGAACAGAAACATCGGAAATTGAAATTGAAACATAAATGTGACAAATGTTCCAGAACTTTTGACCGACCTCACCGACTAAAAGAACACCTTAGTAAAGGGTGTGACGATTTACGGACTAAACTGAAGAGAACATCGGTGAAAGAGTTAAAGAAAGCTAGGTATGGTACATTTTTCGGAAAAAATACTTAACACGAGATCATCATTATTTACTTATGGTTTAATTGCGTTTGTAAACTAGAATTGCGATCAGAACTGGGCCCACTGTTTCTCTCTCAAATGATAATACCATTGCTTCGACCCCTTCTGGCGTCTCTAATAATACAGGTACATCTTCATACTTTCCTTTACACTTAAATTAAATTTATTATTATTGTGCATGACGTACAGAGAGTAACAAGGGGGTTGAAGATACTCTGCTCCAGAATGCCGTTTTAAAGAAAACGAATGCCGATCTTATGGAAAATAATGCCAAATTAAAGAAAACGAATGCCGATCTTATCGAAAAGAATTCCGATTTATCGAAAACGAATGCCGATTTAAGGAAAAGGAATGCCGATCTTATGGCTCAGGTGACAGGAATGTCTGGTACAGCAGAAAGGAAACCATTCAGCACGCTAACAAACAAACCTATGAGGCAAACAAAACTGAATTTTCCAGTTAACAAACGATATTAATGGCGTTTCGTTCATTATATTCTTGTCCTGAATCATGACTTATTTTAGACTTGTTCGCTTTAACTATCATACATAAAAAACCTTTCATTGTATACCACTATCAAGGTATTATGTAAATATTCTTGATGTCGTATTAGTCGTGGAAGATGGTAGTTTAAAATCGTATATTTCTCTGTTTCACCAATTAAATGACTGTTACCTGTGTAATTTACCATAAGATCCAGTCTTATGTACATGTGTTCGTTGCGTTAATTTTTTTTTGCGCGAAGCAAAGCGCACCACCAGCACCACCTTCGGTGTTCCATGAATTGGATTTGACTGACTAGTTTTGCCAGAAAAAAAACGTGTAGCCTTTGGGGATTTTACTTTCCCCACACAAACTTCCAGCAGCTGCATAACCAACTCTGTTCTCACGGACACGACTTGTTCTTATCCACCAGCGACAACCACTGCGACATCACCACCACCACCACTACCTTATCGCAAGCCCATGTCAGCTGTTCAAACCACAATCAATTCCATCGACTGTTTGCAAAATTTTCATGACCAATACGGCAAAAGTGCTCCCGTGAACGGGAGAAAGCTATCCAAAAAGAATTCTGACTTTAGATACCCGGATTTTACCAATTCTGCATCGTATCGTGTGTCATGTAACGTTACACGTGTGAGTGAGACGGTCTAATTTTGTCTGTGTATGTAATTAAACAACTGCTGAATTAGAATATAAGTGATCAAGATTATTTGACACTTTATCAATCTATAAAAGACACAAGAGTTACCTAGATACTAAATGTCAAGCAATCGTGATAAGTGATTACTGTGAACACAAGTATTGTCATATCTTGTCGTTATGACGCGATTGCACTATTTACTTAGTCCAAACTTATTTATAAATACCTCAACAACTTTCCCAGCAAATCGAGACTTTTGATATTCATTCATGTCAATCACCTGTAGATTATAGACGTGTAGTTAGATCTATTTTGTTGTGGTAAAATTAGTAAATAATATAATCACTAACCTGCTGCCAATAAGCAGCAACTTCGGACAAATTGAGACACTCGCTAATGTAGACCAAGTTGAGCAAATCTTTCTGGAAGCAACTTCCCCCAAACCCCACCGACGCTTGGAGAAATTTCGGACCAATCCTTGAATCCGTCCCAATGGCTTTTGCGACTTCTGTAATATCCGCCCCTGTGGCTTCGCAAACCATTGAAATGGCATTGATACTCGAAATCCGCTGTGCTAAGAAGGCATTTGCTGTCTATTTTAATAGCAAGATTAAGAGTTAATATGCATGTAATACTTGGTAAATTTATGCAAGCACATACTAAAGTCAAGCATTGAAATGTATATTATAGTTACCAGTTTTGATAGCTCAGAAGACCACGTGTTGGTAGTAATAATTCGATCTCGATTAATCCAGTGGGAGTACACCCAACAAAGCTCTATGAATCAGCAGAAGGTTAGAGGATTTATTTGACGCATGCATTGTTTTATATATGCAAGCAATATATATCACTACCTTCAATGGCACGGGCGCCTTCCGGAGTAGTCTCGCCTCCGATTAATACCCTGTCAGGGTTGGTTAAGTCGTTGATGGCAGTTCCTGCGATACACGAGTCAAGAAAAATAAATAATGAGACTATATAGGACGCCAGAAATTATAAACACTATATAACATTACCCACCTTCCGACAAGAACTCTGGATTAGATAAAACCTGTTGTGACAAAAGTAATTATTGTACTATGCTTTTCGTAACTTATTTTTATAAGAACAACATCATGTCAGAATAAGCGAGATCATATACCTGAAATTCTACTCCAGGGCGAGTGTTGGCCTTCAAAATGTTTATGATACTTTCAGCAGACCGAACCGGTACAGTGCTCTTCTCGACTACAATTTTTGGACCGTTGGCGACAGATGCGATTTTCCTGGCACATGATTCTACAAATTGTCATCATACATAGAATATATATATGCACTACATATATACACTACATATGACTCGATCATATGTTATCAATTGAACATTTATTTATATTGCACTTTATCTATCCCTCTTTCCGACTCGCTCAAACGGCTCCCCGACATGAGTACCAGATAAATGTAAGTTATTTATTCTACCATTTAAAACTAATAATTTTTAATAATAATTAATTGTATTTCCAGAGGTGGTTCTGGGATCGAAATCGTCGAAATGCTTCACAACTCCTTTTCGTTCCTCCTCCATCACAAGCGTCACGGAATGAGCGTCCAAGATTCTTTTGGCTGAAGGAAAAAGGCAAGAAGTTGACGATGAAGTGGCGAAGTTTGAAGGACGGTGAAAGTACATGTGAGTAATTCTACAGTCTAAATTTTCACACTAAAACATACATGTCTCACATTCACATGATATTAATTGTAGCTGGACATTGGAAACTCTATCTCAGTTTGTGGGAGACTCCCACCGGAATTTTGATGGGAACGTCAGTCTGTTTTACCCAAAAGGAAGATGTGAATGAAGCCGCCCAAACAATTTATGACGCGATTATGACAGACGATGACGATGGTTGTAGTTTCCGGTTTGTCCTATTATTTTATAGCTATCATTCATATTTATAAATTTGTTGCTTTTCATTTGTTTATGCATGTAGATTGTTTGTTAAGAAACACAATCTCAGCCCCCGTACTAATGGATCAATACCACTCGGAATTTTCGCAAAATCGGAACTTGCTGCCAAGAAGATCAAGTGGTACTTGAAACTTCTAATTAAAGCGTTGGGAACTATACACCCAGAAGAATGTGTCCGGCTCCTCCACGACAAGGGAGAATATCTCAATGATGTCGTCCGACAATGTATGGACCTCTTGGATCCTAAAACCAGACGGTGGTTGGAATTCTCTGCCGAAGCAATGGACCTCCACATTGTGGACATTGACGCCACATTCCCTGGAGTTGACGAAGATGTCAAGTTTCGATTTGAATTCAAGGACAGGTATGGGTTTGAACCAGAAGACGGAAGTGCCAAAAGCATTGCATTTTTAGGTATGAACTTGCCAATTAAACTAATAATTTGCATGATTGTGGTATAACACTATTACAAATGGTACGAATTGTTAATTCCAGATATTATTTCGCATTCTTTGGACATCTCGGATGATGATGTCGTGGAAGAAGATGATGATGGGTCTGCAGAAAACGAGTAGGAGTACTTGGACTGAGTATTATTATATTCAAGTATTTTTAAGTTTGATCATTTCAGTTAGTGATTTGTACCATAAGATTGATTGTCCTGGTTAGAAATAAATGGACTTTGAACTAAATAAATACTCACCCACAAACTTGAGATCTGCTGCTCGACCCTGTACCAAATAAAACAGTTATAACATGATCCTAGGTAGTGAAGCATCATTTTTTGTTGTACCTTTCCAACCCCAAACGTCTTTGTCGGAGTGTTAACCGATATGAAGATCAAGTCCGCTTCCTTAATTGCAGGATCCATGTCCGTAGTAAAAAATAAGTTGCGGCCTCGACATTCTTTGACAATGTCGTCAAGTCCAGGCTGGTATGAAAGCGAAATTATATTAGCTTTTCATTGGATTCATACATCACAATCCATTATATGTCGTTATTATGCGTAACAATGCAAATCCACTAAACCACGTCGGGAGAACTATGGACGCGAAATAATGTGAATCACCTCATAGATAGGAAGCTTATGCGAATTCCACTGGTCAATCCTCTCGTCATTTCGATCACACACAGTTACTTGAATGTCTGGGCATTTGTAAGCAATCATGCTACAAGTTGGTCCACCTACATAGCCGGCACCTGTAAAGCAATGCATAACTCATTCAAGTACATATGTATGAAAGGACAAACTCAGTCAAGTGAGTAGAAAATGAGACTAACGAGTCAAGAATTATATATGAAAAATAGAGTTAATAAGTCCTTACCAATGCAACAAATCTTCTTGATAACCATTTTTGCTTCTGAAGGAAAGAGCACGACTTAATTCAGGCACTGGATTGGTCTCTGATTAACCTATCAATACATAAATTGCATATGTCATAAATCCGTAAGGAATTTTTGATTTGTACAAATAAAACAAACACAGCAAATGCATTCCTCAACTTTTTGGCATCATGCACAGCACAAAAAGGAATTATATATGTACGACTTACTAAAACACCATGAAACTTGCTTGATTTTTTGTTCCGGGTTTGCATTTTTGCAATTCCATCATAATGCAATGACCAGAATGATGGTTGCTACTTGTTACTTATGTCGAACGGATACGTGTATGTATACTAACTAAACTAACCTGTGAATTTGAGACGAGATGAAACTACGCTGGCAGAAGAATTATGAAGTTGAACTCGATTGAATTGTAGTTTTTGTTGATGTACAATGTATGGGTACAGGGCTGTGTAGTGTGTATTACAGAGGTCCTCGACTTGATTTTCGTTGTCAGCAAACTGTAGACTCTGATTGCGTCCTTCCGATTAAACAACTCCCGTTCCGACGGTTGCAGCTCGACGAATGCAGCTAAAACAAAGAATGATATCCTTTAAGTATGTTCACAATGGAATATTTTTATAGCCTGAACCACAGGCACCCGTGTTTATATAGATGTATCCCCGACCGACCCACAGCCTAATTCGCTTACACCATGAACAAGATTTTAACCAAGCATATAAAACACATTATTATTGCAAGTATTAAATATTATCATTGTGCTCTTCCTAGTATAAAGGAAGGGTTGATTGGTATGTATATGTACATGGTTGTGGGGCATGGCATTTTTGTAGGCTTAAAGTCTAATTATATCGCCTAAGCCACCAGTATATACCAAGAAGTAGGGTTAAGCCTTAAAAATATGAAAATGATACAATTTGACCCGCAGCATATGCACAAACAAGTGAAAAAAGTGCAAACGTAACGTAACTGATGATGCTCACGGATTATGAAAGCTATACGAGAACGAGCTAAAGATAAAATTTATCAAGAACAATCATATTACATATTCACTCTGGAAGTATCAAACATTCCATCGTCAGCAACCAGCAATAAATCACAACTGCCACTGTTTGATTTGCGTCAACCTACAGTTGAGCATAAGAAATAATCGCCTAATTTAAATATCTAGTAAAATGCCTTACCTGCTGAAGAATTGTATATTATATAGTGTATAATAGATAAGTCAAGAATGTTATAACGAGAGATTTAATTTTGCAAGTTTTTACACAGTAGCAATATATGCCCACGAATAGAACTTCACTTCCCGGGTATTTTTATACAATACCCGTATTCGGGAATTTTGATGTCCAATCTGAAAGCATTGTATGTATGTATCATTTTGATACCATATAATTTAGGTATGTATATGAACTATCTATGAACTACCTAAAGCAATAAAACCTCTTCGTTTGCGCTGCCGGCTAGCTATACATATGCAGTTTTAAAAAAGCTTTTGTATGTACATTGTTGCCAAAATGGTGAAGACATGGTACGTTTAAAGATATGCATAAAAGGTCACGGTGTCCCACCCGTTTCATTGTCACGAACAAACTTAGAAAATAGCATTGTTTTTATGGCAAACTTTTATAGCTCCGAAAACTATAAAACTAGTTAATTTGTTGTATGATCCTATATGAATGAATTTCTTTGATTTGAGACAAAGTCATTCATTTATGTCCTTTTTTCTAGCCGTATAATTTGAAAAGGCTTAAAATGGTCCATCTCGAGGAATCCCAACGAACTTTCAACCAGGCAAGTGCCAAATAGAGAGTGTAAGCATGTTGAATTAATGTACTTCAACAGTATCCATATAACTATAACCTCTTCCAGGCACTCTTCCATCGATAACTTGTTCAAGGTCAGGATGTTTTTTTTACTGTAATTCTCAGCCTGTCGCATGTTGCATGCACCATTCTATTAAAATCATGAGAGTTGCTCCAGCCAATGCAACAGTGGACCAGTAATGATGATAACAATGCTTCTTCTCACGGCCTGCCTCCCTTGATGAAATGTAGTCTGATAGCATATGCATGCAATCCTTTATATTAATTTTGTCCAGTCCAAACAGCTTGTGACTCGTCTTCTTGGGCAAAGATCACTTTTGTCCATTCCCAGCACGGAGTGGTACTCACACTCACTCGCTCGACCCGTCCTGAACAACACACGGTGCAGTAGAACAGTTGCAAGTTTAGTCGCAGAAATTCCACGTAATTCAACGGAGCATTACTTTCTACGGAGAAAACAGGTTCGTTTGACGCAATTTGGTTATCCGAAATTAAATTAGAGGGTTTCGAAGTAAAGGAGGTTTATTTCTTGTTTGGATAATTTGAGGGGATTAAGTTCAAGATAAGTTGGCTAATTCCATTTTACTTTACTCGTTGAGCATGAATCATTTTATTACGAGTAGAAATATTACCTTTTGAAGTTTTTCACAGATCAATTCACCAAGAAACTTATTACTTATCAACGTACGGACATATTTTGCCTCGTTTAAAGATTTGGTTTTAAACTTTAAAATTTAAAGCAGGTTTTTAATTTAATTAATTGTGGATTTAATTGCATGGGCATTATTGAATCATCCTCACCTCACGTCGCGCATGTGTCCAGTCATATGCATCGTCGGCCTTGTAAGATGCAAAGTCATCGTCGTTTCATCATTTAGTTTAACGAAGTAATATTGTCAAATGCAGTGGTTATACAAATATGTGCATAAAAGATATATTTAGTATATTTGTTAGCCGAACTGTTGTTTCTCGGAGATGACAATGCAATATGCGTTATCAAAACTGGGTCTGTCACGCGGTCCTATCTTTGTACATACTCACGCATGGAGAGGTGTCCCGTGATGTAATTCAACTATGAACTATCGAAGATTAAATTATACTTCTTGCAGTCTTGATTTACTTTTATTTTAAAAAAGTCGGGTTTTCATTGGGTACATTTATGTATGCATGTAGTTGTAGTATTAATGCTATTCAAAATGGTAATTTATTGGCTTGCACAAAAGTAATATATGCAACTTTATTGTTATTAGTACTGCACAGTGATTGAAATCCATTATTGATTTATTTATTCTAAACAATTGGATTGATTTTATGTAGGAAATACAATTACCCGAAATTACTTTAGGCGTGCCATTAATTAAGTATTGGCCACATTCATACCATCTTGTTCGTTCGATAGAAATCTACCATCTGCCAAGCAAATTTAAAGTTATTTAATATTTTCTGACTGTATAGCTCTGTGGGAATGTACGTATTAGTATTAACTATTTTATAATATTTGCATCATAGACACGTCAAATATGGGTGACACTGCGGCCAAAAAATACTCTCTTAAAGAGGTTGAAGCTCACAAGGACAAAAAATCCTGTTGGATAGTGATCGCTGATAATGTTTATGACGTGACTAAATTTTTAGAAGAGGTAAGTCGGTCAATTAAATCTATTTTTACTAGTTTATGACTATGTGGATCTATGTATGTGTTACAGCATCCTGGAGGTGAGGAGGTATTGTTGGAGCAAGCGGGTAAAGATGCCACAGAGAATTTTGAAGATGTTGGACGTAAGTTAAATGGAAATGCATTTTCTTTCACTAATACAAAATGTGTTAAATATATGCATGTTACATGTATAGATTCAACGGATGCACGAACGATGATGAAGGATTATTTGGTTGGCGAAATTATTGACGAAGAAAAGACAAACACACCAGAAAAGCTTAAAAAGAAGTGGTCAGGAGATTCCAACGATCCTGATAACTCGAGGTATGTACTGACAAGAAGCTCAATTAATTTGCATCCAAGTGCAAGCTGGACTTGTCTATTTTTTTCTTTTACTGAATGCAAGCTTCTTATTTTTCAGCTCGTGGAAGACATGGTTGATTCCAATGGCGTTGGCTCTCGCGGCTTCGCTGATTTTCCGATTTTTCTTCATTAGTAAAAATTAAGGAAAGATAAATCATGTAATTACCTCCTCCAGTGTCATTTGTGTAATAGAATTCTAAGAGACCTAATTTTAACGGACTTATAAATTTAGTTCTTGTTAACTTGATTAAATGTTTTAATGAATAATTTGAATAATCCTTTTCCGTATTTTTGGTACTGTTGCGGAGCATAAGTTTTCTGTTACTTGCACTGTTAAAAAATGGGTTATCTTACACTTGATCATAAATTGCAAGTACGTTTAAGTCCACATGAGTTTTACTATTTTGTCGTTCATCAACATATAGGTTATCTGATTGTAATGCAACATGTTGGGGCGAAATTACTGGACAGTAGTATTCATTATTTCCATTTATCAATCCATGTCTCTGCTATGACTATAGAAAATGCACAATACAATATGATGGGACCATTCCTAGTTTAAAAGAAATCTGTGTAGAAAAGTAATCCGGTGTGGTGCATGCTAAAACTGAAATTTCTGTATTAAAAAAAACTTAGCAGGAAGATTATAATAACTTTAATCAGAGTATATCTATGTCAATCTGCAAACCTTCAAGTATGTGAATAAACCGTATTAGCAATAAGCACAACTCTGATGTATTTCTTTTTTGCATGGCATTTAGATATATATGTGTGAAGTAAAAATTCTGCAAATTAAAGCTGCACAGGTGTGCACTTATGTATGTCCATATTATTATGTTGCTATAATCAACCGATATTTCTTATGCTCAGTTTTTGTGGGCAACGACACGCCACTAGAACGTCGCCTGGCTATTGTCAAAACCTTCGAACTATAGGACATCAAATCGACATTGGGGCACAGCAATCAACATCATGAATGACGGATCAGGTATTTTGGCGATGATCAAAGAGGACATGCATCAATTATCAGATCAAACAGACAAAGGGAAATCTAACGATGGACACAATTTTGTGCACATTTTCCCACCTGAACTAAGCAACAAGTTATTTTCCTATTTGTCCGACCGGGACCTTTTTACTTGTTCTAGATGTTGTATAAGTTGGCGGCAAGTGATTAACGATAATTCTCAATGGTACATTTGGCAAATTAAGCTATCTACTATACATATAATATTCCACTTTATGAACTTGTAAATATATGCAGGAAGGCACGGTGCATAAGTCGTGGCTGGGCAACGATCAACAGTGGAGGAAATGTGCATCAGAGGTGGAACTGTATCAAATCCCATGTGTCCATACATGATAATTATAAATTTCGGACATCGCCTCAATTTGTTCTTCCGGAAGTTGCAAGTTTGAGAATCTCACCAATGTGCGACTGGGCGTTATACTTTCGTCAATGCTTGCACATCAAACGAAGCTGGGACAAGGGGATTTATGCCATCCATCGCCTTGAAAATCTAAAATGCCCTGATTATGAGTATACCACTCTAAATAATGACTTTGACTGCAATGGGAAACTCCTTGTGTGTGGCACATCCTCAGGAAAAGTTCTTGTGTGGTCTGTAGAAGGTTTGTCAGTGATTCTTTTAAAGACTATTCAAATGGAGTGGTTTAAAACTAACTGCTCATCACAATTGTAGTTAGAAACGATTACATGAAATAATAATACTTAATACCTATAGGAGTGCCTACATTTCTAGAAAGCATAGCCGTCGCGAGACGAAGAGTAGAAGTAGAATGTGTCCTTCTCAGATCCAACTTTTTGATTGTACTCTATCAAAATGGCCTGATTAAAGTAAAGAAATAAAATAAAACAACATACGTACTATTATTTCGAGCTACTTAAACTATACATTGCGAATTTTCAGGTATTTGATACTGGAAAATTGTCTAAAACTATCAATGAGGATGATCAACCTAAATTAGAATCAGTATATGCAATTAGAGCAACGGGGTCAGAATCTCCAGATGGGTTCGAATTTGTGTTAAATGCTCAGACCATCACCGAAGATGATGACTACCTCACGAGCTTTGAAGACGATGATAACGACCTTGAACTGTGGATTCGCGAATTATTTCGAATAGACCTTTGGATGGGAAATGACGTTGAAGGATCAAATATGATGATCCATGCAAATGAGAATATAGTGGTTCTCACTGGGATTCTCTGTAAGAGTTTGTTTCTCTGGAAAATTGGGAAGGGTGACTTTGTTCGTCATATTCTGCTACCTGCAGGATCACAAGTAGTTTACCAGGTATGTGAATTTATGTGTTTATGCAAATATGAACTTCTTTTCTTTATGGTGTTCTTATTTATGTGTGTATACATTATCTAAGTGTGCACGCCTTGTGAGTCGAATTGAATCTGCAAACTTTTGGGTGTTTTGAAAAACTTATTCTTTTACTTGATCTCAGTGTATGAATTATTTAAGAGCCACCTCTCAGCAAGATACCTTTATCTATCCACAAAGAGACGCAATGTCTATGGAAATGGAAATCCATCCTGGTTTGTCACTGTGTATGATCTCTCGTCTCTCGAAAACTCGGACGAAAACTCCCCTGAAATCAATCCCTTGATCATTATACCATCTACAAACATGGTGGAAGAAATCCGGTCAGATAGCAAAGATGCGCGAATTGTTTTCTCAACCCAGGATGGAGGACTTTGTTGTGTGCGGTTCGAAAATAATGTATGTATTTATTTAGATACTTATTTACGAATGCGTCTTGTGGGAACTTCTGTATGCATGTACGTAAAATGATATTTAGGGGTTCGAATCGCTTTTCGACAAGCAAGCTCCAAGTTTTGTGGATAATTTGACCGTTTCTGATGATCTCATCGTATACCATCAGTATGATGGCTATCTTATGGGCAACAATTGGGCTGGAGAGGAGCTTTTTGAAATTTCGGCTCATATTGGTCTCGTCAAAGGACTACAGATTTTCGAAAATTATCTCATCAGTGGAGGAGATGCCATGCAATTGTGTGTTTGGGATGCAAAAACTGGAGAAAGGTGTCACACCGTGTATCACCAGCCTTGCAGAATTCAGCATTTATATGCCGACGCCACAAAAATTATTACCGTTGGACGAGAAGACCCTCCAGTTTTGGTGGCATATTGGTGAAAGAGGTGCAAAGTTATATTCAAAATTATTTATTGTTTAATATAATAACTTACTATAATATAGAGATTTATACGCGTATGTATCCAAAACTTGAGCATAGTCATTGGCAATATCTCATCTAATATGTTGAAAATATGACATATATGTATGTATCACCTATTATAGTTTAGTATATATATCTTGTAATATATTTAATTATTGATGTGCAACTGAAATGCATCGCTGAAAAATGAAAGTCTCAAACTTAATTTTAATTTATATGTTGAGTTGTTTCTACTGACGAGGAAATCCCGATGTTAGATGTTACGTATATGTATTGTATATACTACATAACAATTTTGTATATTTTTTCTCTAATAAAGTACAGTTAATTCAATTCTACTTTTCCAACTGTAAGTTACTAACTCATCAATCTGTATAGCATAATATAAATATAAACCATGGCTAAACTTAAGTAAATAACCGATCAGTCTTTCAGAAGGTTACCAAAAAACTAAACCGGTAGTGCTCAAGAATGTGAAGTCATTTCACAGGAACGCCAATTGTTCTTCTGAGACTGGCGAATCGGTCGGAGCGACCATCAACAATTTTTGTAGGAAAATTGTCACTGGAACTATTAAAAATCAAGAAATTTCTCCTTTAGAGAATCCACATGGACATGCAAACTCGTATTTAATTATATAATATTTTACCCATGAATTTTATGGAGAGTTTAAAGTATACGAAAGGAAAGTAGAAAATCAGACCGGCCACGATGAACAAGATTGCGTACAAGTATTCCACTTGGGGCTTGTCGATAATCGGACCAAGCACCAAGTAAACTGACGCCAACAACACAATCCAAGGAAAGATTATGGGTACCTGGGAAAATATTGAATAATTAACAAAGCAAGAAATCATATACTATCATCAGCCAGTGAAACATTACAGTGATTCATTTGTATGCATACTTTATACGGACGGGGAGCATTAGGACGAGTGAATCTTTGCACAATAACAGCTAGCATCGCACCTAAGATAGGAATTATAAAGTTGAAATTAGTCGAATCAAATCAAATACCCCTTCTCTGGTCTAAAAGGAATAAATTTGATCACCTCCATAAAAGATCCACGCCTGAAAAAATGAACATACATATAATTAACAATAAATAACTCATAAACTAATTAAAAGCTCATGCTTGCTCACCGTAAAACTAAAAAAATCAATCAGGGTTTCAATATCTCCAGCAATAATCATGAATGTCGCAATTATAGCCTGGAAAATGAGAGACACAAAATCAGTAACAATAATAACTATAAGTATAATTGTGCAGGCTTACGTGGAAAAACAAAGCCGGGACCGGAGTAAACCTTCGAATGTGGATGTACGACAAAATGTCGGAAAATTGTCCTTCTCGGCTAGTGGCGAAACAAAGCCTGGAAAAATGTATGTCCAGTAAATAATGGAACGTAATATGCATAATAGATATTGAGTAATATGAGTGTGAAGTAAATTATTACCGTCCAGCCACAAAGAGTGCTACAAATCAAAATATTTATATTACATATTACTGAATACTGTTACATTTTATTGGAATTTATTTTGTTATTATCAGTAACTCACTTCCATTAGCTGCGCCGAACGTACTAACAGCCACGCACAATGGGACGACCCATTTGAGGTACTTTGCCCCTTCCCAGTCTCCCATAATACGACTTGCGAATGTCTTACAAGTGTCATTTGGAAAAACAATTAGTACATAACCATTAAGAGTTTCAAAACTTTATCCATACCACAGCAACTGCAGGTGAGTCGATAATGTCCTGAGGAGGAAATGTAAATTCAGTATTATTATCGACCATCTCAGGATCAGAAACTTGCATCCTACAAAAAAGCTACTAAAAATCATGTACCTGTGGAGTCATCACAAAAAAGTATGAGACGTTAATGAAGATGTAGCAAATTGTAACCAACGGGATGGCAATCATGATACTGCGGGGTAGATTCCTAAAATCAACCCAAAGGAATTAGTTTATATCGTGATGCATTGTAAAATCACGACCTCAAACAATAGTCACCTTGACTGATCCAGAAGCTCTTGATTACAATAATTAAGATTGTTCCTTTAAGTTATAAAATATGGTCGTCAAATGCTAAATAGAAACAAGTGTCAAATATATCCCAAGCAAGCTGTCGCCAACTTACCATCCATCATAACTCCTGCAATAATCATAATAACAACATGTTACTCGCTTCTACCAAGATATTTTTAACTAAGGAGCAATTATAGATTAATATGTCGTACCAAGAGGCGCTGTAAAACGCCATGGCCAAAATTCCTGGGCTCATAATGGTGTCAGAGAAACCAAAGTCCTTGGTAGCAGACTCCCCAGTGGAAAACTTGTATGCACCACCAATGCAAATTATGCCAATTGCTACTAATTTCGCACATGTGAACACATTTTGAACGCCTGTAGCAGCTGCTACGCTATAGCAATTAATGAACAGGAGAAGACCTATGAAAATTTAGATGATTTAGATGGTGTAACAATGAACACGAATCAAGTGTGAATACCAATGTGTATGCCAATCTTGGAACTCACAAATTAAGGAAACACATACAAGTTTGACCGTGAGAACGGGAGCTTGACAATCGATGAAAGCTTCCACGAAATACTGGGCGAAAGTCAGACAAATAATGGCCAACTGCGATGGCTTCAGCACCAGAGATGATACCCATGAGAAAAGGAAAGCCGAAACAGGTCCAAACGCATCCAAATAGTAGGCTATTAAAAACAAAATCATGTATGATATTCAGATACATATGAGAAAGTATTTGACATTTTAACGGGATTTTAAGATGAGCTAACCATATTCGGCCCCTGCGCTGTTATTCATTGTTCCCAATTCCGCATATGATAAGGCTCCTAGTGCGATAGAAAAATAGTGTAAAAAAATCAGTCTCTTTGGGATAAATGTGCATATGTTGAACATAGTCTACCTAGCAAGGAGATTATGCCCCCACCAAGCCAAACCAAGAGGAACCTGGCATCGTAAATATTTATTAGTGTGTTGCCGAATTAAGTATCATAAAGCTAAGTTATATTAAAAACAATGTAGAAGCTCATGCAACTTACGTTCCAACAGAACCGGTACGTACAAGTACCTCAACAGGGGACACAAATATGCCCGAGCCTGGGACAATTTGAAATAATCATAAAAATCCCTATAAAAATGCTCAAACAAAATATATAGTAAGCGCTCACCTATCATTGTTCCAACGATTAGAGCTGAAAACAAAATAAAGGATTATAGTTAACTTATTTCCTTGATGATTTTTCTGATAATACAATCATTTGATATTAAAACAGATAAACATTACACGTCGGAATTTAAATATTTTTTCTTACCCACCCCACTGAGGAGCCCCACCTAAATTTGAGTCATTTTGTCATGAAAAATTTAATTCGCCGTCTACGTTTGAAAATATTTAAAATTTTGAAAACGTATACCCTTCTCTTGAGGAGAACAGCGTCAGGACATATTGAGACGTCCCCCTCATCATAGTATGTCCCATTCCCGTTCGGTTTTCCATTTGCTTTGTCATGCGACGTTTCCATCGGCGAGATGTTCCGTTTCCGGGAAACATTGTTGTTCCCTGTATTGAGGCAAGTTGAGACATTACATTTTGGAATAGTACTAAATAAATAATAAGACCATGCGGTTTGTCTACAAAATCTAAATATCCAGTAGAACTATTTCATTCACATTCATCTTTGCTAAATTATGATGCAACCAGACTTCTCAACTTAAAATACTCAAGGATTCGCAATCAAACGAAACTAATGACGACGCTCTATTGAAAATGTGGATCTTTTGCAAGCTGAAAGTGTTCCATGTAGTTGTTCATACATACCAGTTGGGGTGCACTCATTCTCCCTTTGTGTAGCGTCATCGGGGAAAATAAAAACGGTTTCGAGTAGATTTCTACACTTCATCAAAATGGTTGAAGAACTTTTTTTTTTTAATTTCACAAATTGCAATAATTTGTGCTTAACACAGTCAATTATGACAACATTGCGGAAGCTCAGTACACAAAAGATTGCAGTCCTTTTAACTTAATCACTTTCACGCCGTAATATGTAAACGCACGAATAAATACAATTTTTCGAAAATTAACTAAAACAAAGAAAGTAAGCCATAGTTGGGGCTAAAAATCGTAATAATATGAAATATGCATCAAATAAAAAATAAATAAGATGCAACAAATTATGATTCCAAAGTAGTTTTCAAGCGACGTTCAGCGTCTCATTTCCTGAAAGAGTTCTGAATCTCAACTGATCAGACACCCAACCAAAAGTATAATTTTGGTCTTGGTGGCGTACATAATATACTCAATTCGGAGGTTAGTTCGAAACGTATGGTTGTGCCAGAACGAGTTTCCTCCGCTTGATGTGTAAGTGGTCTCATCAAAATGGTTGAGTCGTATATTGGTTGGTATACATCCCAGGTCATACTGCGATCACATGAAATTTTAGTGTTGAATCACGGTCAGAGTCAACAACATAATGAAACACGCTGACGCCTAACGTGTTCACCTTTGGTCTACATCCATGATGCAGTTTGAATGAAACTGTGTGATAACTGGGAGACAAACTTGAGTTATAACGTTCCCGTATAAACTGTCAGACGTTGCCAAAACCGAAAACGCCTATTTGTAGAGCTTGTGCAGAACACAACTCACGATAATTTTAGCAAGTGAACCTGAACTAAACTTCATTTGAATATGTGAATCGGGGTTTACTTTTAGCCAAAATAAAGTGCCAATCATAAATTATCAATCAGTTGGTCATTAATGCATTTATTGTTTGTTTAAGGAATTGGATTCTGGCTGCCCTATATGCGTAAGCAGTAATATTCTATTTAGAAAAGCAGAAAAATCCGACCCGATGTCACCGATTAAATATAGGACGAACGCCAAGTAATGATTTTCCCGTACCTCGTATTTATTTCGTGCCGTAATAGTCGCTGTGAAGATTCTTTTGTTTCCAAAATATAGGGCAGGAGAACGAACGAATTTATTACGGTCACTAATTATCAGTGTAATGGTTGGAATTTTTAACACTAAATAACTGAATCCATGCATGCATACATGTGGTACAACGGAACCGACACTACAATTCCAATATGGGAAACCTTAAAAGACTTAAATAGTTGCTCATCAAGTTTAAATTAATCCGTATCAGAACTCTTGTAGTTTTTGCGTCTTTTGGGGTGTCAACCAAAGTTTACTTTGCGTCACCGTGTTCATAAAATTATATGTAGAACATTTTGCTGTGTAATGTAATCAATGTAATCTTAATAGATATATACATACACCACTATCAACCGTACATTACATTTTCGAGTGCATACATACGTCGTAGGTAGGTTAATCGCTTCTTTTGTGAACCCGGATTTTGTTAAATTTAGCTACAGCGCCAATGAAGATATCAACAAATTCAGGGAAACAAAATAACGTAGGTAGTTTAGGTTATCCTGACTCGAAATTTGTCAATGAACAACTTGTTGTTTCCCGAAATTATTGCAATATGAAGTCTAATCTTTAATCTTTATCCTTAGTTTAGATGATTCTATAAAATTGAGACATTTTGCCGAGTGAGATTACTAAAATCGACTGCACATCGCAATTGATTAAAAAATCTAAAGACTAAACGGTTTTGTTCCCAAATACCAATGCAATGATGGAATTAATGCTGTGTAGTTATACACACATACTCAAATTCCTTCTAACCTTTATGTTATTCAATTGTCAGCTAAAAATTCAACTTGGCACAAGAAGTTTTAAACAATGGGTCGTTTAATTCTGGTTGTTTTAATAAATGTTAACTAAAATAGAAATGCGGTGGTGTCAATTATAGTTTATATAACCTTTGATCCCACTCGCTGCAGAGTTAACAACCTGCAAATGCATGATTATTCCCTTTGTAGTTTTTACCTTACATGTACATAGCTGAAGTTAAGCGTCATTTACATTAAACATGGAAGCCATGGAATGAATGAATGAGCTAATAACTAGACGCGACCAGACAGTGTGCTCAATTTCACTAATTGTGCATTGCATAGGCCGAAATTTTATTAAGTCTGTACCAATGTTAGTGATGTATTACTAATACCAGGGATGAGAATGCCGGGTCTGCATGAAGGCTTCGAGTTTTTGCCATTCGTCGAACAACTGTAGTATCAAATTACAAATAATGAAATAAAATATGCATTTGAGAGTCTCCGGAGTCAGCAAAAAATTCACATTTAATGCGAGTCTTTATGCGACGTGGAATCGATTGAATGTTTGAATATCAACAGGTTCGTCTCCGAAAAGATAAATGAGGTCACAACAAGGACGCGATTGAGCCAATATTTATGTATTTATGGTCTGTTCATTGAAAGAAGACTCAATTTTATATGCGATTAATACGGAGAATTGGGTTTTCTTTCAATAAATCCACGTATTTGCGTGTTCATGCGGATTTAATTCGAATTCAACTTGTAGAACAATTTTGTTATATAATATTTTTAAGGGTCCAAACAGCCCTCTTCCATAAGTCAACTAGTTAAGCTTTTCTAATTAAGCCTACTTTTCAAATTGTACGATGAAGTGGAATTTTGCAATTTTGCTCCAGTTTCTCTGAATTTTTGCATAAGCCTCTCTCTACAAAGAGAGTGGAGCAGGATTTTGGGGAAAGTAGGGTAACTTGTAGTTTGTGATGGTGAAAATCAATAGTTGAATGGGCAGCATAGGGACGAGCCACGAGGCTATCGGAGAAAGAGGAGGAGGAAGCAGAGTGGAGAAATTCTCGCAACGTTGGCGTAAACCTGGGCTGGCAGGCAGAGCGTGGTTGCTACTCTTACGTCATGATAACTCAGTCACAAGACCTGTTCGCAGCCTTCACTCACGGCCCATCGTCTGCAGTTTTCGTGCCCTTCGTCTTCTTGCACCAGAGAAATATGATCCGTGATGGGGAACATTGCAATATCACATGTCACATTATCTGCTCGGATACTAATGAAATGACTCCATCGGTGAAGAATTGCTAACCAAAGGCATAAAGTGCTGCGGGCGGAGTACTGTATAACTTGGCTGATGATGTATTCACCATATTGCTGAGCAAGTTGTTGCGTCAACTAGAATTTTTGACACGACTTAATTGTCTTAATTGCTCCAGATTCAGCCAAGTTGGTCCGGGTATGAGACACTACGACAATATCACTCAACCGATGAAATGCAAATATATTGATCATGCAGAGTAGATGCATATAGTTCAGAGCAGTGTGACTGAAGGATGTACCCGGTATACACACAATTCAAGTATATATGTACTAATACTCGATAGATTCCGTTAAATGGGAATCTGGCCAAGTTGCACTGCACTATGTACATGCTTTTTGTTTCACGTTTTCACAAATCGGCGACTACGGCTAGTGTATGTATGTACGTATACTCATGCAAATAAGCACTTTTGAAATACCCTTAACTAATAACTAATGTATTGCTTGCTTAATTTTGAGAGAAAGTAAAACAAAGAGGGCATACCTTGTTTGAGGCCGGAGCACTCGTCATGTTGAACCATTGCTTTCCTTGTAGAGATGCGCGTCGCTTGTTGGTATTTGATTGTGAATAGACTGTCATGACCTGAATAAACTATACAGAACACATTGGTTCTTGCACTTGAGACAGGTCAAAAAATGTTTCGTGTTTTGCGTACTACAAACAAGTGTGGTAGTAGTTTTGATAAATTGAGCACTGTTTTGGAAGCTCAGATCGGGTAAAGGTACGTGATGATTTCAGGAAATTGTTTTACTAGCTGTACAGAAATATTTTGTGGTATTGATTGAGTGAATTTGGTAATAAATGTGTCAAATTGATAACGTGTATGTTCGAAAAGAAGTTTGCCGGTTTCAATGAATGAGTTAGTTTTCGCTCGTGTGACCTGTTGAGAAATGACAATAATTTCAGTTTAAAAATTGGCGACGATTGCAGCTTTGAGCTCGGATCGAAGGGAATGATTCATGGAGAATGAAGGACATGAATATGAATTGCAAGACCTTATTTGAAACTGAGGACGTGGTGATGAAACCGAGACCATATATTGCCTTCTGGAGACGTTGTCAATGATGAAACTCCACCGTGTCAGAGCAGAGAGAAGAATGTGCACGTGAATAAGGGTTACACCAACTCTTATATCAGCATTTGCACAGGAAATACCGTTCTAAAGAAGCATGGTCTGGCAACACGGATATGTACATAACATGGTGACCATGTAACAAATGCTGGCATAGAATGGTAGCTTGCCTCACTTGGGATAAAGGGAACATTTCACTTCTTCTTTACCCGGAGTGGGTTGGTTGGTGGATATGGCGTGCAAATTTTGGCAATTGGTTGCTGAAAACCGGGAGACGCAAGCGCTTTCTGTTCCGCATATTTCATGAATATAAGATCCCCCACATAATATGTATCCCAGTTCATATGCAACCAAAGCTACCAAAGGATGCATGTAATCAAAATCCCACGCGTTTCTAATCATGGTGAAAGATGATCCTATTCATTCCGGCTGGAGACTTTATGTTTCACAATGAAAGCTTCCCACTCTGCTGCATTATTCGATTATTCGCATGCTATGCATGACTCAAGAATAAAATGTTTAAACGAAAACAAACGAATTAATTTACTTTCTATTAATTTCCCACGCGTAGTCTTTTATACTCGCCTCCTCTGGACCTAACAAACTATTTATTACTTTCCTACTTTAGGCATGTGGGAGTACTGATGACTGAGATAATCTCAGTGAGATTGGAAAGTAAAGAGGTACAAAGTAATTTCTGATTGAGTCTAAAGTGAATCTTTTAATTACATAAAGTAAACACGTCCATGCGAGAGAGAATTGAATCATTAACATTTCAGCAGAACAATTTGTATAAAGCGTCAAATCATCATGATTCACTAAAGTAATTTATTACTTGCCTGATGTTTCACACATTTTACAGATTGAATTAAATTCAAGACAAGTTAAATTTTTTGAAAGCTTTCAGACTTCAGCGGTTTGCCAACTAACGTACTAATTTCACCGTACAATCAAAGAATTTATTTTAATTTATACATGAGAAAGAACACAGATTAATTCATTATAACCAAATCAAAAACACGTAATATTAAACACACTTGTATGTCAATTGTAGTATATCACAGCATTCAACGGTAGCGTTATATAAGTGTAGTTGCTTTATGAGGTAGTAATTATTGTCAAATTCATTAACAAATCATATTATTTAGATGACATGCCTAGGAGTTACACGCAGCAAATTATTACAGGAATTATTAACGATTGTACCAAACCTGCAAAAATCGGAACTTGACATGTATCTATAATTAAATTATGACTAATTTAATAATACCTTGAATTAGTTTGTAATTAACAGCTCAATGAGAAGGTCACACACATTTATGTATCATATCTTGCCATTGGAAGAATCGAGTACTTAAATGCATATAGGCCGCAAACTGTAAAATCTCTAATTAGATACCATTTATGTTATGGAGGAAGGATTATTTGGATTCTGCATATGCGATTGATTATCTGATACACTGATTGTCAAATTAGAATTTGATTCATTCTCAAACGAACCATTGGATAAGTGTTGTTCTTGTACACATCTTGAACGAAATACATCACTTTGGATGCTGCTTGAAGTCCTGCTTGAAGTGGAACTTTTTCTATGTTTTGTCGAAAGAATCGTATTTCCGTGAGATGATATCTCTGTCTTGTGATGGCGTGGGCTTCCTTGTTCCGAAGAAGATCCACTCGAAGGCAAAGTTGTAGGAGGAAGATGTGATGGTGAACAACACAGATTGAAAGAGGAAGAAAGCAATAACTGTTTTTGGCAGCAACTTTTGCAATTCCTACACAAGATTATTACACAGGTGGATAATTACATGCATTAACAATGTGGATATACTATATAATATATATATATATATACTATACAATGTGTATATCTAGTAACTTGATGCAGTAAAACAAAAAATTGAATCTCACCTGACCATCTTAATGAGATTATCTTTCTGTGTGGTAACAAGCGCAAGCTCTGCTCTTAGTAGCTCGACCTCGCGATCCCTTTCACCAAGGCGATGCCGGAGCATTACTGCACTATCTTCAATAATACCACACCAAGACTGTAATTAATAAGAATAAATAGCAATTTAAGCTAATACATCACAATGCAAACTGTGTTAATATGAGCAAACCTTTGTTTCTTCTGCAGTGTCAGAATAAACTGGAGCTTGATCAAGACAGAAAAATTTCCGAACAGTCGGCAAATTTACCAATACCGGCTGCACAATAATGGAATCAATTAATGCTTGAAGCCCTTTCATTCGGTCTTCCAAAAATGCAGTTTCAAAATTATCCCTTAGCCACCGCTTGGGCGGAATAGAAATTTCGATATCAGGCACATCATCTTTGATCTGCAAATTAGACGAATAACATAATCTTCAGTGATTCATAATGTTTCATGCAAGTTACCTTAGAATGAAGTCGCACAAAATCTGTATAGCGCCGAAATACTAACCAGCTCTCATCCAGGGTCTCGTGTTCTACGCGGAGTTTAAAGATCTGCATACACATTTTAATTTCAAAATAGATTTGCATTTAATTAATTAAACTTAAATCCTATATATTCTTCTTACAGTAAATTTAGCCCGTTCTTCCATCGTTTCAAATCCAACAATAGGAATTTTAATGGGCAGCGAAACTTGAGGACTATAGTCTGCTGTTCTTCGACCATTCTCCTTGGTGAGTTCTACGTCATTCGCGTGTTCTTCCAACGGATGGTGAACAGTTCTCTCGGATGTTAATGTTCCTGGGGTTTCTTCATTGTCACCGCCGCCCATGGTATTCGACATTTTTTCAACCATTTATTTATTACTAATTCTTGTTATTATGCTGTACAATAATTTCATGAGAATGGTCCAGTACGTCACGTCACACGTAGTCTCAGAATCTTAAAGATACGAACGATCTGGATTTAAATAAATATGGAAGCTATAAGAAACATTCCAATGCAAATAAAAATAGTATACAATTTATATCTCACCCAATATATTTTAATGTTGTTGTGACATGGGAGGATCCCAGTTCCAATTCATCCTTGTCTTTCAACCGAACCCATCTAAAATATCTCGCGAACTGGAAAACTACAAAAAAGTATTCTCTTCTTTCCACTTGACTGTCTGTCAGCAATATGTAATGACTCAGCCAGTCTCTCGTCGTGGCAGATGCAAAATAAGAAGTGAATTTAACAACTGAAATCATACAAACAAGATGCGAAAGAGAGTATGTTTTTGCAAATACTTTTGTAACCGGTGATGTGATGGTGTATATTGTGGGAGTTTTTGTCACCGCCTCAGCTGGTGAATGAAAGCAGTGGAGTTTTTTGACTTGCCCCATCGATGAAAAATACAATGGAGAAAGTGCAAGTTGAGCTTTTTCCATTGTTCACCATTCTCCATTGTATGCAATCATATTTTATACAACTCGCTGGTTATGTGCAACCACTTCAGGCATCTCTTTGCTGACAAAGATGCCATAATTTTCAAGCATGATCTTTTATTGCAATGCGTTTTCACCAGAAATCTCAATTTCCCCAGGCTAATCTGTATTGTCTCATGAAAAAGTAAGGACATTTTTTCTATTTTGGAAGACTAACAAGACACATAATGTTAAAGCAGTTAAACTGACTAACAAATTATGTACGCATTACTGTTTTAATGATTTATTTATTTACGACTGCTATATTTTGTAAGTATTGACTCAATTTTACATTATTGGTAATTTTAGGATGGGATTAGAAGACTGGGCTTGGGTAACGTTGCCATAATCTTGATTTCTGCCCTTATCCGAAAGTTTGAATTGGAATAATGTAGCTGAGAATTGTAGTTACAATCTGTGAAGTTAATACAATATTTGAATTTAGAGTTATATGCAAGCGTACATACTTGTTATTTATGCCCACATGTAAATATTTATTATTACACTGCAAACTAGAGATTTCTTAATATCAAATAGTCCCATCGCCGATATACGCCAATCCCACTTGCAAATTACTTGCACAAGGTCCTTCATCTGGTCTTTTTCTTTGTCGTCTTCCATTAAAATAACTGCATTGAACAAATTTACCTTCCATTCTGCAATCTACATCAATATCAAAACACAACGAATAGTGAACTTTAGAGCAATTGGGCATAACATGAAAATTTTACAAATGGATGAAAACTCACTCTGTTTACAACTTCTGAACCTAGCTGAAGTAATGTCAAAAGCTGACTTAGCTCAATGATTAACATCAAAACGTCGAATGCGTCTTTGATAAAGCCTTGTTTTCTGGATTCCATTACTGGCTCGGCGAAAAGTAAAGAATTTGCTGAGTGTACAATCATGAAGACAGATCTCACAATAATACCAAAAATTAGTGGACCAATTACTCGGTCATATTTTTTACTCAGAGTCTCCAGATTCTCAAATTTCCTCAATCCATCCTTTGTAACAGCCTGAATACTATCAGCATCATTGATTACCACAAAACTGGGAGTTGGTGAAATGCCATTTTTTTGCTCAATCGAAAAATTCTGACTGCTCCCAGTTTCAGAAAATAAATGACAACGACTAATAATTGCTTCATGCGTGCTACGTGCAAAATCTTCAAAAGTTCGTATTATGCAAAATGTAGTGACCAGGATGAGGTCATAAATAAAGATAATGGATAACATGATGGGAATTTCAGCAAAAATAAAAAATGAAATATAATACCAGGTCGTGTTTGGCAGTATGCTAGACTTTGCTGGTACATTTTGATAGTACCAACATAGGATTATTACAGGACATACAAGACGGGGTAAAAGTAACAGTAATCGAAACAGACAATAAAATTTTCTACACTTTTCAAAGTCATTGTGAACTTGGGCGAACTTTACTGTTTCCAATTCTACCAGTAGCTTTGGTATTTGTTTTCTGTAGATTATTAATACAACTCGGAAGAACACGTCAAAGAAATTAAATGATATTATAAGAGCAACAAAAAGAATTTTATCCACAAGTGAATGTTCCTCTAGTAATTCAGAGGTAATTTTATAGTAAAAGTCGTACCACAAGAATGCGTTGCAGCCATTTAAAATAATCGAGTAAATGAAGTGTGGATGACACATGCACGAGTATTTTGGCAGCCCCCATGGTCGCTTCACAAAAATATTCCCAATCCCCAACCGAGAATTGATGAAAATTCGAAAGATTTTAAGACCATTTTCAATGCTAGGCACCGAGTTTAATTATTTTGCCAACAACTTTTCGGTACAAAACGAAGTCTGTCTGCTTGCTTCGAGTTTTGTATTTATAACATTATCAGGAGAATATTAACCTGATGATACGGGTGAAAGTTGTAGTGAACGAGTATTACATACATATTTCCAGGAACTTGGCGTGATCAAACTTCATTAGCATCACTACTGTAATTAAATTGTATTCTAATGTCGTGTATGGTGTTGATGGATAACGTAACAAGTGACAAAAGCTTAAATTTCTCTTGCTTTCTACCATCTCAATGACGTATGTACGTTGTTATGGCTGGCATTAACCGTTGAAAAATTGTAAGTAATTGAAATTAGGGGTGCTACAGGTTTTATTTGCTCGAAATCCAACCGACTCCACCCTTTCACTCATACCTCATTTTTCACCGTTCATGAATCCTAAAAAAATGACAAGTCAATGCGGAAATTCTTTACTTTTATCAGTTACCCCAAAAACACTCGGTGTACATTGCTTGAGATCAATTCAGGATTATAAGACCGGGTCTACATTATCATCCCAAACTTTTAGTGGTAAAGATAACCTGATCACTAGGATGAGTTCGTCATTTACATAAACACACACATCATTCATTTAATGGAAACAACAAATATTCAATATTAAATTACTATGTCATGATGCATATGTAGCTGCAGCTAGGACCGAAGGACGACTTACCGATGTTTTATTTACTTTCACTGCATTGCAATCCACAGTTCGTGCTCATAAGATTATAATTTAAATGGGAAGCCCAGTATTTGAGACTATGTTTTATGGACAATGTCTCCTGTGGAAGGAGAACAGCAATGATAGCTCCTCAATCGTGATGATTTCCGATATACATCCTTCAGTGTTCGAAGTGCTCATAGAGGTATTAATCAGAATTATATTTAGTATGTTGTCGTTAGCTAATTAATACGTGCTTGTCAGTATCTTTATACCGGAAAGTTGGGAATGCGCATATCCGTCAGCGACTCCATTGAATTGATGTACGCTGCTTCTAAATATTGCGTGGATGATCTCGTGCTCCATCTAATTTCCTTAATCTCCGAACTCATTACACTTGACAATGTTCTGACAGTCCTGGAAGCAGCGATCCTTTTCAACTATGCAGAGCTGAAGGCAAAGTGCTGGACATGCATTGAGTGTGATACAGATCACGTTTTTCATACGGAAAAATTTGTCCAATTAGAAAGAAATGTCCTCCGGGAAATTATTCAGCATGAGCCGCTTAACGTGTCAGAGATTGATGTGTACCATGCTGTAGTCCGGTATACGCAAAATGACTATTTGTATACATATATTTACGCCTATGCATATCTGTAATTGATGAATTAAAAAAACTAATATTTTAGATGGGCAATTGCACACTGCGAAACTTGTAACGGCGATGATGACGTAGAGCCAAACCCTGAAGATTTGAGGAAAGTAATTGGTGAAGAAATTCTCTATCTTATTAGATTTCCCACAATGCATCCTGTGATATTTTCCGACGGCCCAGCATCATCCGGAATACTATCGACGACCGAAATCAATAATATTTTTCTAAAAAAGTTCTCCACGAAAGCTCCGATTGCTAGTCTTTTCATCGCTACTCCTAGAATTCGTATAGAAACACCGCTAAATTGTCCTTGTGCACAACAAGCCAACTTCTGCTCATTCTGCTCAGACCACTCATCAGAACGGAAGTCAAAAGAAATCAACATGTTTTTAAGCCCTAATTGTTATTGTCGATGTCGAATGAGAAAATACTGTCCCCGAAGAACAATTTCACGATACCTGCAACTCCAACAGAATATCTTATAAAGTGTCGTAGTGTAAATGCATTTACAAACTTATCAATACGAAGATCCATCAGTTTTTTATTGTATCTTTAACTATTCCATATTTGCGTTATAAAAATATGCAAAAACAGATACCATTTTAAAAGGTATCTGAAAAGATTGCCGGAGTTCATCCTCAGTATCGATGCGAGGTCATCGTGATACATCATGCATCAGGTTCCACTGTTTCATAAAACCACCCACAAAAAGTAATATTAAAAACATGCAGAGAAATATTCCTGCATACGTCTGCAGCACTTTTACTATATGCTTACTTGTCAATTCTCTCTTGCTTATACAAGTGACGATTTAAGTGAAAAAGGGGACGGGTACTGGTCTGAGATCGTGTAAACAGGTTGTTGACCATTTTCCAACGTGCTATTCATGTACAGTTCCGTTAGTGAACTTCTTCCCCGTTGGAAATATTTTAGAGAGATGCTCCCATCCAGCATATCGTCTTCATTGTCCATCGGAAACTCGAGATTTTGATCACTAAAGGAATCCTCTTCACTCTTTAGAGCACTTTTTCTTGCTTCCACCACCGTTAAAATTATAATTAATAGCACTGATACAAAAACCAACAATGTTAATATGAGGATACACATCACAGCAATATGCATGGCCTGCATTATAACAACTCACTCCTGTCCGTTTGAATGCACGAAGGTAATTGATTAGCCATACTTCAATCAATTTCATCAATCATTAATAATCTCCCTCGGATGGGATTCTCCCGTTGCTTGTTTTAAATAAGTTATTAGGAAAATATGGGCGATGAAATTATTTTCATGAAATTACTTTTATTTGTAAATTTATGAACCTCGAGTGTTACATATTTTTATTTCTTCATAATATTCATATTGTTCCTAATTGAAATTGCAGTGTCATTTATTTAAGTACATATATAACTTATGAAATTATTTTCGATCACAATTGAGCTACATTGATTCAAATGTGGACTTGTTAACATGCAATTCCAGGGACAAATCTTGATAAGATATGACTGGACATGCATAGTTCAGTAGCCAACTCTTCAACACACGTGCTCAACCGGATACATTTATGGGCTGAATAATTGTACATATATTCCATTAGGAGATACGCATCATTGAAGTCGATCTATTTACTTGATTGATATTATCTTGGCTTTCAATTATGATTCGGAAAACTGGCAGTGCATAACTAAATATGTATGGACAAGCAGGTAGCAGTTTGTAATAATTAATGCAATTTCAGATAAGATATTATGCGTGTAACAAATCCAGTTAGACACTACCAGTACATGTAAACACTAATATTTCTCATGATACTTACTAGTTGGTAAATTCTGTTAAAGCCCATTACAAGTGAGAAATTGCGATTTGTCACATTGAAAATGTTACTCCATGTAAAGTTGAAACAAAATTACGACATATGCCATTATCGTAGAAAACACCTGTAATAAACGAGAGGCGACTTACAATTTTTAAGATTGTACGTGTAATGAGTGAATACTTATGTATGAATGACGTACAGCCGACATCAGCCCTCGGTTAACTCGAAAAAATCCCCACTGAAAAGATAACGAATGAATTATTTTGTACATGCATTTTTCTTCGTGTCAATATTATTTAAATTGGAAATGCTTACAGCAGTCATTTCCCATTTCCAAATAGAAAGTGACTCAACGATGTCGGAAAGCTGAAGTTTCGAAATCGAAACTGGCATCAGTGAAACCATTTTATTTAATTTTGCCTTTCGTTCAGCAATCCTATCGTACAAGTCTTGCCCAAGTTGGAGGAGGAATAATTGAACTGTTTGATACGCCAAATTAAACCAATTTGACACAAGTCCTGCCCAACTTGCTGATGAGCTTCCTTCAATTAGAATTGAATTTGCAGCATGCACCAGGCTGGTGACACTCATGACAATGAGACAGAAAAGGAGTGGACTAAAGATTCGGTTACGAGAAAATTGGATTAAATTCACATGACGATAAGAATGTACATACACATACACACTTGCCCTTGGAGATAGTAAAAAAGCCACGATTAACTGACATCGTTTCTATGGGGTGGTGCCCCATACGGTTGCGACAAATGGATTATTTTTTAGAAAATTTTCATTTTTTAAATTGTTGGGGCAAAAGTCCTTTGGTTTGCCCCAACGACTTTAACCTTGAATAACTTTTGAATAGGCAGACAAAGAGACTTAATTCCTGAGGATGAAATCATCCTAATTTTAGCTTGATTTTTTAAGCTAAAAATCTCGAGTGTACTATTTCGAAAATTAAAATGTTTATTTTGAAGAATATCTCCAAAATATACGTTTTTCAGGAATTTCGAAACCAAATCTTATCTCACAAAATTTTATAATATACCAAACTGATCGTATTATCTAGACCGATCGATTGACACCCCACTGGAGGGTGTGAGATCACTTGGTCCGGATTTGACCTAGGGGGTCATCTCAATCCTCCAACTTAGCAACGGTCCACTCACACCATTTTGTCAGTACATAATAATTAAAATTTAATTTCTTCAAAAATGAAAATTTGTGTTGGAAACAATTCATTTATCGCAACATGTATAGAATGATAAAGTGTCAAATAATATTGTAAAAAAGCCATACCTCACGATTTCATCAAACAGGCGAAACAAACCTCGAATGTCTTCAAACTTTTGAATAAGATCAAAATGCGACGAATCCATTTTCATTTCTTGTAGCATTTGTCTCAAAACTCGGGTTTGAAGTACGGCTTGAAATGGGTCTTTCTTTGCATGTTTGATGGCCTCCTCTATTTGAATCCCGTAGTCTTCAAAAATCCAGACCAGATACACTGCAGTGACGACAATAAACGAGAACGCCACGTAAAAGGATGAAACTATGGGAAGAACACCAAATAAGCCCATGAAACCTAAATAACCAATATTTCCCAGCGATGATATCCACGAATCCTCAGGAACAATTTGAGACAACTAGTAAATTATTTATTATTATAATCACATGCATCTAATTAATTATATTCAATATTAGTTATTTTTGTACAAATTATTAATTCAACCTGAATAGCCAAAAAGATTCCAGTTCCCAGCCGGAGGCAGAGTGAGACCCATGTTAGTAGTGAAAATAACCTTCTGGTTTTTTGGAGTGTCGTTGGAACTGTGGAGACTGGATAGTCTTCTAATTTGCTTAGAAATTCACAAACGTTTCGGGCTTGAAAGCAGAAAAATATGCGGATGAAGGCATTAAATATGACGCCTAGAAAGATAATAGCACAGGAATTATTTGACGCACGCACATTCCTTTCTCAACATGTACACATTAGTATTATACCCAATTACCAAAGATTGTAAAGCCCTGAAGTAGGATTTTACGAAGAAATTTCTCATTTTCAAGTTGCCTAGAGTGGAGGAAAAAGTCGATCCACAAGACCTGAGTGAAAATGTTGATGGCTAAAATTACAAAAGTCGTAAAATTGCAGAATGATTTGAAAATAGGCAACCCCCACGGAAGTTTTATGAAAAGGACGCCTGTCAACCATCCAAACCAGGAAGGTACTTCGAAGCCCTGTAAAACCATTTTTACGCAACTTCCCACCCAACAGGCCACGAAGATATGAAAGAAGATATTATAAGAAAGAGACATAATATGCCCACAAAACATTATGGTTGTTATTTGTTTCCCCACTTTTTATGAAGATTGATTGCAATAATGGGTTCAGCTAATGGACATTAATTTTTGATATGGATAATGGAAAACTGTGCGCCCAGTCCTCACTCATACATATCTGAAACGATGGAGCATGTAATTTACATATTCACATGTTTTTGATGTTTAATTTTACTTGAATTTGTATTTTATCTAATGTGCTTAATCAAGATGTGTACTATTATTTAATCTTGCTTAATAAATGAGGGTGATGCAATATCACAGTTTTCAAAATTAACAGGCGTAATAAGTCGATAAATATTGCACGCATTATAATTGTGCAAAATCCAGGATAATCCTTGTAGGATTTATTAGCCCATTGTGTAACCTTAAACTTGATTGTTTTGCACCGTTAATCTGAATGCGTTGTTTGATCAACAATATCAGATAAAATATAGGGATGACTCGTTTTATGAATAAATTATTAATTGGTACTAGCAGTTTGTGGCGAACCTTCCTGTTTCGATTTTCTGGGCAAAAACTAAAATGAAATACTTTTATAATTTATTCGCAGTCACAGCCTCCTGTTTGTTGGGATCTGTGACTTGTCAGTTTACGCCAGAAGACTTAGTGGTTGATGTTCCAGATTTGGGTAGAATTCGTGGATCAAATAGATCTTCGGCTCAAGAGGAACCAAACCCTGCAAGACCGTATATTCATTTTTTGAATATTCGTTTTGCTAATGTCGTTGGACGCTTCCAAGTTTGTTAACTTTACTGTAAATTTTATTATACAGACAAAGTCTTATTTCCAAAACTTATCATTATACTTAGCCATCTGTATTAAATCGTGGACCCTTGGTTCCCGAGGGAGAAGAATACGACGCTACCATCAATACCTTAATTCGATGCTACCAGCCATGGCATCAATTTCAAGACGAACAATGCCTATCCATAAATGTATATACTCACAAGGTACATTTATAATTATGCATAAAGCGTAAATGCATACGTAAGTATACGTATGAATTTAATTACTAGTAGTAAACTCATCGTTCATGATATGATCACAGAAATATGACGGCAACGACACTGCACTGCGTCCTGGTATTTTAAACATTGATATACTACTTGGTTTAATAATTGGTTGTACTAACAATTAACACAGTTATTCATTGCTTATAGTTATTTTTTTCGTTCACGGAGGAGCATTTACGGGTAAACCTTGCTACCGATAATATGATTCATTTTGGTATTTGACCAGCCCATCATTAGGTTGGACTATACGTTGAGTCCTATTTGTACCAAAACAATTGTGCACTTTTTCATAATTATTTTAGTTGGAGCTGGATCCTTGTATTCTGGCCTTCGACTAATGAATCGAGATGTGGTCTACGTGAGCTTCAATTACAGGCTTGGGCTGCCAGGTACATCATCTTTGCTTTCACATTTTTGTCGTAAACACTCCCATAACATGGTGCATATGTATTAAAACTTGCAACAGGATGGCTGTCCTTGCAAAATGACAGAATTCCTGGAAATGCAGGATTGTATGACGTTTTAAATGCACTGCAGTGGACACGGGATTACATAAAATATTTTGGAGGAAATCCCGATTTAATTACCGTGGCTGGCCAGGTACATATCTACATATGCCGCACATGCATATATTTACATATACTGTTTAATTTTACACGAAAAAATCAATTTGTTAATACATCTTATGTAAAGAGTGCTGGGAGCGCAATTGTGACTCACTTGTTCGCAAGCCCTTTGGCCAAAGGATTATTTCACCGAGCAATTGCTGCCAGCGGAAGTGCACTAAATAATTGGGGAACGGTACAAAATAACTTGCAGGACTCGCTGAAAATGACAGAATTATTGGGTTGCTATAATTCAACTGTAAATCCAATTCCAAATATGGATGAGATTACAACTTGCATGGAAAACGTGCCGTACCAGGACTTAGTTGATGGTCTTCTGAAATATCAGGTCAGTCTTAAATAAATTTTGCCTACGCACAAAGTTGTTACAATTTTTATTAATTTTTCTAAAAAAATCCTAAGATGCAAGAGAGAAGCGAAGGTGGGTTGGGTACTCAAGTAGCAGCTCCCGTTGTTCAGGATTATCCTCTTACTCATCAAAAAATAATTCCAAGACATCCACAAGCTGTGTTCGACAGTGGCGAACAGGCAAATGTGCCATTGCTAATGGGATCAACAAAGCATGACGGATCTTTCGTTTTGGGAATATTGTACCATCGATTTCTTGCTGCCAATGGCTTGGTAAATGACACACTGTTTCTGCGGAATGAACTAGTTCCACTGATTTTGAATTCATTTGGTAAGATTCATTGATTTCATAGCGGTGGTGCTCATGATATTTAACTAAAATTTATTTATAGGACTGGAAGATAAACCATTTGGGATTTATGAAACAGTGGCAAAAACTTATCTAGGAGATGATGCGAGGCTCAGTGGAGATTTTGATCAAATGGTTCCTGGGTTAATGGATGTAAGACGACAACTATAATTACATATATGTTTGAAGTATTGACTCAATTTCCACATTCATATCTGTAAAACCTGTATTTCTGTGATGTCTAGATATTTAGCGTATTTTTCTTCAAAGCAGAATCTTACAACACAGCCTTGAAACACTCTGATCTTAACAACAACACTTTTTGGTATGGCTTTGATTTCAGAGGGTCTGCAAGTTTGTTTTCAGGCTTGTTTCCTATCGATGGTGCTCCACCATTCAATGGAGGTACAGAAATAAAACGACAAGATTGTGTATGTAACTCACCTGCGACGTGAGCAAGTAGGAATAAACCGTCGCAAACGCGCATACGGAAGTAGCTTCAGACTACTTCACTCCAAGCACTCCCACGACATCGCGGGAACACTTGATTTTACTGTATTTCATCTATACATTCAATTTTTTCAAAAATCTCATTTTGCCCCGACCACACCCCCTAGTGACGAGGGGGTGTGGCACAACTCGGGAGCACTTTATTCTACTGTATTTCATCTATGCATTCAATTTTTTCAAAAATGTCATTTTGCCCCGACCACACCCCCTGGCGCCCGGGGGGTGTGGCACAACGGGGGAACTCAAAATTTCACTCCATTTCATCCATAGATTCAATTGCACTAAAAATCTCATTTTGCCCCGACCACACCCCCTGGCGACCGGGGGTGTGGTCCGGTTGCACCCAAAAGTTGATAGGATCCTCCCCCTGGGGTATTATGTATGATGGCGAAAACCGATTTCGATTATCTTTATCCGTTCTCCCGTTATCCTGCTGACAGACAGACGGACAGACAGACAGACAGACAGACAGACAGACAGACAGACAGACAAAGTCTTCACATAAAGTAGCTGAAGCTACTTAATAATGTGAATTTGTCACTTCCTTTTGTCAGGGATCGCTCACGGTGACGACTTGGTGTATTTGTATTCAATGACTATGCTACCCTTCAAACCTAACGAAGCAAAAGTCTCGAAAATGATGCTTGATTGCTGGGCAAACTTTGCTGCAACTGGGTACGCACACTAATCTGAACTAAATGATGACTAATTGAAACTGCATGGGTACATATCATTATAGCCATCCTGCTAACCCGGCATCAGTTTTAAATGATTGGCCCAGCTTGACAAAAGCTGATCAAGAATATTTGCAAATTCTGGAATCCCCTGTTCGCGACACCCATTATACCGCTTCTTGGATTGGTGCTGGACTTGACGCTGAATTGACGACCATTCCTCCCTCTCCCACCAGGGTCCGCGTAACAACAACGGTTCGACCAACATCTGCACAATCAACTACGACTTCTTCTCAAACCCAAACAACTTCAACTGAAAAACATAATTCTGCTGGATTTTTGGAAAATCCTGCTACATTATTGTTCACTGCTTTCTTTATTACAATTTGTGCTGCTCGTTGCAATCTTATTTATTAATATGACTGTGCATAATCTTTTTTTTCAAATAAACAAAATATTTCCTTGTCTCTTACAGATTATTGTAGTAGTAAAATAATTTCTGAGCACATTGGTTTTGAGGACTTGGCCAATCGCATGTCTTCTCGTTGAGGTTAAATTCTGTTCCGTGTGGACAAGCAAACTCTTGTGGAACTTCGTTTACGCACCAATAATACTGCAAATATTAAAAAACGTACACAAGAAATAATTGTACTTATGCATGTACTTTTTAGACGCATTATAAATACATACGTTAGACATACCTTTCTGCAATCGATGACATGTCGATAATACTGGGTTTTGGTACAGTCAACAGACCCCTCAATCTGGGGGGATACTGTTGGGAGGATATTATTATCACTCCCCTCATCGGGAGTTTGCATGCTAACCTGAGTAGTGCTAGCAGTACTAATAGAATCAATCAAAGTCTCTTGTGGCGTTGAAGAAGGGTTTGTGATTGAAACTAAAGTGTCAGTTTCTGTGCTAATTGGTGGATTGGTTACATGAGGGCTGGTACTAGTACTTGAAATTTCTGACAATGTGGATGATGATGTCATCCATGGCGGCTGTGTGGGTGGAGACATTGTCGGTTGAATTGTGGGAACAGGTCCAAGTTTCAAACATTCTCTTGGAGGGCTTGGGGGGCTTGCCATTTTCCACTGAGCAACAGGAACTGGAGACGGTGGAGTTGGGACAATGTAATCTTTCATGCCTGAAATTTAGGTTTTTTGAAATTATATTTTGCACTTTGATGTATACCTGCATACGTACATATGTATGTAGTTTTTATATGCAACTGTATTTCCTTCTACCTGCAAATAGAACATCAATTAACACATCCTTCTGTCCACACACGCCTTGAAAGTCGTCCATATCAATTGCCCATGTCATACTGCCCGCAAAGCCCTTGTCTTTGACAAAATTCATTTTTATTCCCAAAGAATCTGCATCTTCGTACCCTATCCAGTTGGTGTCCGTGTAAATATATGGGACTTTTCCATGTGTATCATATGCCTTGGTCCAATTGCCGCTTTTGATTCTTAGGCAAATCTATAATGGTCCAGATTAAAATTTTATGAAAGCGCTCAATGCATAGCCGATTAAATATTCCAGTAACAGAAACCCACTTCATAATAAGCCATAAACCCTTTCGCATTCGTAAACTCTCCTGGATCACCTAAATTTACATATTTCAGAGTCAATAATTGCCAGCAAAGTGCACAAACATCTTTTGAAAGTACCTCCGTTTTTCTGCTTGTTGATGTAATCGCCTAATTTATTCATTTTAGGGTCTGAAAGTGCAAAACTCCTCCCATAGAATGCAGTGCCAACGACGAGCTTATCAGCGCTGCAACCTTCACGAACCCACAACTCCGTGCCGTCATTTACATTTAATTTTTCATACGCGTATTGATCGTGAGGTCTCCGGAATAGAGGAGTGTGGGTGTCTGCAAATCCTTAATATTTGAAAGCCAAATGGAGATGAGCCATCAATCTTATTTTCATTATGATTTTTGAAGTAATGTCCGACTTACCAACCCAGTTTCCTCGCAAGTCATACGCCATTAAGTGGATTGCATTGGCCAACCTATAAGTATGAAATTAATGTCATAGTGTCAGAGAAAAGAAAAGTTATCGCAACTACAATTTAGCTACTACAACTTTGTCGCAAATATTGTCACAAAAACCTGCACAGCTCTGGGACGAAATATCCTTCTGCTAGACGAAAACCAGCCACTGGGACAGCAATCTAGAAATGCAAATTGGTGACACACTACCACTTTAGTGTCTCTAATACATACATACATATTGACTCAACTACCGTTATTTCCCATTCAGGATTGTGAGTATTGAAAACATATCTCATTTCACGGACGAGTTCTAAAAAGTTCTTCTTGTCTCCAAATGTTCCCCCACGGTCAGCGGCTGAAGGATATTCCCAATCAGCGTCAATTCCGGCAAAACCGTACTCTTTTATGAGTTCTAAAATTTCATATAATCATTTACCCATTGACTTATACAAAATAATAAAAAATCTTATAAATATGCACAAATACCTACAACACTATTGATGAAACTACATCGTCGCTGAGGTGAAGATGCCATTTGACTATACTTTCGGCCTCCTTCTCCCCCTGTTAAAAGCCGTTTTAATGGCATCTGTAAATATGTTTTTAAGTATTTATAAAAGCTTACATCCTCCAACAGCTACAACCAATTTTAGGTTTGGGTTCTTCTCTCTTAATGCTACGAATTTTTTGAAATTCTCATTTTTTACATCAAGCTGTAAAAGTTTTTAAATTGGTTTAGACAAAAACATCAGCTTAAATGGATAAGACTTGTACCTCTGGATCAAGGATAGAAACCTCCCAAGTAACGTTCGAGAGTCCGACAAACGAATAAATCACATGAGTACATTTCATGTAAGGAATGTCCTCAACATTGTAAGCTCCTATTCCAGGTCGGTATGCTGTTACAAAATTATTATTAAAAATATCATCATATAAAATATACTGAACTTCATACAATTTCTTAATAGTATATATTGTTACATACCAGCCCAATTTGAGTAGTAGCATGAAACTCTTGCAGGTTTTCCTGCACCTCCTGGCGTATTAAAGTCGGCCAAAATTTGTTCTGTACCAGACACTATGGTGAATACTACAGCAATTTGATAAACTAGAATCAAAATCATGGCGAGAAGCTATGAAACTATGAGTGCTATGAAAATGCTTCTGAAAACTATAAACTAGCCACTGATCAGCTCCACTTTTTACTCGACTTCTTCAATCAAAAATGAAGATTGAGACTGAGCGACTTGATCATGATGCAAACAAAAAGGTTCATTGTTCAATTCTAAATCTACCTTTCAAGGCCAGAATCAAACATGTTCCCTTTTACCATATGCAGCGCAGTTTATGAGGAAATAACGACTAACAGTGAGACAAACCAACATTTAAATAAATACATGTGTGCATAAGACCGAAATGTTCGTTTCAGAATGTATGAGCAAGGAAGTAAAAAGACGGCGAGGATGATGATTGACTTGAATAATAAGAATAGTCTCCAAGTATTTTATTCTTCTCCCAGTCCAAGATCGGTTATTGACTCCTGAATAATCTGGCTCGATAGTATCGATGCATTGTCACAACAAGGTAACTATTGGGCGAGGCATGACATGCAATGATTAAAATCTCTTGTAAACAACCTTTTGTTTTATTCCATACTTTTATTAATAATTTTACAATCATCTGAACTACAGCTTCATCTTGCATAATGTATTACATACATAACACACCTGCAATACATACATACACAGATACGTACTCGATTACTATGGACTGTATTACTGACTACACTTAAGAGATATCGGTACATTGTGGTAATCATATTCTAACCAGGAAATGAGATTTTTCCCATTGATACACTTGGAATTCCTAACCGATCTCCAAAATTCGTTCGACCCCCGGCAACCAGTTCATTGGCTAACGTCGCAAATAAAATAGCTTCTTTAGCGTCTCCAGGTATTCCCAGTTCTTCAGTCAGTTTTATTTGAGTCTGACTTAACAAGTTTTGAATATGATCATACAAAACCGGATTGTGTACTCCCCCACCACTCGCAAAAATTTTGAATGAGTGATCTTCAACACAAACTTTATTAATCCCGTCTGCTATGACTTCTGCGGTGAATCGAGTCAAAGTTGCGACAATATTATTGTTACTAATGTTCGTAGTGGCGCTGCTAATCTGAGCATTTTGGATATAACTCAGGTTGAACAATTCTGGACCAGTTGTTTTTGGGAAAGGTGCACTAAAAAACGGATGACTTTTGAGTGCAGTCAGTAATAACATGTTCACTTGGCCTTGTTTGGCAATTTTTCCATCGTAGTCGCAATCTTGGTTGAAATGTTCTCTTGTAAATGTATCAATCATTGTGTTACCAGGTCCCAAATCTGTCGCAAATGCTTTCGTAGGATCCAAATCTCCGTAAAGGCAGGAAATGTTGCTAATTCCACCAATGTTTAACATTATCCGATTTTCCCCTTGTTTTGAAAATATGAAATAATCACCATATAACGCCAACGGTGCTCCTTCTCCACCAGCAGCGACATGCTTTTGGCGAAAATCTGATACAGTAAGAATTCCAGTTTTCACTGAAATATGATCCCCATCACCAACTTGCAGAGTAGAATTTGGTTCACCGCACATTCCATGGAATGATTTTGGAGCGTGATAAACTGTTTGTCCGTGACTTGCTATAAGGTCGACGTCGGTAGTTGGGATATTCCATTGTTGTAAACAATTAAGAACTATTCCTGCATGGAGATCACCGATCCAAGCATTTAAAATGCACAAATTTACAATTTTTTTCGCAAAAACATTTTTGATTTTTAGTTTTATTTCGGACGAGTATGGAACCGTTTCAAATTGTTTTAGTTGGACTTGAGTTGCAAGCCCAGAGTTTTTGAAGGTGCACAGTGCAACATCCAACCCATCCAAGGATGTACCTGACATTAAACCAATAATTTGTCGTTCTGATTTCTTTGAGATTTGAAACAGGATTTCAGAATTTGTCAGATTCATATTGGAGTTACGTACTATGTATTTACTGATGTACTAGGTGTAAGAATAGTAATATGCTTATATTGATATTAATAATTATGCACTGGACAAAGTTAACTTCAACCAATTTCTGTGCCGTTGATGGTACTCAGGATAAAACTGGTTCGACATGCTGGCGAGTGGAGTGATATTTGCAGTTGAACCAGAATCACGATGTATGTCATCGCTGTTGCCACCATCTAATAAAAATAAATGTCAAAACTTATTGCACGCTTATCCTTCATTAATCATATCTATCTACTATTTACCAGAGTAATATATGTGTACTCGTAACTTATAAAGCGTATTTGATTATGCAAACACATATAAATAATATGAATGACATGACATTTTGGTTTGACCCAATTAAAAAATCTCACGCACCCCAGATAGAAGTTTTTTATCCACATAAAAGAATCCGTATCCTGAAAGTTTCCAGTCGAAATCAATCACGTAATTAACAAGTTTCACGGTGAACTTGTGATTCGAGTCAGTTTCCTCCATAAGAGCGATAATTTTCGAAAGCTGCTGTTTGCGCTCATTCATCTAAAATTGCAATTAAGCGATGAAAAACCAGCACTAGATTCACGTATGTAGGTTATGACCATCTATCATCACTTTTTCCCGTCATACCTTGTCTACGACATATTGTCCCACAAAGACAAGTCCAGCATGAATGAGCTGCTGGATAACATTCAGGTAGTTATCCAAAGCAAAAAAACCTCCCAACTTGTTGATTAGTAGTTCATGGGCTGAATTTCATTTAGTAATACGGATGATCATGTAAAGATGTGTTTAATTATGGTTAAATTACATTTATGATTGCTATTTTACCTCCAGAAACACCTCGAAAAGTTTCAACAACAATCACGACCAGAGCTAGTGGAGCTATGATCTTGTTACCCTCCTCAAACAGTGTTCGTATGCCTTCAAACTTGTTTAACAAAATTTCCTTTGACAAAGGCGAATGTAGAAAATTTAGTTTCTTCGAATTTGCATCTCTCACTATCACAAATTCTTTTGAAAATAATGTATTTTTGTTTTTAAAATTTAAAAATTCTTCCAACTCATTGCAAAAGTCGCAATAAATCATACCAAGGTAAAAAGAGATGTAGATAACTAACGCAAAAGCCACATTCGTCGACGCCATGGAGGCCATATGCCCAAAGAATGCACTAAGAATTCCAGATAGCACTTTCCCAAAAATAAAAAACCACGGAGGGGAATCTGCTGCTCGTGATTTACTTCGCACAGCCAAGACAAAAAGTCCAGAAGATGAAATTACCAGAATTCCAGAAATACAGACAAAGAAAACTGCCACTCTCCATGCTACCCTCCATCTGAAATACTCATTTTTGATGGGATAAACATAAAATGCACCAAGAAGTTTAGCCAACTTTTTTGCACGAATAAGAAATATTACTCTGACTGTCCAAAACGCTCCAAATGTCACAATAAACATCAAGGCGTGTAGCTGCTTTGCTAGCAAATTTACAGCCAACCCGTCAACCAACTTTGTCTGTCGACTAAAATCTATTAAAAGTACATGCTGCACACATAGTACAATGAGTGACCACACCGATATCCAAGACTTCCAAGAGTTGAAAGATGGGGGATCTCTCCATGGGGGACTTAACTGAAGGAAACCTAAAATCCACCCTAACCAGATGCAGGAAAAGAATCCAAAGGACTTCATGATGCAACTAACTTTAGTCTTAAGTTCGAAACTGGTTTTATGCATTGTGTCACACAAATGAAGTGGGCAGATTATTAATTGTGTCGTTAATGAAGCAAACAATTTTCAAATTAATCATGTTCTTGATATGAATAGCTTCTTATTTCTGAATGTTCCTGTGCATATGTACTTTCATACATATTTATCATAATAATGAATAGTCTTCCTCCAAATTATGACAGTTTGATAATAAATCTTCAAAGACAGAACTAATGGAACAAAAATTGAGTCTAATGGAACATTAGTCATTTTAGTGGTTACCCGGAATGCAAATGTACATATGTATGTGAGAGTTATGTATTTACATATATTGGTGTACTCTATTGCAAGATTATTGTGCGAGAGATATTTGACTTATTTCTGTAACATTGCATGCATGCATATGTAGAAACTGATTTGACCAGTATGCAGTACTGTATTATTTTATTATTGTTTTCTCTTATCACAAAATTATTTAGAACGGGGTTAACCATTCATTTAAGCCAGCATTAGGTTTTCTTATTCAAGCAAATTTCACTTGGGACTGGAAAAATAAATTAAATGTCAAATTATTTTTGAAAATGAATTGAAGCTACAGCTATATAAATATGAATAAAAGAAGGAAGTAATAATAATTATGTATGTCGAAATCGATGACTGATGTTTTTGGTGATCACATCAAAATGTTGTTGCATTGCATTATTAGTCATACCGGTCGGTAAAACGTTATCATCGTATTTTGGGTTATCTTGCAGATAAGATAAATGCCGGATACTGACTCGCATATAAACCGTGTAATGACTTCATCGTACCACACCTTATGAATCAATAACGAAGCATTGTACAAACAATATTAGATTGCTGGTAACCTTATTTCGCTGTGTCCAAAACGCTTATGGTGCACGGCTGCCATTTTCTTGTATACCAGTTATTTGTTGAATCTGTTCACACATTGTGAATGTGTAAACCCAGTGAAAACATATTTTTAAAAACGGTGTCAATAAAATTTAAGCGTCTGAGAAAAAATAATGGCTGTCAACGGATCCTACGCCGGGACTGCACCTGGCTTTTTTAAAATTCTTCACATTGTAAGTACCTTTTTGTCAGGATTATAACAGACCGCCTCATTATGGTAATTACTTAAATATTTTATAGATCTTTGGGGCCATCGCCATTGGATGTGGTAGTCAGTACGACTCTGAATTTGTATTCGAAAGAGTATTCTTATGGTCAGCAGTAACGTGCTTTATCCTTTCAATTGTATACCTTCTGGGCCATTTGATGTCTAAGAGTTTGGCACAAAGTTCGGCTGTGAAAGGATTTGTAAGAATTTTTGGCTTGTGCAAATCGTGGAAAATATTGTGCAGATTTTAATATGTATTTATGTAGGATGTGGTGTATCATATCTTGGCAGGAATATTACTTCTTGTCGGAGGAAGCTTGATGATTGCTTCAGTAAAGAAATATGATAAACAATATTGTGACCCAAATCCATGGGGTGTGTCGTGCCAAGAACGCAAAAGTGTTAAACTGGCTGGCGGGGTGAGCATTATTATAATTATCCAGTTTATTTGTATCAATTACCCATTATTCAAATTTCAGTCGTTCTCGATTATAAATGGAATATTCTATCTGATTACCGTTGCACTGATTGGGATGCAAAAGAAAGAGGATCCAGACATTAATTGGGATACAAGGATCAGGGGATATCAAGCTGCGTCTGCAAAGGAAAAGACCCCCGTTAGTGAACCACGAGAATAAGCAACATTTAGGAAAAGGAACGGATTCAGATAATGATAAAATATTTAAGAATTTTGTACAAAGTTTATTTTCAATTGATTTTTCACATAATATTATAATTAATTTTATGAGTTCAAGTACATTGACAAAATGACAAAGTTATGATTTTAATTTATGAAATAATAAATAAGTAAACCTAAGGGTTATTTTGAATCCACAGCCTTTTAATTGAAATCACATTGCTAAATATATTGAAATCACATAACTTGAATTTCCAGTGCTTTAATTAAATTTAAAAAACTAAAACTGAAATCTGCCCAACTTTTCAAAATCATGCATTTTACTCAATGTAAAAAATGGCTAGAAATTTTAGAAAAACTTCGTTATTTCTTTAAAACCTTGTACATATAAATCTTGTGTCTAAAGTTGTGTTTGGCTATTCTAGAGCGTAGCCCGTCATACCAACCACTGTGTTTCGAACACTATTAGAAATCCAGTATCCTAATAATACAGAGCGGTATTCATACGACTAAGGACCGTGATGGGAGCTCGGTATTAACGTTTAATATACCCGTATCAAATTTTTACGGACCGGTATAATTTTAATACCGAGAAATCAATACCTGCGGGACTGTAGTAATAATTCTAACAGTGAGGTAATCGCAAAATGCCTTAAGTCTCTCTGGTTAGAAGAGCGAGGGATGGTATGATTTGACTGAGGAGTCACCATCTTATTTTTTGCATATCAATAAATACATAAGTTATGAAAATCCTCCTTAAACCTAAAAGTAGCAAAGTACGTGCATATACAAACGTGGTATAGTCAATATCTATTTACCAGTACGTGGAAAAACATTGCTTATGTTTGTTACAATAAACGTAAATAGCGTTTGCACGAGATTTTGTGCTACAATGAATGGTTGCAATATGAAAGTGAGATACATAATTTTTGCATAAATACATACGCACGCATACTCGAGATGAGTACATTTGGCAGAAGTTTTGTTATCTTGGGGTGTCCTGTCCAGCTTATCTTAACATATCAATGCCATATACTCGTGACAAGAATGATGGCAAAGTTGATGCGAATTTTCATATTGCAAGCACACAAATGGTCACACTTGTATGGATCTGCTGACTATCTGCAGCAGGTGTATTTTCCATCTAATTATATATTTATATAGTTATCTGCGAATTACTTTGCATATTATTACGAACAGACAAAGTGACAAATTAAAATGAAAACCTTCAGTTGAATTTATAACAAAATCTCGTAAGAACTTGGTGAAAATAACTTTGCAAAATGTCAAATTTGGAGTACATTATTACCCGGCCTGGAATTTTTAAATTGACCACCGTTGTAAGACCCCTGCCGATATTATTCATATTTTTACTCAAAACATATTTGATATTTGCTATTTTGTACGATGCCGTCCAAAATGCTAATGCCGAATTAATTGATTTGTTTATTACTATTTATTACTATTTAGGTGTTAGGGATTGTGTCCTTTACCTTGGCATCTTATTCATACGCTGATTCTCCTTATACGGAATTTTATGGAAATCAGACTCGACAGGGAGTCAATACTTTACCAGGAACTGAACTCGAATTGTACAATCTGACCGTATCCGGTGCTTTCCTTGGAATATCTATCGCATACCTCGTCTTGTATGCATTCATCTATGAGTTGTGTGAAAGTTCAATAAACAGGAAGTTGGTAAGACGTCAAAGTATTTTCATGAATATGTTGAACTCACATAAATTCCCGAACCTTAAATTACTTACATTTTATGTTACTATTTTCAGGACACCGCTTATCATATGGCGGGGGCATTATTAATATTTGCTGGTGCTTGTGTAAAATTGTTCTCGGCCGTGGAAATTGAAGACGAAGGTTGTTCTATTTTTGAAGCAATTTCGGCAGGACCAATTCCAAGACAGAAGGTTCTTACATCCCCAGAGTTTTTCTGTCACCATTTTGGGGAGAAAATAGTCAGCGCAGTAAGAACTTGTGTATTTTCACGTATTACTTAATGCCATTTAGATTATATGATGGTTTATTTCATTACAGGGATTCGCTATGATAAACTCTGTACTTTATGCTCTAACTGGTTTCATAGTTTTCACGACCAAAGATCTCTAACATACCAAAGTAATTTTTATTGTGTATGCTAAAGTCAATAGTTGACTATGGCTTGGCGTGGGAATTGGTTGTATTGATTTTGACACGTATTATAGATAGGAAATAAACATTTGATGGGCTAAATAATAAATTGAACGGATGTTTAAGTTTACGAATTTACTTTCACTTTACTGCGCTCATCTTCAAGCTCCGAGTCAAACAATGTATGTAAGAAATAAAATCTTTAGCTTAATCAGTCGTTAATCGGCATCAGTTGTCCTAGGGCTTGCACACCAATACCATAATTTTACATACTAGTTTTGTACTCCTGATGTATTCAGGGAAGCATGGACAGTAACCTAATTAAATATCTATACAGTATGGAGAATGTCAAGGGTACTACGAGTTGCAGCTATCTGGGGACGGCTCCAGGAATTTGTAAACTTGCAACCATCGTATGTAGTCGTACAACAGTTCTCCAGTGCATTATAAAAACTTAAAGTGGAGTTTTCTTAATTCTTTCGTCTAGATATTGGGAGCAATTTCAGTTGGCGTAGGAAGCTTTGGACACTTTGAATCATTCTACATTTGGCAAATAAAGGAGGAAGCGTTTCTTTCGTCTACGGTTTCATGTTTGGGAATTTCGTTATTCTATTTTCTCGCAAATTTAAGCAGTTTGAAATTACAAAATAGCAGTGCTAACAGGATATTCGTAAGTTAATTTAGTTACACTTACCTAGTTTATATAAACAAAATTCATTTTAAATTTATAAAACAACATTATGCACAGGGCATTGTTTTCCATTTGCTAGCTGGAGTTTTGCTTATGATTGTTGGAAGTTTGACAATTGAATCGACTGTAGAAATTGATCGAAAAATTTGTAGATTGTATCCGTTGTGGCCATATTCTGTTCAATGTCAATTATACACAGAAAAATTGGTGGCTTCCGTAAGTTAAATATTATTTAAATATTTCAAGTTGCAAGTGCTTACATTACAACTCGTCATTGCAGATAATTGCAGTTGTGAATGGGTTATTGTACGCAATTTCCGCCCTACTCATTTTTGCTACGTAATGAGATGACGCAAGGAATAATCGGAAACGAAGATGTGCAAAATGAATCTTCTCGCTTTTTTGCGGATGTTTATTTTTGTGCAGTGTCAATTATACAAATTTATAGCACTTTCTTGCTCGCAATATATCATTTATTATAAGAATTTGATTATTGGTTTTTCTCAACGAATTCTGTAATAGAATGCACAAACATTTAGATACATACCCTTCATCCATGCAGGATTGCACTTTTATAGAAATTGAGAATTCTGAGAAACTACGCCACTGTCAGTCTCCAATTCCCCCGCTAGCATACGTAAAATTCTTCGTAGTTTCTCAGAATTCTCAATTTCTGTAAAAGTTATAGACCTTTCCCACCTCACATACATATGCAAATCTTGTTGAATACACGTTATTAAACCTCATTAGTACCTTTGACGACATAGCAAATCTTTTCAGCGGCTTGCAGTGCCATTTTTTAAAGAAATATCGGCGTGTGTCACTAGTCTTGTAGAAGTGTCGGACCAAGGAAGACACTTCACTGAAACAAAACTCCTTATTGCATCTCGTTCATTTTGTTCAACAATTGCTAAACGTTTGCAGAATGCGGTTATGTTGATGCCAATAACTCTAACCATAATTATGTTTGTTTCTACATCGTCATAATTAACAAAAGCATGTTGACTGTTGTTGTTAATCATTTTGGCAATTATTTTGGCATGTTCGTGATCATCTCTGAAACGATCTATCATGTGATCCAAACAATATAATCCTGCTCCCACAAGAATTCATGGCTGCCGCAGACCTCCTCCGATGCCTTTGCGAAGTCTTCTAGCCCTTTTCCAGACATATTACTAAACATGTATTTACGTATAATTTGGTATTATGTAGCTTACATAAAAGTATGCTCTTTTCAGCTTCAGCTTGTAAACTTGAGAACCCACCTTCCCCATCGGAGTTCTTCGGTTGGGCTAATAAACCGGTACAAGTGTAAGACGTAGTACTCCAAAATCTTCCAAGCCTTCTCTGCCGATTGGGGTATTGTAACAATTCTGGAACGATCCTTCGGGGACTAGAGTTGTAATTCGACTAGTTTTAGGAACCCAGCGGGATGAAATTTGAACTACATGAGCTATAAAGCATCAAATCGTATAGCTTTAGTCTACAGTATACTTTTTGGGTGGCTATGATGAGGGATCTTCAATACGTTAAATTTGATGGAAGAAATCACTCAATCCTCTTACTATAACCAGGTAACCTTGGGCAGGCCACGGAACACGGTGCATGGTTTCTATTTCTTGTAAGCTGAGACATGGTGAGTGAGTTGAGGCGCTTCGCGCTGGCCTCACGTCACCCCACCATGTCTCATCTTACGAGAAATAGAAACCATGCACCGTAAATTTGTTGGCCGGCCTGCCCAAGGTTAGCTGGCTAGGGTAATACTCCTAGGTTCTATCTGGCTTCCTCCCGTGCACCACGTATCTCTCTCGCTCAGCAACTGGACTCTCTTCTCTTCCATCTGGGTCGCGGGTGTGCCAGGGCCAGGGCAAGTAAAGCACTACTTTGTCCTATGCTTATATCATTGGCGACCAGTAAATAAAACATAAAAGCTAAGCCGACGTCCTCCCAAACCAGTGAAACTCGGTGATTGGCTCTTGTTGTTTTTGGCTGCACACTTAAAAATATTATGTTGGATTCTATAATATTGAACGCATCGAGATAATCGATATCGGTTTGCGGCATCATATTTACGACCTCGGGGGGAGGATCCTCTTAACTCAATCACAACCCAGCTCACACCCAGGGGGTGTGGTCGGGGAAAAATGAGATTTTCACTGAAATTGAATCTATGCATGAGATACTGTGAAATTTAGTCATTCTGAGTTGTGCCGCACCCCCTCGGCACCAGAGGGTGTGGTCTGGTCATAATGAAATTTTGACTCAAACACTTCAAGTGTCTCATCTATAGATCCAATTTGAGTAAAAATCAAAACGTCTCAAAGTTTCTAAAAAGATCACAAAATAATAGATTCAAATGTTTTTTATTTTAGGAAAATGCCAGGCAGAGGTGTGAAAATTTTTTTTTAGAAGACCCGGAAGTCCGTCAAGAGGAAAAATGATGACAACGACGGCGACGACGACACTAGAACGACGACGGGGCCGGGTCTTGGAGCTGCGGGGCGAGGTCGAGGTCGAGGTGGAAGTGGTGGACGAGGTCTAGGACGTGGTGCAGTTGTCGTCGACCCCATCCTGCCGCCCCCCATTGCTGATCTTCCCGCTTCTCCTTCAGATAAACAGGATGGCGACGGTGACGAGGACGGCGACCAGGATGGTGTCGAGATTGAGGTGGACCAACAGACGGTAAAGATCGTTCCAACTCCAATGTCAGTTGTCGTTGCTTCCTATTTCCCCTCCCCTGCATCGTCTTCTGCATCCGTCGCTGTTGCTGCTGCCGGTGATGTCTTACCTGGACGGCAAGCTGGATTTGAAAAAGAGGAAACACCAGCGTCCGCTCCGATGACACTAGGGATGACTGTTTTCCTTAAATACTTGAATGGTTTGATAAGTCCGACCGGCTGCCTTGATGCGGGAAAGTGGAACTACAAGTTCACAAGTGTTGAAGAAGTCGAAGGGGTTTTAGAGTCAGTAGTGCTGTTTGTGTCGGCACACCCTAGACAACAGGGAATCAAGTTATTCGGTGATGAAAATTTGGCCATGTGGAGGATACTGGGATCCGAGTCAACTTCACCATTCTTCACTTCCTTGTCTTCCACGGTACGGAACAATCTGGTCACCAAATGTGCAAAGTTATCCGAAATTTTGAAACCCAAGTAAGTCACCCTGGAATTTCTCCAGTGTTTGGCCTTTGTGGTTCATTATCTTATGAGGCGAGGCAGCAACCCTTCTCAGACTTCAAAGGACAAGAATCGTGATGCCATCGTCTCTGAAATCAAGTCCCAGGTTCTTGTGTTCCAAGAAAAAATGCTTGCCGGCGAAAAATTCGTTTATAAACTGGAATTGGATTTCGAGAGGCTCAAGATTTCTGAAAACTGTTTTCCTGGAGCAAAGAAACGTATATACACACATAAATATATGGACAATACAATTCTTCAGATATTTGTCATTTTGCTTTGATTACTTGAAATATATCTAAAGTCATCTAATTTATCGAATATCTATGCAGGTTCAACCCCGACACTATCTTGAAGGATATCACCACCGCACGAGATGACGACCCCGCCAGCATTACCCCCCAGGCCCTTTGCAGAAAAACCAAGTAGGCTCCATCTGCAAGGTAATCGAGAACCTACACGAAGATGTCCAGGTGTTCAAGGCAGGGGTCAAGAAAGTTGGCCAACTTGCGCAGGCAGCCCAGAAAGCACAGCAGACCTTCTATGCCATCGTCTCGGAGCTGAAGAGAGAACATTGCAAGGTATCGGGGGTCTCATCCGACCTGAATCGCCGAGGACATGTGCTGCTGGTCATCGATGAAGTCGCATCCTCAGATGTTCAGAGGTCAGAGATACTGGATTTTTGTCCCTATGTGAGAAGCATCCCGAAGTCTATGACGAAATCCTCGCCAAAATTTCCACCACCCTCAAACCCCCGACACCCCAAGGGAGCCAGTCCTCATTGCCAAAGGAATAGGAGTGACGATGTGATGATAATTATTCTTTTCTCCGATCAATATAAAAACTATTTTGTTATTTGCTACCGCTTTTATAGCAATTATATTGTGTTTACGCTTTACTTACTTTTACTGTGTAGATTAACTATTATATTATCAAATTTTGTACACAACTAATTAATTATTTTAATCATAATTTGTGTATGATTTGTATTGGCTTTTGGTTTGAATGGATGCTCACATCAATTAATATAGAGCCCAAGTATTATTTACAAATATGTATTTAGGATTTCGTATTAAGTCAGGTTAGGGAAGCTATTATGAGACGGTCGCCGTTTAGTTTTTTTATATATAAACTTCTGTATAATATAATACCACGTCCATTGTTTTTAATAAATGCACCAACTATTATTAATACAAGATTTATCCATGCCTTTGATAACTTCGCTTATTTTCATACGTAATTACTGATATCCGAACATACTTGTTTAGCATTCATAAATTTATGCTCTTGTAACATGCCATGCATCTCTACCTACATAATTACGAAATTTCTTTTCATTCTATACCCATTTTTTCCCAAGTTACTACTTACACAAGTTTGCGAACACATATTTAACCTTTGCATTCTAGATTAACAACACAAAGAAATACATAATAACCAATTAAGCTATTTTTAAATCCATCAACACCTTTCCCAGACAGATGCATATAGTCATAACTTCGACCAATTTTTCTAACAGACAGAAAATCAAAATTTCCCAGAACTGATTATACAATTCGATTCTACATTAGGTACACTACTCAAATCCATAAAGGTGAAGCCATTTTTTTTACAATCATAACCCAAAATTCAAAGCCCATTCATTTTACAATGCCATATGCATAACCGATTTCAAATGTATACCATTGGGGCAAAGCTCAGCCCCCTGGGGTCCTGAAAATATCCTAATTGCCGACTTACTGAATAAATCCCATGTTCTTGACGGGGTAAACTACTTGTTGTTTAACTAGCAAGTCCGCAATAAGACTAGTTTCTACAACCTAGGAGAATGAAGTTGGTACCCACTGCCCTCCTGCTTCTACCAGTGGGGTAAGTTTGAATTCCATGGGTTGTCGAACCCAGCCTTATTGCCGCCTTGCTGATTAAACTTCATATAGTTTACACCCTAAATATCTTGGAATTTATTCAGCATGTCGACAATAAGGATAGTTTCAGGACCCCAAGTGGCTTTAGTTTCCACGACTGGTAGAAGCACGGAGCCATTGGGTACCAATTTCATCCCCCTAAGTTCCTGAAACTATCCTTATTACTGACCGTTGAATAAATATTTTGCGATAAATTTAGCACTTTTGGTGTGTTTAGAAATATATGTATCTGTTCATATAGCTCTAATATTTGCCCAATTTACTGTAATAAAAGTAAAACAAATCCCTCAAACTGGTTTACTTTTACATTATACCATCATATTAAAACCAGGGGACAAATCCATTTTTTTATACGGCTTTCTTAAATTCATCAAGTGAGTTGCTAATTCAATCGAAGGATCTCTAGGGTGTAAGCTACATGGAATTAAATCAGCAGTTCGGCAATTAGGATAGTTCCGCCGCCTCAGGGTGTCGAAATTTGCACACGAAATATGGTATACTAAATATGGTATACCCAATATTACGGATGGGTATAAAAGGACCAGAAAACTTGAGACTGTCTCCACGCTGGTTGTGCTCAGAAAATTGCACTGTCCACGAACTTTAAACAAATACTTATTGAAAACTACTTTTACGGTAATTTCGCACACAATTTCTCAAAATTTCCTTGAACAATTGAACAATTCTGAACTTGAACTTGAACAATTCTGTAGTTCCAGAAAGCAAGCAAGTCCAGTTAAATGAATTTAGTGAAAAAAGTGAGAAATGTAATTTAAAATAAACCATCGTTAAAAGAAGGGTAATTACAACTTTAAATTTGCATTTCCTGATGAAGATATAGCTAACAACGAAACCGGTCGCGTCTATTAAACGGATTTGTCACACTGGTTGGATTTGTGTTCCCTTATTTATACAAAGTTACCCAAAATTGCTCAAAATTTCTCAAAAGTTCTCAAAAGTTTTACTTTCAAGAGTTTATAAAAGGTTACAAAACTTCACAAAACATTAAATTCAATAGTTATGATAATAAATAGTTATGATAATTTACTTAGAAATCTTAATGTGTATTCCTTCCTTGCTAGCATTAAACCTAGTAAAGCCCGGTATATGGCTGAAGGGTGAGAGACTTGTGGATGAGGTCCAGTAGAAAAATTGTAAACTTTCGAATTTTTGTTAATAAATACATCGAAATATTTTTGAGTGTGCAGATTTAGGCTATTTCGGCTATATTTTTGACGATTTTTAAAAAATTCCTGCGGCCAAACGAGGCGTGACGTCATCTAATCTCTTGCTGGAGGTGACACCCCTACATGGATAGCGTCGTTTGAGATATCTACGAAACCATAAATCAGGTCGCGCACTGCGCCACAGGGTCGCAAACTGGGCGTAGAATGCAAAATTTCGGTGTTTGGAGGCCGATAACTTTGCTCTCGAGCGTCGTACGTTGGTGTAACTTATATGAATTTGGGTTAGCTTTCAAAGATCTATCGAATGCAATAGTTTCCAAAGCCACACCCCCTCAAATGGAGATAACTCCTCCCCCAGGGGGTGTGGTTGCACTACAGTCATGTAATTTGTGTCATCCGTCCCCAAACTACCTCATATGCATAAATAGCTCAAAAAAAGTCATAACATAATTTATGCCAATTCCTACCATAAGGCGGCCCCATTGTGCTCCCTAATCATAAACTCTATATGATTAGTTGTGTTTGATTTAATTCATGAAGCGTGTCTTGATTGCAATTCCACTTTCCCTAGATTCATTTAGGTTTTTGATGTGATTTTTTTGGTACAATTGTATATGCAATTCTAATATTCGTTATTCAAGTGTCTTTCCAAATTCATTGCATACATTGAACAGATGCAACTAGTGTTCTACCATTGATGATATAAAACCATAAGCCATTTACTAAACACAATGCGTACTATCAGGAACCTATTTACCAGCGTATTTATCACCAAATAAGTAAATAAATATAAGGTAAAAATATAAAAGTTAGTGTATGGTTAATACGCTCCAAGTAAGTATGACGTAAGATTGTACTTACTCAAAATCGTATTTTAGCGAAATTATGTATTTACTAGTAACTGACTCAAAAGTTAAAGATTGTTTGACAACACTCAATTTGCATTAAATGGGACAAGATAATTCTCACACTTCACATGACATATCGCAAATAATTAAGAAACATGTGCGATATTTCGAGTTACTAGTACATATAATGAAAAGAGGTATGCATAGAATGTCAACCCAAATATAATTATTAGGTTTCACGCTATATTTTATTATACATGGATAGACCTGTTTCATGGTTGGTCATAAATTGAGAATTCTCGTCTCCTTCATACATTCACATTTGTTACAAATGCAAATATTATTTACAAGTTTTGTAAATAATCTCATCAGATTTGTATAAAATTAAAAATAAACCGTAGTAATGTTAGAAGTAGCTCACCCTGGAATAATGATTAGGATATAGTTTTGCACCATTGGTGCAAAATAAGCGGACAAAATGGATGCATAATTTTCATATAATTTTGCACCAATGGTACAGAATAAACGGGGAATAACAGAAATTTGATATAATGTTGCACCAATGGTGCAGCCGAAATGGTTAAAATTGGGACTTAATTTTGACACGATTTCAAGGTTAATTTATGTCCGCGAAGGCTATCTAGAACTTTCAGTCAATCCTAACCATTGGTGCGGAATACATCGATTCCTCTAATTATTTCGCACCATTTTGCGTTAACGATTGTTTGATACCAATTGTGCTACAAATTATGATTAAAATGGTCGTGGGACTTATTAATTAGCATCAATTGATGCAAAAAACTCGTGAACAGACAGACAGACGGACAGACAGACAGACAGACGGACAGAGGAATTCAATAGCTCTCATGCTACGCAGGGTGAGCTAATAAAAGCTTTTTCCTCCCCACATTCTGCACCATTGGTGCGTAGGGCATCCCTTCTCCAATTATTTACTATAAAATTTGTATATTTTAGCGTCAATGGAGGAGAATAATGGAATAAGTAGAACTGAAATCTGACATGATTTTGGGGGGAAATAGATGGCCCAATTGTTACGCATAATTAATTTTTGGGAGGAAATAGATGGCACAATTGATACGCATCATTTTTAATAACCAATTGCTCCGTACTAACGGTGCTACTTATTCCAAAATTATAGTCCTATCTCGATCTATTTGCTGAATTAACTTGCACCATTTGCGTACGGATTGTTTGCTACATATGGTGCTCCTCAGTCCTGCAATAATGGAGCAGGGACTTATTAATTAGCATCAATTGATGCAAAAAGGTCGTTAACATACAGACGGACGGACGGACAAGAGGAATTCAATAGCTCCCGTGCTACGCAGGGTGAGCTAATAAGTTACGCTCGATCATTGCCCCATATTAATATATGTAATATCCAAACTATTGGAAATGCTGCGTTTAAGTCATATACAGTCGGTTCGACTGACCATGAGTCGAACGGTTCAGAAAAATTACGTACAAAGAAGATTATATTTTGTAGAAGGAAAAATCATGACTTGAACTGAGGATCCTGAGATGGGCAAGTCATGGATTTGAGTTAGATTATGAATATCTAAGTTACAGAGAATTGAAGGTTATGTATGATAGATGTCTGGAATTCAGTAGTGTTTGGCAAACAGTTAAACCACCTACATGGTTCAGGCAAATGAGATTTAAATAATATAATATTTAAAATGTTTATATGCCTCTTAGGTAATTATAAATAACCCGAAGCTTCAATATTTATTAATTTATGTAACAGTACTAGTCAAAGTAATATGGAGTGGCATACATATCAAATGGCTCAATATAAATATTTGCACCAAGCAGGGGTACTTAGAAGTCAATCGCGAAAAGAAATTCAACCAGTAAGAGTATAAAAATTTTACAAATTAATTTTTACAGTTTTTTTACAGTTTTTTTTGTTTCAGCAGCCAAATGAAAGTAGGATTAATTGTATGCTACCAACTTCCTTTAGGGCACTTTTTGGGAATCCAGGGTTGATGACAATCAATGCTTCACTAGCGATACATTTTGGTTCATTTATTGAAATTTATTGAAAACAATCATGACGAGTCTAATTTAAACCAATAAATTGAATTTAAATTTAACTTTGTACATAGCTGCTTTGTGCACAGTGGAATATTCTTATGATTTGAATGCCTCAATAATATCTTTCTCCATCGCCTGCAATAAATTAGAAACAAATCACATTTCATTAATGTTCATTTATGGGTTCTCATAATTATAGTTATAAAGCTATTTAAATATGCGATATGAATGACATCGTTTAAATACCTTGGGGTTTGTATTTGGAGCGTATCTTTTTAAAACATTTCCCTAAAATTTATTTTTAGATATAAAAATAAATTGATATTTACAGTTATTGGTACTGATAAATGAAAAAGTAATTATCGAATTATGAGTTAAAAAATACCTTTTTGTCGACCAAAAATTTGGTAAAATTCCACTTTACCAACGTAGTTCCCAAGATTCCACGTTGTCTGTCCTTCAACAAAGTCCATAACGCGTGCGTGTTGTCCCCGTTTACATTTGATTTACTTGCGAGGTTGTATCTAACATCATATTCTTTGACAAATTCCTTTATTTCTGTTTCTCCCAAAGGTTCCTGCGATCCGAACTGGTTACACGGAAAGGCCAAAATTCTCAAACCTTCGTTCTCCGAATATTTGTCATACAGTTCAGTCAGTTCTAATTTTTAGGAGAAAATTCGAATATTTAAAAAAATGCAACAAAAACCTAACGTTCAGTTTGATCGAGTTAAGAAGACTATTAGAGATTATTGGTAAGAATAAGAATTATTAGCATCGTTTGTCATATACTTATTTGGAGCTCATTGAATAAGTATAATGTTAGGGTGATTAAAGTCTCTACAAACCCTGGGCTAAAAATTATAAGTGATACATAATAAATATTTACAAGATACCTTTGTAATTTACACAGGTGAAACCGCATTTCGAGGCGACGTTGACGACAATCAGGACATGTCCTCTGTAATTCATATGTATACATTATTGAAACCTGAAATCTGTTGAAAAATAACATTATCCTGAAACGTATCATTATTACCTGTATTGTTCCATGGACTGCTCATTTCCATCAATGTCGACATATTTAATGTCATAAATGCTCTTAGCATCTGCCTAAGAACACAGTAGATGAATGAATATACATGAATATTTTCAATATTGCATCCAAATATTATTTTGCCCTTTACCATTATAACTTCCTCTCCTTTACTGTAATCGGTAGTAAGGTCAGGCTTAAGAGTTGCAGAAATGGACACAGATCTCCAGTAATAACCACCCAAAAATATTGATACAATCGGAGTCACAACCGACAACCACTTCAAGACGGGGTGCATATGACTCCTTTCAAATAGCGAACCTTTGAGAGGACAAAAACGAGGTGATGCAATGCAATGTATTAAACTTAATAACAATGTGCTTCAATTAGTTCATGACATGGAATGACAAAGTGAAATTGGAAGCTTTGCCTTTGCCTCAAACATAATTCTTCATACAGAATCTCATGTTTCTCAACAAACCCCTGTGAGTATTTCTTATGATTAGATTGTCGTTGAATGTACGTACTTTTATGAGACTAATACTTCGATTATTTAACGCTATTTCTACATGTTTCGAAGTGCATATAATACTATGAACTAATGCGACCGGCTTGATAGAGATAAAAATAAAAACGAAACTCAGCGGAGGTTTAATTCGTACACAATTTTGCATGCAGTTCAACTACAAATTCCACAGACAACCGTTTATATCTTTATTCATAAATTTATTTTTGCACACTGACTTAATTTCGCATTTAACTTTAACCCGAACACGTGACAAATAATTTTAAATCTTACAAAAGACACTGGTTATAATGTAAAAAATAGATAACGCTATGTGTAAATATGATGATGATTAAGTACAATAGTTCATATGCGCACAACAATATAATCTTTTATGAACATCAAATAATTATTGCTGATGACAATTCTCGGCACACAAAATTATTTGTCACCAAGTCACATAGTTTCCTTTGTCTAGGTACTTTTGATGATGAGAGATACTGACTGAGGGGTAGTGATGATAAGGTGAAGGATAAGGAAGGTGACGAAGGGAACGTATATAATAACATATCGACGACCAAGGGGTGTGTGTGTGTGTTGGGTTTTTCTTCCTCCGGCCATGAGTGATATTTTATAGGCGACGCCACGTATTGTAATACCATCTTAAATGTGTGGTTACCGTTTTCTGACACTCTGACCAACTCTTCCTGACGTCATATTGGAGTCCATTCCACAGTGGATTAGTATAATATAACGACATACATTTTTTTGGGTTTTGCTCATAAACTCTTATAATTATTTGACTTGATTGATTTCAAGGTGTGATTGTATAATTGACATCATATCACGCACGGCATGCAAGATGAATGACTAAGTTTTTTTGATACGGTACAACATCGAGAAAACTTTTTGGAACTGTACATTCTACATGGAACTGGAGACCATATTATTTTACTTAATATCACAGACCAGTTAGAGCATCTACTGATCTGGTTGCGAGTTTATCGCATTTCCTGCACCTGCCTCCTCAGTGCTCTTCATCTGCATTAATCGGTCCCGAACATAATCCGGCTGCGTAAAAGCACAAAATTCATGTAACGAATTATATGTATGTAGTAATCCCGTATAAAAATCATGTGGCGACTTCTGCATAATACGGCACACTTAGGATTAGTCGGCATCATGATTTATGCATAAAAAATTGTGAATAATTCTGCATAAATTCCTGGAGAGTATATTCTGCATAAAAGTTTATAAACAGATATTTTTATGAAGAGACTTTTCTTCATACAAAGCTTGTGGCTAGAATTATCTCATTTCTATAGAAACACCTTAGCATAATTATGCATAATCCTGCACAGTTTATGCACAAATCACCCTGCATAAATTTGTGTGCATAAAATTCAGCCAAATTGCTGCATAAAATCCAGCCAAATTGCTGCATAAAATCCGTTAAAATTTTTATACGGGATGGGTGTGACACTGATATTTAATTTTATTAAATACTCACGCTAACAAACCACATGCTGTTAGGCCGAAACATATTCCTGTAATTTAAGTATTTTTATTCATTACAACATAATGCACTAGTTTTTATGTACCAGAGTACTGCACTTTATCAAATTATGCTTAAATAACCTGGCAAAAAATCCCATTTGATCTGCAGGAGCTAAGACATGAAGATGAAGATGATTTACCATGTGAAATGGAGGCCAATGAAATCCTTTAAAAAAGTAAAATCTTTTACTTTTAAAATCAGTACATATTAATTTTAGTCAAATTGTAACAATCGCTGCTGTTTTGGGTTATTAATCCATAATCGACACACAAGTTAAACAGTAACATACCCAAAAGTCGCTGCACTTGAGTTGGATCGCCAATTCCTGCATCTTGATTTAACTTTTCTGCTAAAACCTGATTAGCAACTTCAATCATTCGGTCTAAAATTAAAAAAAATAATTTATGTCAGGTTAGATCTTACATAAAAGTATTAAATATATGTATATTATTAGAGGATTACCCAAAATCCGAATTTGCGATGATACCATCGCTTTGGCATCTCGAATATGCTATAATTGATCAAGTACATGCAATTATTCCATCGAGAAACTAATTTCCAGAGTCTCAATTCCATACCTCATTGGTAACCACGAGAAAGTGGTGTTTTGTTGCTGGCTTGATGTCCTCAAAAACTACAATCTCTTCATCCTACAGAGTATGTATCGCACTGCATTATTATATTGCACACGAATTTTTCTACTCGAAACAAATGAACTAATATCTTGCCTGGAATATAATAGGATTGCTCTCCTTGCCATCGAAGATGCGGCAGAACGTACACTTGTCACGATCTACCGGTCCCATGAAGTCAGCTTTCGTCGGGATACTGGGTAGGCCTTTGGGCATAGACGGGATGCTCGGAATACTGGGAATGTTGGGCATATGCCCTTTGCTATATTAAAAAAATATCAATATTTTTATTCAGACATGAGAGATATATACATAGGTAGGCAAATAATAAAATAATTCAATCATCTAAGACAACCAAGGAAAGCATAATAAATTTGATAAACTTGTGCAAACTTTATGCTAAACAACTAAATACGTACTTATGCACATTCTAGATTAGCAACAATTTTTTAAAAGATAAGGCATAATCTATGTATTACAACTACAAATTTTGGCTTCTAAGACTTGTCAACGAATAATTACATGGAGTTCAACATGATGTAAAGATGTTTGCAGGTTGTTAAAAGAGGTTGTTAGGTTTTTATAATTAACCGATCCCGGAAACCACGCTGCATGTTAGCATTTTTTCAATAGAGATATAGTTATCATTCCTTTCAACATTAGTTTTAATTAAAAACTGGATAATGTGTGATAAAGACTTACCAAATCTGTCGCAATGCAGTCAAGGATGTCCCAGCAGATGAACCGTAATACGCCCAGAAAATTGTATATTTAAGCACTAGAAGGTTGATGCCTGCATAGAAGGACAGAGTCCAACAAGAAGAAAATCTGAGGGCTAATTTGCATTACCAACAGGACAGGAATAAGTGTTGCGAACAAATTGACTAAATCGGGACAAATGCACCGATTGACTGGAAGGAGTGGAGTGGCTGACCGTGACACAGACTCTAAAATAAAATGGGTCCTCTCCCAGTTACGACGTCATTTTTGTTTCAATAGACACATTTTTGACCCTAACGCTTATCAGAAATCAAGTATGTGTGTAACTTCAGAAAGAGGAATCCAGTTAATTCTTGAAATTTATGGACGTACGCAAAGGGGTAATTTTTGGTGGTAATGGTTGTTACGCAGCGAGGGTGGTTAGGGATGGTCTTCCTTCGACTTTCTCCGACTTTTGCCGGTGGAGAAAGTGAGACTGAGTTTTTTGGGAGTAGTATAAGTGGTGTCCCGAAGTGGATTTCGGGGTTTCCTGTATTATTCTCTGACTTTTCGACTTGCTTTCACTCACTTAGCACTCAGTCGTACTTTAGAACCAAATACTTTAATTTCTACCACTTTTCAATGAGTTCACGTGAACATCACATTCCCTATAGTTTTTGGAACCATCCTATGCCTACACTTGCATATGTATATATAAGTATTGTACGCAGGAGAATTACAAGAACCTTTTTTATGTAAGAAAACTTGGGTCATGTATGCTCATATGAACATTTGGATTACTGTTGGTTGTGTGCTGGTTTAAACCAAGTTTAATGTAAATATTTTGTATGCGATTCTAATATAACCCCGCATTTCCATTTTTTGTGGTTCTTTGTTACATTTGCATCTGTCTGATTTTCATGCCTTTGAAACATAATTTATTATTGGTAGTTGTGCATATAATAAATTGTTTCATTTCAGGATAATCTTTCATGAATCATATACGTGCATATATATAACTAAAATTGTCATTTGTGTCAATTGCAGTAGTTGAATTGCATTGTATTAATTGAATAAATTGAGAGTACATTTGTTAACTTGGCCTATTTGCAATTTTTATTTTCAAGACACTGCTACCTACTTACGTAGTCCTCTCTTATCAATCATTACTTGATAGTGGACGCATGAATATTTGGTTTATTATTTATTCTGCATTCTGTCGGCAACTGCACAATATTTTACCTTGCCACATATGTAAGTTTAGACAACAATCCTCGTCAACCACCCTCACTTGTTGCATAGGCCTTTTAAGTACTACAATCACTGCTATTCATTGTATTACAAGTTCCCATCTATAGCTCATAGAATTGCATAACAAGCTTATTTACTTGTCGAATGTTACAAGCTGAACTGCTGAGTATTTGGCTAAGTGAATTAGATTATTTGATTACTTCAATGGTGACCAGCGGTGAGACGACTGCAGATACAAATTTGCCAACAAAACATATATGTAGTGATAAATACATAACTCATCGGAAAATTAGAAAATTAAAAAAATAGTTACAGAGCGGTGCAGAGTTTGTGCACTCTTTATAAAAATCAGTGTTAAAAAGTACTAAATACGCACACATCTATTTTAAAATTCATAATGGAGCCAAACTTGAAACGTCAAATTGAAGGAAAGTCCAGTGAAAGCAAGTTAATAGCAACTTTTCAAAATAAGTATTTTGAACTTTTGATGACTGAAGCGGCAAACACGCCGATTGAGAACAACGATTCTGGTAGTTTTCCCCTTCTGCATTGGGTGAACCCATACCTCATCGATGAGGGACAAGCGTTTTTCAAAAAAAATTTGGACTCTGTGCTCTATGCCCATTTTGTTGGTCTAACTATTGCTTTCTCCTACAAACCAATCGCCTCCGTCCTACTCCGATCCGGAGGAACTCATGTTAAGTATAATGCCAGAATGCGATATTTGTCCACAATATTGCATCTCAAAAAGTGGTACGAGTCTGACTTGCTTCGTAAATCCGCAAAAGGGGCACAAGATGTGAACTATGTACGAAAATTGCACGCCAAAGTGCTCGACCTCCTCCTTTCCGACGACTCTTGCGTCGTTGATGAAGAAGATTTGATTTTGACGGATGAACAAGAGTGCTTGTTGAAGACACTGCTCAGTGATGCTCAATCTTCAAGTGCAGAAGAGCTTTCAGCCGATTTTAATTCGTACGACCCTGAAGTTTTGATGAGCCAACTGGACATGGTTCTAATTCAGTATGCTTTCATGGGATTCATTGCAATGGCTCCGGAAACATTTGGGATTCATGACAGAATGGGGTTGACTGGGTTTATCCATATTTGGGCTGTGATTGGTACCTTATTAGGAATAGACGATCGTTTCAATCTAGGACTCCATCAAGATCAACAATCATTGGACCTCATTTCCCAATATCTATTTGTGCCATGCTTTAAAAGGTTGGACGAAGGTGTGTTCGTATTGTGGCAAGGAATGTTTGACGGTGTTGGAAAATTTGCTCCATTCCTGAAACTGAAGCCAGTACTTTACTTCATTTACAAAGACATTCTTAAAATACCATCTACACGACTACATGCTTCATTAAGTCGTTACGAACTGTTTTCTTATCATCGGCAAGCTTGGAACTTGAATCATGCTAAAAGAAACTATATGATGAAACAAGTCTTTAATATTCTTACACGAATAGATATTCATTTTGCAGCCAAGAAATTTATGCGAAATTCGCCAAATATATATTAAGTTGGACAAATAATGTTTGTGCGTACATATTTAAAATTCACGTAGCACACTAGGCTGTACGCTACTGTTGTAGGTTATGTATTATTGTCAGAAAAACTACTTATATCCAAGCAAAATTTAATTTTAAGAAACATTCCTATTTATTAACATACATAAGGTAAGATAAAAAAACTGTAAATATAGTTTTTGTTTTTGTACGTATATTCTAAATATATTACTTAGCTTCAATTATTTTAACACTGTAATATCTTGATATGTGGGCGGAGAATCTTCTAACGTTCTTGGGTCCATTATTATTGGTGATGGGAATATTTTGGAATTTATCACAGTGTCATAATGCGGTGGACAATCTACATATGTAATATTCATAACAGGAGAATTACAGTAAAGTAAAAAAATTCTTTGTAACGATTTGATTTTTAAAAATGTACATATGTATTTTTATTTACCTGACTTTAATGAACTGGTAGTTGTACTCGACAATGAGCTGCAAAAACTTGCATTATTTGTGCTGTGACTGCGAAATTCTGTGCTACGACCTCCTCGCGAAAAGAAGAAGAATATGAAAAATGCCCAAACCAAAATAATTATCGTAGCTGAAAATAGGACGATTAAGTATGTTCTATAAAAAAAATAAATAACAACTTCAACATGTATACGTTTCAAGAAATATAATTTCATAATCATGTCCATGCTTATCTACATAAGAGAAGCCTTACCCGAGTCCAACGTTCATATCGTGAACTATGACATCACTAGTCGTTGTAGTTGCGATCGTACTTGAAGATGCGGAACTAAATCCTAATAAATTTTCTTCTGTTTCCATACTTGATACAATTCACGATTAAATATTTGTGTATCACTTTTTCGCATCTACCTTTCCTCCAAAATTGCACTGAACCAATTTGATATTATAGTTACTGGAAGAACCCAGTCAGGGTTTTATTAACCAATAAAATACAGCACTAATAAACAATAAATGCCTTTATACATATGCAGCCTTCAATTCTGAATGTCAATGTTAATCGTGAATTATATGTTATCTCCGAAAATTATTATTGTATGTATTCACCAATCCAATGCTGATCTCTTAATCCTTTCTGGATTACACATTCTACGAGTTGTGAAAGAATACGCAACTTGCAACTACAAGGAAGACATGGTAATGTCATGCTATTATATTTTCATGCTTCATATTTGCACAGTATAATGTTTATTCCGTCGGGATAGTCAAAGAAATTCATCCGAATTCCTAGAGCGTAAGCTCACGGTTACATGTCTCAATGCGAGAAACAAGAAGATCATACATCATTGTGCATCATAATCGTATTCGCAAATTTTCACAGTACCTGCAGACATCTATTTATAGACCATAATCGTGACTCTCAACTGAACCCATCCGGTTAATATTAAATATCTCGCGCAGACACAAATAAACTGAAATGATGATGAAGATTTATGCAAAGCGTTTTTATGCACAAATTACAATGAAGTTTAGCTTCGTATACATAATCAAGCGAATAACGAATTTGGTGGGGAATTTATTTCATTATATTCCATATTAGAATAGAACATTATATAAAAGTAGCAAAAAACCAAGGTAAAAAATTATACTTGGTATTACATTAGTGCGGCATTCCATTCTTAGAACCTTCAACATGTATGTAGACAGCTAGGAGAGATTGAAAAATAGTTACTTTTGCCAAACACGATGCGAGCCATAATTGAATGGTCTGGAAATAGCGACAATTTTGTTATTAAATTCTGGAGCGTTTGGAGGAGCATATCTTGGCGTTTTCTCCACCACGGCATTAAAACCTTCTTTCCCTGCCGTATATGAAACCACTCGAAGTGTTCCGTCGGGTTCAACGACAGTGTACTTTCCAACCACATTGTCCCCAGTTCGAGTTTCATGGTGTGACTTTTGGTCTCCTGTGGCCGCGTCTTTCACCGCATATCCGAAACTGTAGGTGGGAGTGTCGGTGTGAATTAGTGGGAGAACTATTTTTCTTGGAGCACTGACCGCAAGGATGTTGTTAAATGACCCTTGTTGAATGGGGACTGCGACAGCAGCAGGGGACGAGACTTGATGAATCGTATTTTGTGGGGGTTTTTGCTCGGGTCGGTTCACTGCGACAAACTGAGGTCGACTAACTGAGAGAAACTGGTTTTGGACGGCTTGTTGCTGTTGGGGTTGGTGTTGTTGAAAGTGGAAGGGTTGCTGGGACTGATGCAGATAGTGCGGATAATAATGTTGGTACTGGTGAAAGACCTGCTGGTGGGGATGAAATAAATAGAAACCTTGTCCCGATGGGGTCAGACCGCTGAGACCAGACGACTGTGCGACAGCAGTTATCGCGAGAAATATGAGTGATGTCTGCAATAATTTTTTATTAGGTTTACATGCATTGTGTTAAAATTTATTTTCTTGTTACCTTTAGCATCATGATAATAGAATACGTATCTTCCTTGTGAAGCACTTCTAAATTAAGACTGCTGCAGGAAGATTATACAGAACGTCTTATATATATGTCTGAAAAGTGACACCAACGACCTGATCAAACATACCGATGATTTTTGAGTGTCAGTTTCCATGTTTTTTTTCTAGACAAATCACAAGCAGTGACAAACAACCCTTTCCATATATTGTTTTAGCAGCCATTTATTATACGTGTCAAAAGCATTTTCAAAGTTGAGGTTACGTTAGAGCTCAGCTCATTAATACGTGTTAACATGTTTCTGCCTGACCAATAACCTTCGATTAATTGGCTTAACAAAGGAACCACCACGCAGGCTATGTACTACTTGTTATGCTTTGTAGCTAACAACTATATACGTGTAATATAAGAAGTTATGGGATCTACATATGTATATGATGCAAAATTATCTGATGACATGTTTACGAATGCTATCAGACCAATCTAATAAGATGACATGTGTAGACACTGAAAATCTAGAGCATTCTTGGATGAAACATTTTAGTTAAATATGTTTACATTTAAAATCTCTTGGCAAGGTAAACAGGACCCGGAATTTCAATTAAATAATTACCTGTTGTAAGCATGATCTTTCTCATAGAAGCGTGATAAAACTTGTCCTAGCTGCTTCTAGAGGATTATGAATCGTCGAACATGGAAACAGCTTCAACTTAACTTCTGGAATCATGTACTCACCAAGCCCAATCATAAACAGATTTTATTTGTCATTGAATTGGTAATTTTAAAACCATCACAATTAGGTAGTGATTAAAGCACAATAATCTGTATCTGCACTAATTTTTTTTTATTCTAACGTGCATTAAATTCATGTGTTCCCAACAAAATATGCAACATATGCAATTTAAAACAAGTGAGTGATATTTTATTGTTACGCAGTTAACAATATATGTACGTATTAGGAAATAGTATTTTATTTTGAACTAATTTAAAATTAATATGTGACTATGTCATTGAAATTTTTTTAAATGTTCTCACTTATTTCCATAAAGTTCGAACGCCATGGTTCGCAACACTTTGCCTGTTTTTCCTCTGGGAAGTTGGTCCACAAAGATGACTCCACCTCTGAGCTGTTTGTACCCAGCCACTTTTCCTATGTATGTATATCAACGGGAATTGTGTTAGACCAATTATGCAAAAAAATCCTTCATGTGAGAGTTTACCATTTGTGAATGATGCAATTTCTTCCGGGGTAGCACTCATGCCCGCCTTCAGAACAACGATCTGCGTAATATAAGGAATTATTCAATTTATTTAGATGTACAAAATTGTCTAATGTCACGTTTGCGAAGGTTTTCAATATTCAATAAAATTACACACAAGGACAATAAGAATCAATTGCATTCTTGGATAAAATATTTTACAGGAGTCGGAATTTCAATAAAACGTAATAACTAAAACGTAGAAAAAAGTAAGAATATTTACGGCACGCGGAATGTGATCTCCACCATCGGGGTCTTTCATGCCAAAAACACAAGCTTCTCCTACAGCAGGGTGAAGCAGAATATATTCTTCTAATTCGGCAGGGGAAATCTATGAGATTCAATTTCACAGCGTAAGATTATGCAGTTAATATTAGTAGTATAACATTTATGGTTAGAGTTTACGTGGTTATTGAAATATTTAAATGTTTCCTTAATCCTATCAACGACAAAAACGAAGCCATTCTCATCGTAATAGCCAAGGTCGCCTAAGAGCAGTGGGTTTAATAGATTGCCTATTTAGTTGTAATCTGATTGGTAAACTCGTACCTGTATTCATCCAACGATCTCCCCCAACCTCTTGAAAGTTTTGTTCATTAACTTCTGGCCTATTCCAATAACCAGAGGATAAAATTGGACTTGACACGCAGAGTTCCCCTTGTTTGGATGGGCCGAGTGGTGTTCCAGTTTTGAGGTCTTTCACCTTTAACTTTGTGTTGGGATACAGTTTTCCAACCGATAATGTGGGAATATTTGGAACGGCTCGAATAAGGTCCACGCTTCCACCAATGTCGACGGTCGTGGTTATGGCCCCACATTCAGTCATTCCTACATATTACGTATGTAATAATGTATAAACGTGTATAGACGTGTATATACGTATATATACGTGTAGTGGTCCTTATTTAATACCAAAGCCGTTGATCACATATTTGACGTTGGGAAGTTTTTTCATCGTTTCATAAAATGAATCCTTCAATACAATCCCTCCACTGCAAACAATTTCGATGCTACTTCTGTCAATCTTGTTAGCTTCAGGATCATTGACCAATGAAATTAGGAAAAGTGGAAATCCGAAAACCAGAAAGGGCTAATGATAATCAAAATGTACTTCAAAAATTTTTTGAGCAATATTTTTTTAAGTTTATGTAATTGCTTCATCATTTACGTGATACTTGTCGACAGCTTTAAAAATATTTTCTTTGTTGATCGTTGTCATCATAATACTATGATCACCCACGAATACGTTGCGAAGCGGATAAAGAAGTCCAAGAACATGGGTTCCTTTCAGCAACCATAAGGCAGGCAAGGGATTGTGCCTTGGAACCCCGTCGGTAGCTGAGCAAAAATTTAACACAGTAAAGTTGCTGTAAATAGCTCCTTTGCTCTTTCCGGTTGTCCCACTAGTGCATAATATCAAAATCGGGTCATGAAGATCGCTAGTTATTTTTTCCGGACATTCTACAAAATATGAATAATGCATTATACTCTCGGAAACAATTTATAAATTGCTTCCTTTAACTAACGGGCTCCATCGTCTTCAAAAATTTCGTCCACTGATGTGCACCCGGCTGCAGTTCCGAATACACAAATCTCAACTGGCCAGGACACCGTTTTAGCTGCAGATTGGCATTGGGCAACTGTCGATGGATCGCAAAATAGCCACTTTGCAGTGTAATCCTTCACACGATCGGATAGCGTTTCTGTTAATTTTAAAATACGTGCAACATATAAAATGATGAACCCGTGTACTGGCTATTATCTGATGAAAAATATCAGTAGTATTTAACCTGCAGTGTCTTCAGGATATGAGGTACAAACAACCCCTCCTAGAAATGTGTTTGAAATTTATGTGGCATATAAGTATGGATTATGGTTTAGTTTTACTTGCTCATGAAAAGATATTTGCAAACCTGTTCTCCATACTCCAATGACAATGGCAAACATTTTTGTAATATCGAACGTAAGATAAATGATTTTGTCTCCGCTTTTCATCCCACGCTTCACAAGAAAACTCGCCACTTTCCGGCTCATTACATCAACATCATTAAAAGTTAATGTTTCTCCCGTGATGGAATTTGTCTACGTGTACAAAATTCAGGTTAATTTGTGCCTCTGTTTTTTCATTAAAAATATATATAGTTAGGTAAAAAAAAATGCTGATAATGTAATAAAAAAAATTACCATCCATTTGGATCTCCCTTCTTTCAAATTTTCTTCTGCCCTATCGAGCAATGCCTGGGCCATGCTCTTATGTTTGTAAACCAATTTATTTGGTACATAATCCGATTCCAGAATAATTTCCCCTCCATTTTTGACAATCATATTGTTGCAAGATTGTTTATGAAAGTTTCGATGTGATTGTACTAACAGTATTTGAGAAACTAGATCTGGCTTCTTTATTGCCACGCTGATTGACCTTGGCCAAAATTTTGTGTAACTTGTTATAGGCGTGTTGACTCTGACAATGAAGGATGATGAGACAGCAGATAAAGTTCTACTGAATTTATTGAAATAATGTGTAATCATGGACGTTAAAAATAAAAATAAAATAGCGTTGTTTGCCTAATAGATAGGTCAGATTGGTCGTGTAAAATAACACAATTTGTAAACTGTGGGTCTGTGGTTATACCGAGTAAAGTATTTATTTTATTGATGTGTGTTAATCTGATAACGTCACTTGACTTTTGGGGATAGCCCGTTGATATTCAACAATTGTATGTAAAGTCGATTGGGGGTGAACGATATGATAAGAATAAATCTGGATGCCATAATTTGTATTGATGCATCCATAGCGTTCTCACAAATCATACCTTTTTGATGCAAAGTTCAGATCATGCCCCTATATAAAAATAAACATCACAACCAACTTGGAAATACCACGCGATTGCTTCGATATCTTACGAGGAAAAATATATCCATTTCGTTATTATCTAGGCAGTGTCATACACCAATCAAACAATTTCATGCAAGTTGCAGATCAGAGTGACATTATTGCAGTACTGAAATTAGTCTTTGTCAGAACAATCAGCTAATGTGCTATTTGTAAAGAAAGAGGAAGGTAGCCAGACGAAATGTCATATTAACCATGACGCAAAAATTATAGAACCAACCAATTATCAATGCTAAACAAATTAACAGGTAATCTCTTATCTCAAAAAACCCTGCTGACCAGAGGAACGTGATGAATATGCCCCAGCAAGTCAACGGCGGTGTTTTTATTCCAATTCTATCATCACATCATCAAATGTACATGCTTTCACATCTCATTCTCATCTCAACTCGTAACTTTCACAATTCAAATCAAAATTCACAATTTAAACAGTTGCAATTGCAAACAGTGTTGACAAAATTTCAGTAAGTGCTGCGACAATATCGTCATGTCATTTTGAAGACGTGGTACAAGACCTTGAGGATGCAAGAATTTCATAAGCAAGAGCCACTCAGAAAAATCTATTCAAGAATAACAACATTTACTAAGATTTGTCAGGAACACATAATTGTTACGAAACCCGTCTCGGATATTAATGCGAAAAACCGTTTTCATTCAGTAGCGAATCTCGAGGTCGACGCTACAAAGTTTTGTGACCGCGCAAGATTTAATTTCGACTTGAATTTTGACGGTGGAAAAAGCAGACCTCTACGTTTGCGAAATAAGGAGACGTCCGATTCTCTTCGTGTAAAGAACTTTTATGAGTCGAGGTCACAAGAAGTCCTACTTGGCGACATGAGGAAATCCAGAGGTGGAAAGGCCCGTCTATCACCTGCAAAGAAGCGAAAACTTAGCCCTCGTAAATCTACTTTGCAACATAGGTTAGTCAGTCGACAACAAATTTTCTTCCTCTTGTAAAAATTGGCTTGCGTATTGGAAACATCAGACAAGTTTTAAAGAACTCGCCATAAGGCGATAAATAATATAATATCAAAACTGATTACTTTAGAATGAATGTGTATACAAAATAAATTAAGTTAAGTATATACAATTAAGAGGAGGATTGCAGAGACATCAGGTAAGGGTAACACTAGTCCAGTGGCCGCAGAAGCGTGGGACCGGACAGAAGGACAATGTCCTCATCATGTCGCCATGTTATATAAACCCCTCCCTCCCCTATCACCTATCCTATAATGTTAATGTTCCCAGATGTCCCCTGCGGCCCCTGAGCATGTCAACAAAGAACTGCACTAGTTATAAGATATTAGCATATACAAAATCAGCACCACTAGTTTGGAATCGACCAAGTCAGTCTATGAAACAGACTTTGTAATTTTACAATTAGTAATATATATAATCATAGCATCTTTCCGCTTGTACAACTTTGTACTGGATTGGAAATAAATTCACCATGTTAAATAAACCACCTTTACGGTTTAATAACTATCGCACAATATTCATTGTGTTTACTATTTTGAGCGGGATCCTATTTAGACTGGCAACACAGGTTTGTAGAGCGTAGTTTTGTGTGTTGGCTTGTGACCAGGGAGATAATTTCAGACCACATTTCGGATCCACACTTAGGATTAGCAAAAATCATCTAAGGTTTCTGCACTCAGGATTGCACTTGCAAACAGTCACTGATAGTTGGTTAAATTTCGAATCTTAACTGTCTGCTGTTTATTTATATTACCTCGTGATAGTGCATGTGCGTGGAAGAAATCTAGCAACTGTCTGAATTTCTACTTCAATCTGTAACCACCTTTTGTGGTCATTTTGTTAGGTGGTCCACCGGGTCACGATAATATTTTGTGGACTTGAAATAAGATGAGCGATTCCTGCAATTCGAGTGTCGCAGTTTCTAATTTGTAAAAACAATGCATTCGTATAAAGGAGTTTTCTCATTGGGTAGCGGATATGCGGATGCCTTGAGCCAAGCCAAGTTCTTCATGTCATTCTACGAAAACAACTCTCATATTATTCGAGAACACTGGTGATTCACATTTTCTTATATTTTATTCTCATAACCATCCTTCTGAGCAGTGACACTACATTCTCTTTGTTACAATTAAACTATTCTTTATGGTATTATATGCAAATTGAATTAGCGGCTCTTATATTTATTTATTTGTGTTTCAGGCAATCGTTAAAAAGACAGGATTCTCCTTCTGAGCCTTCATTTTCTTTGTCTTCTTCTTCTCAATCTTCAAGAGTTACAAGAGGCGCAAACGACTCTGTCATAATTCTCTCACCAACTAAAGCCCAGCCTACCAACAAAAGTAAATCATCGCCTAGAGGAGGACCTGGTGTCAATCCCACAATGGCTAATTCACAACATTTGAAACGTATACGGTTGCTAGATTCGTCTTCAACGTCGACTCGTTCTTCGGGAAATGAAACAATCGACTTAGTAGATGATGACGATGAAGAGGATTATCTGGATTTATTAAATGAAGAAGAAGCGACAATAAAACCAAATGTACCTAAAATTGAAGATAAAGAAATCATTTTGCTAAGTGATGAGGATTCGAAAAGTGAGTTAAGTGAGCTCCCTGCACCAGTTATGCCTGTTGGCATTATTACAGGAGGAAATGAAGACTGTGAGATTATAGCTGTCAAAGTAGTAGGAACACATGACAGTACAAGCAGGCGAAAATCCTTAAGTAATTCAGGCAAGTTTCCTGTAGGTCAGCGTAAAAGTCTGAACTTGAGCTATAAAAATGTAAAATCTGCTGTAGACAAAGCAAAGAAATGTATTAGTTCTAATTTGGCCAAAACATCAGGAGCAAGTCATGCAATCAGGAAAAATAAAAACAAACAAAAAAAGGGTAGCCAGGGGCCAAAAATGCTTGGTCATGGTAATAGACGACCATACCTTGAGTTTCAAACACCTGTATCCATGCAAAAAAGTAAACCACCTCAACGTCGACCCACATCTCCAATCTTTCTTTTAGATAGAGAATTGGGGCCTGCCAATAGAGCTAATCGTGCTACCAATTTTCAATCAGGAAGACCTAGTCACTTTCCGTCAACTTCTTCCGTCTGGAGAAGGGGTCCAACTAGTTCGAGAGGAATGAGAGAAACTACACCAAATCCATTCTTTGGGCGTATGCCAGTTCCTTTATTGCCACCACAACAACCATTGATTCCAGTTGAGCCCAATTTTATAAGTGTTCCAAAAACGTCTCAAGAACTTCGTACTCCTGGTACGACTTTACGCCCCATTATAGGCAAGTTTTAAAGTTAGATGGTCTCGAGATATCTAATTTATGAAATTTTGAGTAATTGTTTTTTATCTCGTTAGTTGATGGATCGAATGTCGCGATGAGGTAAGACTTGAAAATAATTTTGATGTGCGTGTTTCGCGTCTATGATAATAAATTGTATGCAACATTGTCTTGTTTTTCTTAGTCACAAAGGAAAGAAAACCTTTTCTTGCCGTGGGATTCAAATATGTGTAGAGTTTTTCAAACGACGAGGCCACGAAGTCGTTGCGTTCGTTCCTCAATATCGCAGAAAGCATTCAGAATCTGAAGATACTGATATTTTGGACGCAATGGAAACAGAAGGCACAGTTAAATTTACTCCTAGTCGTGAGGTTGGAGGAAAAAGAATAGCAGCATACGATGACAGGTACACATATAGTTTTTTTCTTTCGTAATAAGTTGTTGGACACGCGATTGATCTAAACTTGTGAAATTGTAGATTTATTGTTCAATATGCACACTTGAAGGAAGCGATTATCATTAGTAATGACAATTTTAAGGATATTTATGAAGAACAACCTGAGTGGAGGGAAACACTTAAATTTAGGTAAGTTACGGTTATAATAAAATTCACCTTTCATACATGCCTTCTACTGTGTATCCCTATTAATGTTGCGTGGGTTTACTATTGCCAGAATTTTACAGTTTACGTGGATGGATGAGCACTGCATTATGTTTCCCACGGATCCAATGGGCAGAGGTGGTCCTAATTTAGAAACATTTTTGAGGTTTTGACTGAGTTGAGTTGAGTCGAATTGAATTGTTTTGTTCATGTGATACTAATACATATTTGGTATATGCGATCAATCAATTCTCCATTGATCGTAAACTTTTTGTAATACTACGTGAATACTTAATGATAGGGGATTGAAAATATAAAATGGTGTATCATAATTATTTTTATACCATTCTGAGGGAAACTATTCGACGCTGCGTACAAATTTATATGCGATTTATATATGATCTGCGATAGGGGGCTCGTTTATAGGGTGTACGTTAACTACGGCTAATGAATTAAATAAATAATTATTACTTAATCTATATTTTTTCCTTGTACTCTATTGTCATTTGTCCCTCCGACCTTTGGATTATATTGACGTTATGTAATGAAGTAATAATAATATGGATTCCGAAATGACGACATTGTGTGACTAGGATATACTTAGAAATCTATTGAAATGGTTAATAAATCGTTTCTGTAAAATTGTAGTTTCTGGAAAGAGATGTTGGGTATTTATTCAAAATATATGTAGAGAAAAAAAGGTCAAACTGTTTTAAAAACCAATCGTTTCGTTCGTATATTCTTGAAATTAACGAGAAGAACATTAGTCTGAGAAGAACACATAGATGCAGTTTCAATGGAAAATGTATACATATATACTGTTTGATAATGTTGTTTTCATCGTTATGCAAATGATCCCCGATCGATTCACACCCTGTCAAATATCAAGCTCAATTGACACGCCATAACTTGATTGTATTGCATGATTGCAGTTCAACGCAAGAATTAATACCGTCCACAATGATATACTAATACTAAGCTATTCTATTTTAGTAAGTTTCAGTTTAGTCAGTGTCTGATTCATGTTCCACTTCAGGAATTGCTTCCTCCGAATCTGAGTCAGGAATGCAGACAATCTCAGCCTCTACTTTTGCTTGTCGCACTAACGTTGGTCGTCCGAAAGATTCAGATCCAAATGACCGGAATGACTTGAAAGGTTTCATGGGAGACTTTGGAAGAAGGACATTATCACTTTTTACAGAACCCATGTCAAACGAAGAGTCGTCACTTTGGCTATGATAGCTTGAATGTGGAGACAAAGTTCGAAGACAGGTGGACGAACTACTCAACATGTTCCCACTCGTATGAATCACGTTAAGGGTGACCATTCCATTTCCAGGAAGATGCAAATCAACAGTTCCACCCCCACCACCTGATTCGCCCACACATTGTTTTACAGTGACCCCACTCCCAAAACTACTCGTGTTTTCCATGGACAAAGTTGAAACTGCTCGCGACGTTGATTGTGAATTGGGACTCGTGATATCCCCACTGCCCAATGTCCTATCGGAAGATACGTTTGTGCTTGTTCGATGCATCCCTTTTCTGATTTTTATGTGCCCACAGCTCCCTCCTACTGGGTTATGGTGATGAGAATGATGATGATGTCCCGACGAACTAGGGAGCAGTTGACTCATGTTGGACGAACGAGGGGTGATTGGAAGAAATGGTGACGAGGACGAACAGTCGATTGAGACAGCTTGACGTAGAACTGGAGGAGGGACCCTATTTCGAAATTTTGGGAGACAAGAAGATCTTCTCGCTGCGATAGCTGCCGGTTTAGGGACATTTGGCTTGGACGGATCTTCTTCGTCATATAAATTTGGAGCTGATGGGCACCTGTGAATATCATCCTCCTTCGAACTGGACTGTCGGACAGTTCTATAACAAAGAGATTTAAATGGGCAATTAATACATATGTACGTCGTAAAGATTAACTTAACCGACGATATTAGATTAAGCAAACATCGTCAGTAGTATCACCATAAAATCTAACCTGGAAAATTTTCTAAATGTTTCCAACAAGTTCTTCTTGTCGAAAATATGGAGGTTGTGGAGAGTATCCGAAGATGAATGATCGGTTTGAGTGGCAATTGTGCGGACTTCTGCGCGTCCCCTGCTTGTTCGTGGTTTCATAATGACGGGATAGGGCAAACTTGTCTCATCTGATGCCACAAATGCTGTAATTACGAAAATGATTTGTTAATGAATGCCAATAAATGTGACTATAGACTAATAAGCAGAGCTGTGAGGATTGTGAGGTTTATATGGTAAGCAGAACCTGTCATATAGCATGCAACAAGACGATTTAGCGATTTAGTTTTACCTGCAGGTCCGACCTTCGCAGCTGAATCTATGGATTAATTTTAATGAGTTTAACAATTTTCTTTTAAAATATTATTACGTAATGCTTAGGGGTGCATATTGTTCATAATTCTTACCTCTGGATTCGAAAGTCATAACGCAGGCAGCAACGATAATAAATCCACCCAGACCCATAATAATTGGTCCGGCGTATGACAACTTGCTAAACTTCACGTTACTTCCTCGAGCATCCTCTGTTATCAAATATGAATGTCAAATGTCAATCTTTACAAATTCGCCTATAAATTTGTCTTACCATAAAAATAAGCACGACCGCCGGCCACAGCAGTCCCATTACTTGTGAAAACCCCATCAGCTTCGAATCCTACAACAATAAAATAAACGTAGAAAAAGAGCGGAGTCCAAAATTGATTAAAATCAAATATGATGACATAAATTCTTTATTAATCGGACATGGGAAAGCCTCAGGAACTACTATGCGATTCGCATGACATAGTTTTACCTTGAAGTTGCATGAGAAATTTCGAAATGTAAGCAATTCACAAATGGCGATACGTACCAAAATAAGACATGACGGTTCCAATTGAGAACAGTAAACACCCCAGAAATAGTGCTTGAGCTGCATGCCACAGACAATTTGAAGGCATTTTCCCACGCATTCCCTATAAAATTTCAAGAAATTTATTTGACCAGTCAGTCACAAGCATCATTGCTCCTTCATCAGTAATTCAGTATTACAGATTTTATAGACATGTACACACTGCGTAGTTTCATAAAATTCCAAAACGACAAATAAAAAGTGAGCATTCCGCTTGAGGAATTTGGAATTAAATAAAAGACGAAATGACCACAACCTTATTCACTTATGGCTGTTCATTCCTAAAAACCAATAATTCAATTCCAAGGAACCTTGACCTTATCATGAAATTTCATATGAACTGGGTTTTGGAATAAAATGGTGGCACGGAATGTGAACCGGAAATTTTCATGGCCTTACCAAACTTTCTTGAAGAAATACCATTGGTATTGGTAAGAAAGTGCCAGAAATATCTATATTCTTACTTTAATCAAGTCTCGCAAAACGTCTGCTGTAGCCATCCTTATACGACCTCTTTTACGACTTGAGCAACGCACCTCCCACACACTCTGTAAACTCTATAACGGAGTCTTCCAAGCTCCTAAATTTTCAAAACCTCACACAAAACCAACTCACTCAATTGCACACTTGCAACGAAAGTTTTCATACTGGTTGGTTGGACAATGGGGTTCAAACCTTTGTCCCAAGTTTATGTCTTGTCGGTTGGTCCAATTATTTTATAATGACGCTGACTGAGCCACAGAGCATGGTGATCGCCCTTTGCTGTGTAATTTATGAATAAGTTAACAGTCGTGAACCGGGTCGAGAGTGAAGCAGTTGGACTGCACTGAGGAATTAAATGCCACAACAAGACCATAAAACCAAACCATGTCAATATCATGTCATTCCTTCTCACTGTCATACATTCATAGCTGCGTTTGGAAAATCAATATAGCGAATTATCTAGTCACATTCAACTTCCCAGTGGGAACCGGCGTGTTATTATACGTATCGCAAAAATTTGAAAAGTCTACAAACAATTATTCATTCACAACAGTGGAATAGTTATGTACTGCTTAATAAAAAAATCAGTCCGATTTCAAAGGCACTGGTCGGTTGCTGAATGCATAAACAACAGGTGGAAATCACTCTCACGCATTTCACTATTCACATTTATGAATGTCTGTACATATGCATGTTTACTACTCAAGTGGAGCGATATTGCATGATGTCGAAATTATTTCATGTGGCCATCCGCTAATTTTTTGGAGTGAAAGCTTTTCCTCGTACTTTTACATTTGTAAGTTATCAGATGAAAGATAAATTGAAAGTCTCGCATTAAAGGATGTCTCACGTAAGGCTACTTTGGGTACAAGGGTGTCCACGTCAAGAAGAAGATAATGTGGTCCCTTGATATTCTCATTCTCTGGAAAGCATGTCCTCCTGTGCAATTTATCTCTCGGCATTGTACGCAGGCACACACCTTTCTCTCTTCATTCAGACTGACGTAGGAAGACCATTACTTACATATGCACGTCTTACCTACGGCCTGCTCTATTTGATGAGTATTGCACAGTGCTATCCCAGTGTGACTGAGGAGTTGCTAAATTTAATAATGTAGAGCAGACGTTGTTTTTTATTTAGTTTTAGAGGGTTGTGTTTGAAGCTGACAGAGTAAAGTTTGACAGCGACATTGATTAATGGCTGAACGTATGTGCAAACTATATGTATGCTGTTGTTGAATTAGCATCACGATAAGGTGAGGGAAGAAGAAATAGAAAGCACAACTACAGTTTTATGTCATAGCTGAGCATAAACGTGAACGTTATACCGTTCATAAAAACACAACTTCTGGTTAACGATAGTTTAGACTTTTTTGTGTACGAACGTTAGCATCAGTTCTCAATAAGTAAATAAAGTAAGTTATCAAGAAATTGGACAATTTACAAGGAAGAAAAAGAACGATCAATGATTATCTCCTTTCAGTCGAAATTTCAGCAACGACCAATTTTCTCGTTGAGGAAGAAACAAAGGAGAAAATGGCGAGCAGCAACATCTGCTCTAAATGTGTACTATAGGACTTAAAATAATTTGTCTGTACTTTACTTCCTCCTCCTCTGAACTTTGAATTGGGGTGTTTGTTGGAATGAAGTCCATCAAAAATTAATGATTTCATCCTACATTGTCTCGTGAGAAGGAGAAATCCACCAAACTTTCACCTGATGTGGGCTTACATTGCTCAAAATTGCTACTAGTGCTTGGAAAATTGACAAGTTGAATTCAACACACCAGACACAATTACCGAATTAATATGTAACTGTACGGGAAGATAAAACGTTATTGTGGAATAATTGTCTATAAAAGAAAGTAAAGTAAGCGGGCATCACAGCAAGACGACTGGCGAATTGCGTATCTGGGCATCAATTTATTAATGCTTATATTACATAGTTTCATATACTTTAGTTATGCGTATAAAACCCACTGCAGCGAGGCTGCCTACACTTCAAACGCTAATAAATGACAATTAATAACCGTCAATCACCTGAAAGTTCCACATCACTGGTGGATTAAGTTGACGCTTCACTTGTCGCCTGTGTCGGGCCGAGGTTGTGAGACTCCAACGTCTTTGGTTCTGTATTCTTCTACCCATTCTACTAAGCAGGCGACCTCCCTAGAATAAATCGAAGCAGGTTGGTGAGTAGCAAAGGCAAGGTTTATACAATAGTTTATATACAGTACTCGTCACACGTATACATAAGTATATAGATATTCATATAGCTGCTACATTTACATGGCTGATTGTTAGCTACAGGTTTGTGAGTGAAAGTGATTCACGACGACGGCAAGTTGGAAAGTGCTCAATGAGCAGATTCATATGCATGGGTTTAGATATGTAGGTGCGGGTTCATGAAAATAAATATTTGTGTAAGTATGCAAGTGAAATGGGCAATACGAGGCAATGTCGTAACTATTATAATGCTGTAAATATTTATTTGTACCTTCTGCAGACATATTTATAAGCAAAGCTCATCTTCCAAACTATTACTGCCACAATAAAGACATCGCACCGTTCAGTGAACGTTTGATTCTTGATGAAATTTATGCTTGCACCATTTGGAGCGAGGCATGATAACATTTTGGGTAAAGCTTGCAAAACTGTCGGACTACAGTTTCGTCGCGAGGTGAGAATGAGAAACGCAAGAATTTAAGAGAGAGAAAAGGATATCCTTTATCCAAACTCGCTCGGGGTCTTTCCGAATTTCCAATTTTGCTTTGTTTAAGTCAAGCAGAAAAAATCATGAATCTCAACTGTCTGCAGCGTCCCTCTCTGCTTTTTGCTTTCTCTCACTTTCTCGTTTCTTTTGTTGTTGAGCCAAAAACTCTACACACCGAAACCAAAGACTACCAAAACGAAGTTTATAAAGTGTTGTTCTGCCTCCTGCATAAAATAAACTCGGCTGGTTGCACCATTATTATTGTTGATGCGTCGTCTTTTCATCCCTCGTATGCCGCAGGAACGGAGGAAAATCATTTTTCGCAGTACAATACGTTCTCGCGTTGACAAACTGAAAGTAATTTTCTTTTAACCAGAAAGCTCTTAGCTCACTACGCTTGGAGACTCCAAGTTGGAGCCCCTTTTGCATTTTTCTAAGGGTTTAAACCTTATTTTACGTGTTACCAGTACGGCCACATCTTTATTTTAGAGAAAGGGTAGAAAAGTGCACGTTTTATTAGACTAAGAAACTACTTACTGGTGGGGTGACCGTGTCCAGGTCCGCCATTTCTTTGACTCCGTTCGGGCTCGACGCCGAGAGACGTGGACTTCGTCTCTCTCGCTCCAAATTCAGTGTTCGCGTGGAGATGTGCGGTGGAAACATGTTTGGTCGACTCCTTTGTAAACACAGCCTCTCTCGGGACTTTTCACGTTTTCTTAACCGCACTAATTTATCAAATTCGTTTCTTTGACGAGGTCATGTAATAAGGAAAACAAGATCAACAACACACCACTGCACACAAAAGCGACGAGAGGCAAAGGGGAATTCCCTTCAATCTGCTCCCAGTGACACTTATAATTTTTCCATCCGTTGTGTGGTACCAAGTACATATTAGCGGTGGTAATATTAGTAATTAATATTGCAATAACGCTAAGTGGCAAGCTGGCACAAACCTCAAAGTAATAATATTACATCCCGCAAGATATTTTGTGAGGGGACGGATTTATGACAAAATTCCACTTCTATAAATATACATGCATAGACTCTAAATTGCTAGTGAAAGTTCTAATTAAAATCTTGGCATGTTTAATTTCGCGTTGAAAAAGGAAGACGCAGTTCATGATCATCAAGAGTTCGTTTTCATTTACGATAACATGAACTGGCACATCTTGGGTGCAAATTTGAGACTCAGTTCCAAAGTTACTCATTTCACGTGTACTACTGCGAATCTAGCCTGAAGCGCACCAAAGCACGATTGGCCTGTTTGAGTTTCAAAGTTCAAACTTTCACCCATTTCATTAAACTCGAGTGATATTTACTCTAACGATGTCAATTCACTTTGGTCCATCCACGTTGGTTCATTCAAACTGCTAATATGGTGAAGTGAAGAAGCTGGATTTTACACATTTCCTGTGTTGAGAATGTATGTGTTTTATGTACAGCAACTGAATTAAATATTCAAATAATACACTTTTAATATTTTACTATATACCAACTACTGACACTAATAGTAAATGTTTATGGGGTAAACTTTCTATGAGTGTATTGATCCTTTGTGTTCCAATGGAGTAATGGAATGGGTTAGCGTATCCTCTCCAGCTAAATAAATCGACCCTTCACACAAAGTACACAAAGAAACTGCAACAGATGGTTCAGTATTTGAAGTGCAAATTCCACAGGAGGAGCACAGATTCAATTCAATATAAAATCCCTATAATTCAAGTCAGACCTAATCTCGCAGAAGTGAACTAGGAAACGCACGCACACATGCAGACGCTCCTTCTTGCAAAATGAGATGTTGCCCTCTAGTCTGACAAGGAAAGTTTTTAGCTACAACTTGGAGCAAAGGAGCTAAAGTAAGTTACCTTGTATTAAAATGGAATGTCACATATTGTTGTAGGATTCCCCGTGGAGACTTTCACTCTCTAAATGAGACTCTTACGACCACGGACCTTCTTCTTAGTGGCTGTGGTTCTTTTCTCCCCGCAATGTGGATTCGATGTCAAATGCTACTTTTTGTCGTCCTCTACTCCTGTGAAGACGAGTTACATGTGCTCTGTACATATATCTCACAAGTCAGTACTGCACATAATATAATATAGAGTTTGGAGGAGACCAATCTCCAGAGGAGACACTCGTTCTCTCTCTCTCTCAGGCAGGATTGGATGGAGAAAGCAACAGTGTGAGAGTCTGGGATAAAATGGAATTGCGATGCAATGTTGGGTGAAAACTGAAAACTGGATTCTCTCTGCAACGATAAGAGATAAAATATCCGGTGGTGGTGGTGGTTAGTTGAGGTGGATGCCTTTCTACCCTCTTACTCTCCTTCCTCTGCTCCACTGATCACCAATAATTTCACTTTGAGTATTGAGTTTCGGGGTGGAATCCATTTTGCGTTTCGTTTCTGAATGCTTATTCCTCCTCTAATCTGCCATGTGTTGGGAGGCAGTGAGAATTCAAAAGGGACCTAGTCCCCAAACGGACTCGAGTATTCCTACGACGACGATGATGAGCAGGGATGAGGAGAGTGATGAATCTGACGAGAGGAGGAATGAGAGACTAGGACGACGACCACCACGACGGCTGCTGGCTCTTGGCGTGGAGAGGAGAAATTGGGACTGAATTTCCGCTCGGCTTGCCTTCCAACCGGAGAAAGACAAGAGAGACCACTCTTCTCTGACTAGCGCTCTCCTCTAGTTAAGTCTACACCAGAATTGCTGCTGCTGCTGCCGCTTTTACCACTTTTACCTTTCCTTCATCATGAGAGACGAGGGAGAGAGTCCTCCAGCAACAGTCCTCTCTTCTCCTCTTATACCACGATCTCATCATCATCATCTTCGTCGTCGTCTTCCTCATCTCTTGTTGCGAGCACCACCGCACTTTCTCCCTTATCATTGTGCTGCGTTGGGTCCTCCGCGTGTGCACTGCTCCCCCTCGAGGATTTATATACTTCAGCCTCCACCACCATTATTATTATTGTTATTCCTGCACCCACCTGCTGGCTTGAGAAATCTGCTCTCATCATCATCATCATTCATGTCCGTCCGCTCGTCCTCTAACATCCACCTTGTTTCACTCGTTGTAGACCAGGTAAAAGGAGAAAATATGAAGCAGGGTTTCTAAAAACTTTTATCGTAAAGCGTTTGTTATGAGATCCGGTAAAAACTCATCGGCTCTTAAGATGAGCCTGAACATTAACATTTTTAGTTTTACAAGGTATTATTATAATGAGTGAAAGCTGCAAAAATCGTACGGAAATAGAAAACCAATGTATGTAGGTTGAGGCCTGCGTATCAGCTTAGAGAATTTTCATCTTTACTCGTATTTACGTACCAGTTTTCAATTGATCTCAAGCAAACTGGCTGTTTGGCTTAAAATCTTGTAAAGTAACTACTTTGTACTTTCAATATGAAGAGTTTCTCCTTTAGTTGATTCTTCTTCATGCTTTAATATTCAGGTTATACGCAATGAAATGAAGTATTCAATGCCTTCCGTAATATCTTTTTTGCGTCCTCGACAACAAACTTATAACGAGGAAAACGAGTGTTTGTGAAGGTTGGAGAAAGCAGGGAATTGAGATGTGCGGCTGATTTTGTTTGAGCAAATTTCAGAGGAATTATTCAATCATTCCACATTTCACTCACAGGCGACAGGTGGACCATGAATAGATTCAGATCCAGCTTGAATTTTCTGCCTAGTTGGCATTGTTTATTTTGTTTGCTTCATGCTATGCGAGAGAAAGCAAATAATTAACGTGAGTCGTTATTTTGCACAGAGTGAAATCTATCTCGATGATTCTGCATGGACGTGCGTACTACATTCCTAGTGACAGGACTTACTTAATGTCAGTAAAATCAAATGTGGAACGACTTTGTGCACAAGGTATATCACGATAGATCACGATGTATCGTTGATATGAAAAAAATCCGATTTGTGTTACGGGGAGGATTAAAGTAAAGCGGATTGTATTTACTATGCCAGTCATGGATCAATTTTTAACAACTGTTCCTTTGCAAAAGAATAATAAATTCAAAGAGATGGACTTAAAATAGGATTATTGTTTCCCTTATTCCCTTATCTCGTGGGATTATCTTGTCAAAGTACAGTACTGCATTTGAAGAAAGGCTACTTTATGGGTTGGAGGAAAGTTGTATTGTGTACCAAGTTTTGACCAGAGCGTATTGTGAGAAAAAACTTACTCCTATTTACTCAGCTCTTGCCAGTTTCAGGGCTGCTTCTATCTTCCTTCACGTTCTTTGCACATGGTGATAATATTTACAACAATTTAAATTAATTGTCAGTATGCATTCGGAATGAAAATGTTTTCGTTGTAACCACTTATACTTTTTCATACTTATAAAATAACCTAAAATTTCACTATTTTGTTGTTGCGCAATAATTAGCGTAAAGTGGAATTATGTGAAGTACGAGAAAAATAATAATGCAAAACAAAAATAAAGTTGGCGCATCTACTCATCAAAAACATTTTTGATATAAAATATTGTTCACTGTTGGCCTTCAACATGGATGTATTTAAGTATTTACTTGAAGTATTTATGTATGCACTTGATTTAATTTCGAAAACTTAGTTATTCCTTGCAACCTGCTGTGTAAAGTCTGGTTAAATAAGAATATTATATTCCGTTTCTCACATAAATCCTACACAGTTTTTTCGTGTATCAACAAACCCGTTGGGGGTTTAGTCTTGCTCCCCAAATGACGCAAGCATACACGGAACGGATCATTCCATACATTTGAAAACCAGCACTGTTGTTTCCTTGAGCCATGAACCATATCGTGCTGAATTATGAAAAGAAGGTATCATATCCACGAGATGATGATATTATGGTAGAAAGCGGTGACTAAATAATTCATTTGTTACGTACGCTTCCTACATATTCACTCCCATTCAGAACGCATGGATGGATTACCTGAACTGAGTGTTGAGGTTTCCATTTGGTCATGAATAGTTAATTCGGATCAGTCAGACTGTAATCTACCCGGTCCAAATTAATTTATCCTCGCTATCTATTACCAAATCTTGTTTGCAAATTGTCTTGAATTACCTTATTCACTGAATAATATTTTCAAATAATTCAAAAAATTTCATGTGTAAAGTACATTTAACTATCTACACTGGTTAAGAAATAATTTAGAAGTAATTCATATAGAGAATTGCATGACAAATTTGAAATTTTGTAGGGATTTCTTCTCTAGATGGAATTGTCATATCTACATAATGGACAGCGATCAATAGTGATTTATATTTTACCCGTATCACACTTCGTAGCATAGCTTTCTCCAGGTAGAGCTGAGCCTGTTTAAAAATTAGTCATTTCTACTGCAAGAAATCAAGCACTAGTGGGGATTAGTCAATCAGATTAGAATTTCGAGCGCTTTAAGGAAGATAAGGTGAGAGACAATTTTAGAGAATGAAAGACATGCCTCGTTGAGAAGGTGAAAGTATTGATCTGCATTTTAAAGTGAAAGGGTGAAGAGGGACAACTGAGAGTGAGGCTGTGGGTGAGTTGGTTGTGGTGGAAAGGGCGAAATTCGCATTATACTTTGCCCAGATCGGGACGAGAGTCCAACAGGCTACAGAAACCCGAAACTACTTTCACTTCCATACATCCTCCATGTAGTGGATTGTGACAATGAGTTGTGAGATGGAAATATCCTCCACACTGTTGCAGAGGGAGCAGGATGTGATATTATTTTCCTCAGCATTGGTCCCAAACACCAATAAAATCCTCATTTTCAGCTGACACTCACAACGACCCAGATTTAAATTGTTAGCCAATCTACTTTTACATTCCATGTTCTGAGCATAGATAAGTTGATCCGATCAATAGCCTAAACCTCCTCAGTCGGATGAGATGCAAATTTATATTGGGCATTTTGGTTTATTTTGCGCTATATTAATAGTGATGCTCATGAATAAACTTTAAAAAATATCTATTATAGATAGAAGAATTTATGGAAAATTTTGACGAGTTACTCGGCAGTGAAAGTATGGAAATGAGGATGAAATAATGTAAATGAGAAAATGATTGAATACATTTCAATACAGTTTCAGGTTCGGCGAATATACGATTTATTTGTGTAAGGTTCCATAGCATCACTTTCACTCTGGTGAAAGCTCTACAATCTCCACGATAGCCCAACCCAACCACCCACGACTTCTAGAGACGACTAGAAAACACCGAGAGGCATCCATACCAAAAGACAACCAGAGTTATGGATTTCCTCCGCTAGCTGGCACCTGCGTGTAATAAAGTGAAAGTTGAGATAACTTTCTCCCAGAACTTTTCTCAATTCTTTGTCGCTCCAGTTTCCCATTTTCCTTTGTATTGTACTAATCAATGAACTATTTTACTTTTGTGTTCCTTCCCGTTGCACAATAAATGTTTGCTGCATGATATTTCCATATAAAATATGAACATAACATTTTATATTTTCTGTAGGAATGTTTGCCAACTTTTGATCATTAAAACATTTCTGGTTCTGGATCACAGAGATAATAACGTATCTTTGTTCATCCGACTGCGCACGTTGGACCCGTATACAGGGGGTCGCAGATGTTGGAATTTGCTCTAAAATGTTGGCCACGAAAGTTGAACAGTCGAGGAGTGGCAGAAGAGTAGAAAAGTGTGAAATTAGAAACAGCGAGACTGTTCCATAGTTTGGCCAGAAATCTTGCAGCTCGTGGTTGAAGTGGTAAGATGCGGGTAAAAGGAAATGAATGAGACTTGTTTCTTTTTGGAACATTTGAACTCTTTTATTTTTTTAGAGGTAGTAACAAAACAAGTTTGAAACTTTGTCTCCCCACCATTTGATTGGATTCACTGAATTCAATAAAACGTACAAGACTGTGACATTAGACGAGCCTCACACGGTCCATTCCAACTCTACATATATGCAGGTTTGTGGTACATACATACATACATTTTATATACACACTCCATTCATATGCCAAATAAGGAGCAACCACACCAGTATCTTTAGAGAAGCACATAAACTATTCTGAACTTTCTGTGTCTCTTGTGTTGGTGTCAATCTACTCGCGATTCGATTTCCTTGACAAGAATAACCAATCTGTAGGGTGGTCATAAAGGTGGCGGCAGGAATAAGGTGAAATGACCCCCAATTTAATTGAGCCTCCGCCTCGTACGCATTAAAGTTTCAGAGAGTGGCGAGAAAGGTGGAAGGGGTTAAGGAACTCATCTGCAGATCTACTCTTTGCTGCGTGATAATGAAATGAGCTTGTAATGTGATTCTATAACAAACAAACAAAAAACTTTCAAAACAAAAACCACGCTTTTCCATTATTCTACTTAAAAAAAGATATCTTGCGTAAGAAGTCTCGTTGTGATGAAATAAAAATAAGCTCTTTTTCTTTGAGTTAAAAATGAGTCAGGATCATGCCACGATAGGATATGTATCTTCTACTTGCGAAGAAAAAATATTGTGTAATGTACGCAGATAATTATTATCACTTCATGACAATGGTAAAGTAGTGTTCAATTTTTTGGTAAATAAAGGGTTAGGTACTTGTACGCATGTGTGCCTAGCGATTTTAAACACACTCTTGTATTTTTATGTTTTAAGCGACATTTTTCTCGATCATGGTTTATAATTCTGTACTGATGCATGAAGAAAGGCAGATTACACCAACAAAGTTTTATTTCAAACGCAGAGTGAAAACTCTCGAGGGCATCGATACCCTTCCTTCTGGTCCACAACAAGAGTTTTTTTTGTTGAATTGGACTGCAATCCGATGGCTGGTTTAGTTGGTGATGGTGAGTATTACGATGGATCGTCCGAAGGGACAGAATCGGATCCCACACCAATTTTTCACGAGATAAGGAGTGTTAGCTACTCTGACAAAGTAAATCTCGTCGCCATGTTGTGTGCAAACTTTCCTGTCCAGAGGAAGTAACAGATATGTATGCTCATCGGCGTCGATACAATCTGTTAATGAGCTGCGTAAAGGAAATCGGATAAGAAAACTTGCTCGGTTGATTAATTGGCATGAATCATATAATTTTGTAAGATTGGCCATCCATCCTATATCTGGTACTTAACTACACTGACAATCAACAACTCTGGGTCTTGCAGAATATTTTATTACGCACATTCTTTTACACACAAGTGTAAACGAATTATCAAACAATCTGCAAATTACGAGAATATAGTTAGCCTATGGTTACTTATTAGCTATCCATTGGTATTATGTACATGCCTCACCCCTCAGATACATGGATAGGCACATGCATGTAAGTGTTATAAACTTTATTTAGTTCATTAGTAAATGTAGACAGAGAATAAAATGAGTAAGTGTGGCATGGGAATAATGCGCCGAATCACAAGCTCATTGCCAGAATACCAGAACATCCGCCACTATCAGCTTATTCGCCCAAGTCTCATTTCCACACTTTCTCCTGAGCTGTGAGAAACCGGAAGCTTACTTTTCGTTTGGAGTACCACGAGTACAACACTTGGTGTTGCTCCTCAAATATCAAAACTTGCAAGTCAGTCCACTGGCTTGTTTTACCAGAGTCCAGGAAGCATTGGGTACGACGTATCTCTCTGCTGGGCCTTGGTTTAAACAGCAAACGGAGAACACAAATCCAGAAGCAGAGCTAAGCCCTCGCTAAAGGAAAAGAAATGCGATTTTCGGGCAGGCGGCGGTGGTTCAACTTTTCGCCTGCTAACATTTCTCTGAGAATCTTATGCTCGAGGAGTGGGCGCTCAGTTGACTTTAGCCACTGGAGTTGTCAGCATCCATCCATTGTCTTCTTCGGCGTTGGCGTCCTCCTACTCTCCCATCAGGAACAACCAAGTTTATAATTTAGACAATTTCAAACTTTCATCTGAAATTTCACCCGCTTCAAGTTCCGAACTAAAACTAATTTCATAATTTAGTGCATTTTCATGGGATCAAAACTAAATAACTGACAGTGTCGAGCACAAACAGAAGCAACAAAGCAGACAGATTGGAATTTGTTCTTGTTAGAAATCTGAGACCGTTACTTTACTATTCAGGACATACCAGTAAAGAAACTATTCCCATTGTGAATTTCCTGGAGAAAGCAGAGACGCACGGAGAGACCGAGCTGGTCCAAGGCAGGAGCACTGCGAGAGGAGCAAGTGTCAATTCGATTAATCCAAAAGTGTTTAGAATTCTAGTCAGCCCCTCAATAAATGTTTATGCTGGAGAAAGAGACATCGTTACCGAGTTATTGTTCATCAACTCCTTCGTAAATTATTTGTAAGAACCCTTGTTTTTTCCTTTAACGAGAAAGTGGAACAATAACATCCTGTTTCCAATTGGTTGCCTATGAATGCTAGTTAAGCAGTGTGTGTGAACCCCGTGTCTTGATTTGTGTTGGCCATCATGACCTATAATGGGGTGACTTTTTGATATGGAAGAGGGCATGGGACAGTCAGCCTCACCAATTCCTGCTGCTGACTGGCCTCCACCAATTAATATTCATGACCATATAAGGACCTGCGAGTGTCGATGTGATCACTATGGATATGGAAATTTTTTAGACTACCAGGTAATTTTAGCCCCCTGAATTTACAAATTGATTATCAATCAAATATATACATTCCAGATAATTTCTGGAAAATTTCTACGGAAAATTAATCTCATGATGACACGACGATGTTCTCAATGTTCTCACCAAAATTCAGGCATACGTGCATACGTGCATACGTGTATGTAGTCCCTCAAGAAGCAATAAGCATTCATGAGAAAAGTATGATTTCGCAATTTGCATACAATTATGACATAGTAACTGATCAAATTATTCGTGGTTGACGTAGGTTGCGAAAGAAGTTCTTGCTGGAATTGTATATGTACTTTGTTCTGAGAATGCATAGTTAACTGCTCTCTACACCTACACCTACATAACACACCGCATCCTGCATGAAAATTTGGTATGGAAAGAATTGCGTAAATATTTCATGTAAATCACGCAGAAATGATGTTGTTTTGGTATTCTTTATAATTTGCAACTCCATGTTCCTGGCATTTATTGCTTCCCATTTCAGCTTGCTAGTGAGAAAGGAACCCCCATTCCATCGTATATGTACATACATATGCATGCTTACATAATATGGAGTAAAAGCGTTGTTCTATCCGCAGACAATTCCTACGTTAATTGCCTCAAGGGATCGTTTTAGCCAAAATTATTTTACCTTTGTAACTCTTATTTGAGTGTGGTATGAATTTGAGCTGTTTCCACGTCTTTGGTCATTGGAACCATGGACATGTGAACAATTGGAAAATTCTCATCACTTCTTGTGTAAGTATGCAGAATGTACTTCACGCACGCATTCGGTTCCTACATAAATACTGCTCTCATATTCAGTTATCTTTCATTTTGCAATATGATGCACTAGTGCAAGTCTAGTATTACACAATTATTTGTATTGTGCTATAAAAGTAAGCGTATATGTACAGATATATCCGCGTGGAAGTGGAAAGTAGCCAGTATGCATTTCACCAAGTAATTTACTCAAAGTTAATTCAATTTCGTTTGAAAGTCTGGTCTAAGTGGGATTCTGCCGAACAGTCGTGATCGAAAGAGTGCCTTGCATGGCTTTGTTGGCTAAATCCGAAATAAATAGGTCGAGCTCCTACTCAGCAACAATTTCACACTCACCACATTTATCTCCCAGAGATTTAATTCGGCGCAATCTAGAGGCCAACAGGACCTGCCGAGTGCTCGCATTAATTTTGTGAATCAAAAGATGAAATCTGATTAATGCTAAAATTGCTTTTGGCCGCTTTCTCACTCACTTGCATCACTTTTGGTGTGGTAAAAGTTCCAAAAAGTGAAAATAACAAAATATCTCTCGAGTGGAACATATATACCCATACGCTCACACATTCATATACCGGGCCACTCATTTTATGCAAAGAAACGAGTTGATCAAATCCACGCTCTCTCCTCCCCAATGTCTATGATTGAGGAATATTCCAGGGTTATTATAAAGACTTTAAAGTAATGGAAGAGTTTGTGCTCAGAATCAGCGAGAAGGATGGTATTTGGCCTGGCTCGGGGAATTCGGCACACAGTCCGTGTATAATGATCCTTTGACGATGAGGGAAATCCTCATTTCAACCAAAGCATCTTCTTGAACCCCAATAATGCTGTGCTGAGAAAGCACGCAGGAATCTCTCGCGTATCCGCATCGTAGAGATGAGATGAAAGCGAATGGGATGAGCACTCGGAGGTTTCGATGGTACGGATTTCCAAGAAGGTACGTTGTCAATGCGTCTCAATGCTACACACACAGCTCCACTTACTCCTTTGGCACTGGTGACAAACTCCAAGCCAAACTATCTCCTTGGTCGTGCCACCTTTTCTCTCGTACATATAATACGAAGGCTGGTGCTCTAGTTTAATCATCAAATGATGATGTGTATGTATGTATAAGTACATGCTTCACATTTTACTTATCCTACGACTACCGAGGGCATGTTCATTGTTGTTCATGCTAAGAATTTGATGAAACCATTTTTTGTGTAATTCCATTTACTATACATCAAGACCAAGTTATTTTATCAAATTGCTTAGGTTGTCAATAAATCTGGTGACGATTCACAATGAAGGAAATCTAACAGTCAGTTTTTAATATTAACAAACCTTGCTTGCCATAAATTCCGAGAAGTCAGGTAGTATTTAGGGATTAAAGACATATGCCGCCGTCATCCATGTGTTGAACTGCACAGCTGGATATTTTCTTTCGTAAAATTTCATGTTTGCGATGAAATTCCCGTCCAAACTAATCCAACGAGCGAGATGAGAATAGATTCAGACACGGCGAGGCAAATAAAGGGAAAGTGCTTTGTTTAGTATTTTTTCGGATCCCTGCATACGGACAACGTGCACTCGTCCTCCTGTCAAGCCAGCCCTTTCGCTCAGCATTTGTGTGAGCTGGCCGAGCGACGACGGGGAGAAAGTCTTCCCTCCACCGCTGCTGGCTCATAACTCCACATCTCAACTTTCTTCTCTTACCCTCAAGTTCATTTGTGCTCAATATAATTTGAGCACACTTTCCCTGGGAGAGGACGTGATACAATATTTTTGTAGCTGGAAACAGTAATGAGGGAAAGGAGCCGACTGGACGGAATGTGTGTGTGTAATGCATTTTTTACTTGAGCAGTTCTGTTGGAGTAGTCAACTAACGAGACGACGATGAGCCTATTTTAGCCTCCTTTCTACTACAATTCTATCTGACTTCACTACTCACCAGTCGTACGAGTATAATAATAACAATGCGCTGTAGACATGTTTTAAGAGATGAGAGTACATCAGCTAGCCGGGAGTATGAGTATGTATGCAGAGAGCTGCTAATGTTGGGTAGGAATTTAGGTCTCTTTTGTATAAGTTGGCCCATGTGTAGTGAAGTGTGCTCTTCATACTCTCCTCATCCTGTCTGCTGCTGCTGTTAATTAATCACAGGAACACTTAGGATAGGAATGGTGGTCCTGCACCGCTGATGAGGAAGAGATAGCAGTAAAGCTGGAGATATATGCATGATTTCCGTACGAATTGAATGTATACTGTAACCCCTTCAGTTTTTATTACTTTTTTCATTCATGTTCTATTAAGGTTTCCAGTTGATGGAACGGAAGCATTGTTTTTTATGATGGCAGGAAGGAGTGAGATTAAGTGCAGTGCTATTGATGAGCTTCAAAGAAATGGGAGAGGGGGAGTCGCACGGGTCAAATGCAGGATCAAATACATTGTTCGATAGAAGTGGCGATAAAAAGTTTTCGTTTATTATTTTTACAAACAGTGTACACAAATACGATAGATCCCAAGGTTTTCTGGTGGGTTCGAGTTCTTTGAGGCGATAAGGGGCTGACGAACAAGGGTAAACACCCAACTATAAAAGTTGTCTATGCAAATACAGTTGTTTGATACACCTGCGTGAAATTGTGACTCTTTTGCCAGATTTTACACATAATTAAATCCTACTCGCAACACTAAAGCTCTTCAGAGAGTTAACGATGTCAACAAAGTAATGTTCAGTGTACTGAAAGTAAAAAAAAAATACAGATGAGAAAGGGACTCGATGTTTTGCTCCCAACCAGAAATCAATACTGAGCCAAAATTTCTCTGGAGGATAATTAAAACGTGGTTGGAGGAATCACATACTGATGAAGAGGCACTATCAACAAACTGTTCAAAACTCTACCTCTGCCATCCATTATTATGGCCTCTGTCCCATAACTTCATCAAAAATTCTCTTTTTAAGGGGATTGATAGCAGGACTGGTAGTTGAGCTGCTAGAACCACGCTTCCATAATGGTGGCTCACTTCAACAACAACATGCACCAGAGTTAAGCTGCAACATAAACAATGTGCGTTTGGTGTACACACACGGAGACAGGAGCACAAAAGCATGCAAGTGAAAGGGAAATCAATTACTTTCACCAGTAAGAGCGAGCAAAGAAGCTTAAGAAATCTCATATTTTTATTCATAATATTTTGTATCTGACAGAAGATGGATGGACGAGGCGATGCTGGGACGAGGCTTGAGTTGTGATGGAGTTGTTTGCATTGGTTGAAAGGGTGAAAACTCTGTTACACTTCAAATTCAGCATGTAGCTACTAAAAGGATGAATGGCTGTGGGAACAAGATAGAAAGTCAACTATGGGTTGAGAAGAGAATGTAATAAATATTGGGTGTACATGCATTCGATGTGTGTACAAGTTGCATGCAGTGGCTATTTATGCATGGCTCCTACAGAAACCGCAATATAGGCCATCAACCAGATGATGAACAAGCGAGCTATAGTTAGCAGATGGTGCCGGTCGGCCAAGATTTTCTCGCCTCCTCTCCTCCATCACCTCCCTCCCTGCACTTTCTCTCCCAGAGTGAAAGCAGTGGGGAAATCTCTTTTCTATTTGTATGTTAAATGGGCTGCCTTCAGTCTTTGCTCTTCTGCTGGCAGCCAGAATGTGTGGTGTTGTGTATAGAGCGGAATACTTAAAGTAGACGGGAATAGGGTATATAGGCACCCTTGTTGGATTCACCAACCATTGCCACACAACTTTTTTTTCCACTCACCACACGAACCAACTACTCTCTTTGCAATGCCTCACCATTTTCTGTCTCGCCCTCTTTGCGTTTGAGTGCAGCAATTTTTAAGGAACACAGAGAGTTGACTTGGAGAAAGATTCCTACTTTCTCCATGTGTTTTATACATTACATCATTTGTCGTGCCACTTATTTCCGAATCATCGGTTGGTTTGGGAGAGATGGAAATGGAAGTGGCAGCGAGCTCGTCAACTTGTGAGTGGGACTTATTTGAGGCTGTTCTTTTTTATATTTTGTCATCATATTTACACAATGGCTGCGGATATTGATACAATATGATAAGTTTGCTCGCTGAATACTCGTCAACCAGAGTAAATGAATACACAGACGTTGTTTTCGTCTTCTTTCGTCTCATATGTATGTGTATGTATGTATGTACATACACATGTCGTATGGATGGATGTGGTATGTCGTGTCAATATCAAAATGTTTTGCTGAG